AAAAAAAAAAAAAAAAAGAATTTTTTGAGGGCGACCAAAACAGAGCTTGAGGACAGAGAAACTGCCTGACAGAATGTGGCGATGGGCAGAGCACTGCACCGCAGGGCATCGGCTTATTGCATATCTCGTTGCTTACTACAGCCAAACTACTTACATAATTTATTGTGCATTATGAAAGACCAGAAAGAGAACTGAAAAACTGAAAAATTTGGAAATTCTGTGAAGAGCAGAGCAAAATAAGAAGGGTTATTGCAGTTGGATATTACCATTTGTTTTTTTCTGGGAGAAGAAGGATGTTCATTTTTACGATCCATGGATACAGTCTTATATAATATAATCGATAAAATAGACATTACCTTTCTTTTTAATATTTCTGTTCATTATTCTTTTCCTTTTTATTTAATATTTTTGGTTTAACCCTCTTTCGATACATTTATATATTAAGAAAATATTTGTTCAAATTAGGTGCTCGATTTGCTTTAAACAGTGATTCAGAATAATAACTTAGTTGCTAGATTGATCTTACCCCGGAGGTCTAAAATTTCAATCGAATTGGTATTATATAAACTATCTTTATTTTTAGTGTTAGTTTTCAATATCTTACATAATTTTCTCACCTTCGAAATACCTAATCAAAAAACATCAATATTCATAAACAATAGAAAATGAGTGGTGTAGCAAGTAAATCAAGAAATGGTCATAGTTCGAATTCGACTAGTTTTAAGTTATCGAACAACATTATTACAAAGGATGATATTACCCCTCTGTCTAAATCTAAATTAAAGAGTAAATCTAAGACCAAAACTCACATTGGTAACACTGCTACTGATTCTAGTAAAAATATCAACACAAATAAAGAAGAAAAAGAAGCTGAAATCGTAGATAGTATTCCAACCGATATGAAACCTATGTATTCTTCAGATCATAGTGTTTCCGATGATAATGATAATGATGACGACAGTTTATTTTCTCCTTTGTCTTCGCAGTTACAAGATGATAACGATTACTCGTATTATAGTGATGATATGGAAAATTTAAAGAAATTTCAATTACATACACCAAATTTCGTTAGTACTTCTAGCGTTTCTAAGAATGACAAATATAAATATAATCCATCAAACTCTTTATTACAAGAACGTCTGAATAGTTTTGATTTTGATGAGCATTCCTTGCCAGAATTATCTAACGAAAATAATAGTCATGATGATTTTTGGAAAGAAGTGACCTCTACAAATGAGGAAGCCATATCTTTACCCGAGGATGCTAACCATCATCATTACACAACAACCCAAGAAAATGGCTCAGTTGACTCTCATCAGGATGAAATTGTCTCAGTAGAAGATTTCATCTCAGACGATTTAGCTGCAACAAACAACAATAATAACAACAACAACAACAACAATAGTGGTAGTGCGCCTGAGTGGAACGAAAATTTGTTTCAAGATTCCAAACAGAGAGTTAAACTTCTTTGTTACAGAGATGCAGATGGTAAATTAGCATTGAAGACAAGAAATGTACCAGTAGCCAAGAGAAATTTCACAAATGCAGTCGGTTTGGTACGTAAGAGAAAGAATAAGCATAGAAAATTGTTGAAAAAAGCTATTAGAAGAAAAAGTGGTGTTGCTCAAATGATTTCTACTGATGTAGGTATTAGTGAATTAATGTTGTAAAATAACAATAAAAACACTCACAGAGTTCATAGTTACACCAATCTTTAACTCTCACTCTCTCTCTTGCATTTTCTTCAATTCGCTTCAACTCTCATTTTATTTCAGGTTTGGTCTGGTCTTACATGGTATTTCATTTTTCATTTTTTATTTATTTCATTATTTATTACTTAGGTTTATTTTTCATTCATTCATAACTTTAAAGTTACATAACACTTTCATATAAATATATAATCTAAACTATTTCCCTCATATTTTACTCTCCTAATAGTTATTATACAACTTCTTTCCTAACACTGAATGTCAATATTAAGGGCAAATTGCAGATTGAATAACGCTTCATTTTCTCGAAACTTAGTATTTTTCACTCCTTTACCTAATCAGTTTACAGCTGCAGAAAGGTAAAAAACAAAATTAAAGCTACAGAACAAAAAAAGGAGTTGACATAAATTATGTAGCTTCAATAAAAAAAGTAATAAGAATTAATTCATTAGTCAAGCATAAGACATCACATCACAACTCAACCCACCACCCCAACAACAACATCAAACACAAATGTCTAACCAATCTGGTATTTGTGCGAATGAGGAGTTACTGAATGTAATTCGTAGCACACCAAATAATGGTTTACTTATCATTGCAGCCAAAATCTCATCAGATTCTACTGCAGTGGAATTTAAAGAGAAATTCGACACTACAAATGATTTATTAGAAAGTCTAGATTCCGATCCATCATATATTCTAATTAAAGATTCTAAAAAAAATCCAGAAGTTTATGATTTCATTTCTTTTGTTCCAGATCCTGCTCCTGTTAGAGCTAAAATGATTTACGCCTCGACAAAGAATACTCTTCTAAGACAGATCGGGTCTAATGTCATCAATAGCCAAATGATGTTTTCGGAACCTCAAGAAATAACTGATTTTGTCAATTCTTCAACAACAACTTCTTCTCAATCAACTTTGTTGAGTGAATCAGAAAAAATTGGTATTCAAATCAATGAGGAACAACGTAATATGAGAGCATTACAAGGTCATCAACTAGTTTCTCAAAATAATGGAACTCCGAACTCTTTAACTTTTGAGGTTAACAGTAGTGCAGGGTCTATTAAATCTCTATTGGAGTCCAACAATGTAATCACATTCAAAATCAATATGGATAACGAAAAAGTTGAAGTTACATCTCAAACAAACATTACAAGCTCGGATGCTATATCTTTAACAAGTGAACATCCAAGTTATACCATCTTTAAAAATGGGGAATTGTACTATTTTATATATAGTTGTCCATCAGGTAGTAAAGTAAAAGAACGTATGTTGTATGCGTCAAACAAACAAGGGTTTATCAACCATCTAAAGGATAACGAAGGCATTTCATTTACCAAAATATTGGAGATTGGTGATGCTGACGAATTAGAAAAATCTTTGATGTCAAGTTCTACTGAAGCAGAATTAAAACAAAAGGAGGAATCATCTAAGTCAGATAATAATACACAAAGATTCAATAGACCAAAGGGTCCAACCAGAAGAAAGAGAATTTAAAAATAATAATCCCAATATATATAGATATATAGATATATTGATAATGCCATACTTCAATAAATTTATGATACCAGATACTTTTAACATATATACACACACATAGATATGTGCATACACCTTTCCCTTTGTAGATTATCTCTACTCCTTTTGCATCTTAATAATATCTCTAAGGGCGCTAAAGGAATTTTGTTTAAATACTTGGTTTGTTATAACCTCATTGAACCTCTTTCTTTCTTTAGAAGCTAACAATTTTGCACCTTTTTTATTCCTAATATTTGGCTCATTCTTCCTTTTCTTTATAGAACCAGGTTCCACACGTTTAACTATTTTGGTGACTTGAATTCTTGCTGGTGGGTTTACTACAGATGGAGAGAATGGATTTTGATCAATATTAATATTATCAGTTGTAACATTCATATCTACATTTTCTCTTGTAAACTCGCCCAAATCATCTTCTTTTTGCAAAGATGTCAAAAGATCATCTAGTCTTGGTTTTAAATTATCTCTTATCTTTCTTTTCCTACGTCTAACCGATGACTTAGATATTCCATCAAATTCAGCGTTCAAACTCCCCGAATTATTTTTAATCTTACTCAAGAAATCATTTTGCTTGTTATTAAGTTTCTCCTTTTTGGTTTCTTTAAATTGATGAAGGTAAGCCTTTGGATCTTCTGTGAATTCTGTCACAGTTTTTACTTCATCAACCTTTGAAGTGTTTCCGAGTCTAGTAGCAGCCTTATTTCTCAAGGTATTTCTTTTTTTTGCAGCCATATTTTCAAAACCAAATAAATAGTATTAACTCTCAAATTCCCTTCCTTAACGAACGTCTACACCTTCTCTATCTGCATGAATCATCTTTATCTCACCCATTCCAGCTGTCTTATCCTCTTCGGATAACCCATTTTGAGTAAACTCATCGCTTCTTTCATTACCTCTATTCAAAATTTTTCATTCGGTTCTATTAGTGATCTATGCCTTCCAAAACCCTACTATGGAACCCTATACATTTCATTCAACCAAATTTCCAGTTTTGCCGGTTTCGGTCGATGACTGTTTTTCTTCTTCCTTCTGGTAACTTTCCTTCTTCGAAGAAAAACTGGGAAAGAGTTTATATCAAACATTATTTCTCAATGCGGTGGAAAAAGCAATATATAAACTATGGAAACTTTTATTTCTTGATTCAACCTAGGTAGATAGGCACATTGTTAAACTCTAGATTAGGAAATAAAGTTCTCTCTCTTATATTGCTTCTGATATAATAACTGAAGTATCATATATTGTTAGTTAACATTTGAGACATCATCACTTGGCATTCAATTAAGAACTAAAGAATATTAGAAAAAAATATGTCAGTGTCTCGTGTATTTACCATTACGGCTGTGCTTGCTACTGTTTCCACAGTGGGATATGCTCTATACTTTGATTACCAAAGAAGAAACAATCCTGAATTTAGACATAATGTGAAAAAGAGCATTAGAAAACAAGAAAAGTTAATGAAGTTAGAAGAACAAAATGTTCAAGTAGCTAGAGTACAAGCCGCTGCCAAGTTTCTAGAGACTGAACTGGAGAAGGACCCTATTCCAACCGATGATGAAGGTAAACAATTAGCATTCAATATTAATATTGAAGAAGGTGATCAGCTTGCAGCTAAACCAGGTAACGAATTAGAAGCGGCATCCAAATTTTATAAAGCTTTGACCGTTTATCCTAACCCTGCAGATCTGCTAGGTATTTATTCCAAGAGTCTTCCAGAATTGATTTATGAAAATTTGGTTTTAATGATTGCGGCTATCCCTCCAGCTAACATTTCTACATTTTTGGATGATAATGATTCAGTCAAGAAAGAAATTAATCAAGATCTTGACTAAATCTTCTATCATCAGCTTTCAAAATTCCTAAATACCATTATACAGGAACTGGAAATAATAACATATAAATGTAGACTAAGTATATCAGCGTTTTCCAACAAATTTCCAACAATTAATGACTCTTTTTAATAGATTTCGTACATACACATACACATGTATATATAATGATAGATATCCAATACCTTTACTTAATTTAATTAAATAGGTGAATTCAAGGCAAAATTCCTTACCTCTTTTCTACTTATTAATATATGTTTTCAATATATTTATTATTTCTTGATGGTATATAATTATACACGTGCTTATCTATGCTGAACCTTTATATTCTCTCAAAATTACAGGAACAGATGATGGGGGTAGTGCACCAAATTCTGTAATCACTTTCTTGATGTATTCTGGTGGTGTCAAATCGTATAAGATATTGACAATGTTCAAAGACGACAATTTTTGCCAGTCGTCTAATACATTTTCCGATTGTTCAGAGTTCAACTCTTTACCATTAGCTTCATCAGATTTGTTGCGCTCATCTTTGGTATTTTTATTGTTTTGTTGCTGCTGTTGCTGTTTGTTACCCTTTGGCGCGTTTTCCTTTGCTATTCTAACATTATTTTCGTGACGTTCCTTAACGAATTGTTTCAACAATATACCTTTATTACTACGTCTTTCCATTGGACTCTCATAATCGATAGGTACCAAATCATTTGGATCAGCCAATTCATTATACGTTACACTATCCAATTGTACTCTTTGGGAAAATTTCAAACTTTCACAACAGACCAAAACAGGAATATTTCTTCTTTTAGCACTCATAGCAATCATAGCTGTACCGGCTCTAGAGTATAAGAACCCATTAGATAGGATAGAATGTGCTCCTAAAAAGACATAATCAACACCCATATTGAAAACGGTATCCAAACTGGTAATCAAGGTATAAATAACTTTAACACCATTTTCTCTTAAAACAGTGGCCATTTTTTTACCTTCAAATAATGGTCTAGAGTCAACTACAATAACTTCTAAATCTTTCTTTAGAACATTTGTGTTATGTAATATTAATTCAGTTAGAACCTTAGAGGAACCAAACGTAACAATTGTAGAACGGTCTTCTATTTGGTTCGATGCATTTTCTATAATTAATTGATCGGCTAATTCGATTTTTTCCTTAGCGAACAGACCAATCTTTTCACATAGATCCAATTTGGCTTCGTTGTCTGGAGTGGATGGATCTATATGAGAGATTTCTTGTTTTAGCCATCTAATTGCATTACCCATAGTGACACTCAATGGTCTAGCCCTCTTTAACAGATCGATTTGGTGGGACAGGTAATTAGTTAGATTACGGGATAAAGTAGTACCCTTTGGAGTTTTGTAATCCTGAATAACAATTTGGAATGCTTCCAGCATGGCAATGCAACGTGGAATAGAGCCCACAATTTTATAAATAGCTAGATTAAACGTCAATGAAGAGATCACAGGATGAATAAAGTCCTTATTTATCAATAATTCCTTAATATTTGATACTAATTCAGGAGTTTCTAAGGATTTTTTTAAAGCATGAGGAATAATAGATGACACACCTGGGACAACATTAACTTCATTGCTTTCCAAAGATATACTAGCTAATGACTTGGCTAAATCAACGTTATTGCTCACAGTACTATCCGAACTATCAGCAGGTTGATTAATTGTATCAGGAACCGATGAGATATTGTTAGCAAGATTGGATGTTGTATAGACTTTAGCACCAGACAATGCACTTGCCACAACGGGTACCATAAGACCAGCTGCAGTGATTCTTGCGGCTCTTGGAGAATTCAAAGCACTACCGATGGCTAAAAGTGTAGCTCTTCTTTCTTCAGTAGTCTCGAGATGACTAAATAGAGACGTTTTCTTCACATTCTTATTATTTAACAACTTTTGTTGTTGTTGTTCCTTCTTTTTCAATTCTTGTTGTTGTTTCTCTCTCTGATGTTGTTTCTTGTCACGTTTAGCCTGGGCTTGAGATTGTTGTTGTTCTACAGAGATACCACTTGCTTGTTTCTTAGCAGATCTTTTAGCAGCTTTCTCTTGTCTCTTCAATTCTTTCAATTCTTTATTAGTTAATTTCTTTTCATCTCCACCAGCTGGGGTTTGTGGCACCTTTTCAATGCTTGGTTTAGTTTCTGCAACAGGTTCGCTCATTATCGATATATTGCTTTGTTTTAATGTATAATTCAAGAAGTCTGCTGATTTTCTACCTCTTATAGGGTCACAAGTTAAAGTATACGACTAATAGTAAAATGCGACACCTTATCTTGTTTGAAATATCGAAGATGTAAATAGTCAGTGAGTGTATCTGAGAGATGTCATTACCTAATAGATGATCGATTGATGAGTCTACTGCCAATTGGCGAGATGCAAAGATTTTTCAGTTTTCGAAATTTTAACAAAATAAAAAAAGAATTGAAAAAACCCGTTTGGAAATTGGATGTGAGGGTAAGAAAATAGAAGGTCTTCTGGCGTTAGTGTGAATAGATGATGGGAATAATTATAAAAGACAATCAGATATACAGGAACGAATGTATATATTGTTAATGTGAGGTCATAACATGAGGTCAGTGATGTCTGACGTGCATACTTTATATATTTACAAGGGTATATATGTGCGGCTTCATTCTTTGGCAACGGTTGAGTTGTCAGTTTCTTGTTGTGATTCTACTGGCTTTTTAGCGTTTCTTGCCGCACGTTCTTCTTTCTTAACAGTCCAGATCTTCTTCATTGACACAACATAGTCATCATATATATCATTAGTGTTACCGGCTTTACTGTTTAGAGATTTGTAATCGTTGACAAATCTGGCGATTTCTGCGTCTTGTTCAGGGAAAAACTGTAGAATAGTTCTACAGATCATGTATAATGATTCATTAGTAGTTAAGAATTTCTGTTGAGTTTCTTCTGTAATTCCATCTCTAGAAGGTAAATTGATTTTCACTTCATTCAAACCTTTAATTAAATCTTGTGATTCGAAACCTTGTTGTTTAGCGTAACAATTAACCAATAATGATGTCAACCCTAAAGTTTGTTCTTTATTAACAGTATTTGACCACATTTGTTGAACTTTCTTACGTGCAATAGTTGGATCATCGAATTCCAATATAGACCCCCTCTGTAAAGAACACATTAATAATGTATTAAAGAAATGATCAACATCGTATATATTTGAATTTTGAGCTTGAATGAAACGAGGTCTTTGAGTATATAAATAACCCACCATTCTTGTGTAGTCCCCAATAACGTAACATGATTGGATCAACATTGTTTGTAAATGTTGAGCTGAAAAATATTGGTATATTTCTTTCTTTCTAGTGGTCAATTTCATCCAAGGTTTCAACCATTCAAAGAATTCATTGGAGCCATTGGGGATAGACTTCACATAATCAACTAGGGTTTGTTTTGACACGGATGCAATAGGATTTTTTGGCTTCATTGGCAATTTGGTCTCGGGGTCCTGCAGGTCCATTGCCAGCAGTGTGTTCGCATTACGTTGACGATATATCAGAGGTCTCAAGGCCACTGGGGTCTTGAAATAAGTAAAGTAATTGTCGATTTGCTGTCTTGCAGCCTGATTACTGTTGAGACGTCTAAATACACGGGATGTCGACATAGTGGTTGTGCAGTTGGAAAAAGTGGGACAGGCAGTTTGTAGTGAATAAGATTACTGTGAAATGCAAACGTGAGAGGAGGACACTTCTACTAAATTTACAACTATAGTTTCTTTATATGTAGGGTTATATATTTGGACCAAGCCAAGGGCGGAACTTTAAGAAAAAACAATCCCAGAAGAGAGAGAACTTCGAACGTGAAGCTCGTGTAACATGATGGAATGCTAATATTTTAAAAGGAATAAAAAGTTTTAAAAGATATTACTTAATGATACAAACGGATATAGAAATAAAAAATAATTGTAATAAGATGAAAAGTTCGTTGAGAAGTGATGTTGGAGAGAGTTAATCAACCCAGAATGGGAGAAAACCCTTCATGTAAAAAAAAAAATAAAGCTACGTAAAAAAAAGAAGTTTTAAAGGGAGACAAACTAATATCTGTATGTGACTAAGCGACAGTAGCTGGTTCTTCTTCTTCAACTGGTTCTTCTTCAACCGGCTCTTCTTCATCAACTGGCTCTTCTTCAACCGGCTCTTCCTCCTCTTCTTCTTCTTCGACCTGTTCTTCATCATCAGTCCATCTTTCTTCTTCATCCTGATCATGTTGGGCGACTTCTTGGTCAGAATCGTCAGTTTCGTAGTCCTCATAATCCTGTTTGAAACTCAAAGTAGGTTTCACTTGAGCAGAATCCAAGGTCCATTCATTCAAAGCAGATTCACAATCGATAATAATTTGTTTTGAAGCTTCATAACCGTCATAAGCAGGTCTAGTTTCACCGGGTGTCACAGGGGCATCATCCAATAATTCTAGTAATGCTTTCCCGTACCCTGCAATCAAAGCGATTTTTTCTGAATGTTCAATGATTGAGTCGAATTGATAGTTGAAAGCGGCTCTCAATTTCGATCTAGTAATATTTGACAATTGAGCTTCTGCTACTAAAGATTCTGCCTCGGCTCTGACCAATTCTTGTTCTAACACTTCAATCTTTGGAGAAGAAGGGTCTTTATACTTCAAATAGGCGATTTTGTCAGTGATCTTGTCCTTACGGTCTCTGGAAGGCTGAACAGAGCCTTCGATATCTCTAACCGACTTCAAAGTGAGTCTGTATTGATCGTACCTGTCGATGAATTGGTCGTCCAGTTCACTAACTTCATAGATCAGGACCCCCAGCTTGTCAGTAATATCGGAGACATCGTCGTCGTTCTCCAGACCCCAGACGGACAATTGCTTAGCGGCCTCACGTCTCTCATTAGCAGTGACTTCCATGGAACGCAGGACGTTCTTTTCGATCTTGACCAATTGCGACAGTTTCCTGGCCAGCTCTGGCCCGAACGCACCTGCTGCATTACGACGGAACGTATAAGCGAGACCACCTTTCCCAAAGAATCTCCCTTTGGTGGAGGATGGAGGAGGAGGAGGGTTTTGTAATTGCGACGCCGTTGGTGCTCTTGAGTTTCTCAAAGAGTAAGTTCTGTGCATCGTGTGTGTGTATGTGTGTGTGTGTGTTTGTTTACTTGTATATATTTACATAAATATTTATAAGATAGCAATAAATGGAAACAAATAGAAATATAATATTGGGAAAGAAACCGCCCCTTATATAATAAGACGAGGCAAAAGAAACGAGATTGCAATTGGCACGAACAGCAAAAAACAAAACAGCAACTGAGAGAGAGGGACGTTACCATTCTTCATCCTTTATCGCATTGCAACGTTCCCCTATATATATAGCAAAATACGACATAGCATCCAGTGCCAGTGCCGGTGCCAGTGGAGTGCCCTTCTTCTTCGTCCTCCCACGCCGCCGTTGCTCGTTACAACAACAGCAAAGCTTCTCCTCTCAGCGGTGCTGTGACCCGTGGGAAAACAGGGGGGGGGAGCGCAAGGGAGACGCGAAAAAGTGGAATGGCTGGGCAAAACGCAGTCTTGGGGGCAGTGGAACGGGCAGGGAATGCGAGGGGATATCGCGGTGCACGGCGCGAGGGGAGGGTCGTTCGGCACGGCGGGCGGTGTTGGCGGAGATTAGGCGCTGGCCGTAGACAGTGACGGGTGTGTGGGTGCCAGGGCTGTTTCGTTTCGGGAGCGAGCCGCTATCACGACGCACGGGGGATCGTTTATTGTTTTCTCTGTTTTTTTGGTTTGGCCTCGTCTTGTATGGGGGGTTTTCCATTACGGTTCAACATATAAGAGCAGAAATCGCCAACATTTGCAAGATATTACTATATGGAAGACATATTTTACAAGCAGTAGCACGACGTAGCACGACGTGGCAGGAAACAGTAAGCAGAGAGGACATGATAAGACAGGGACTGGGCAAAGTGCACCAGCTGAGAGATACGCTGGCTTTGTTTGCCGTGTTTTTAAGCTTTAATCATGCAGGCGTTCTATGTCTGTTAGCATGGTTTGTCCTAGCAACAACGTACAAACCACTGATGTCACAGTGCCTTATCAAACTAAGTCGTGGCAATGGACAGCAATTACTTAACAATGGGAATCATAACAAAGAAAATGAAGAGGACGGTAGCAGTACCCCTACTACTACTACTACTACTACTAATAATAACAATGGCGATACCGATAGAGACGAATTACAAAGAAAGAAACGAAATCGCAATGATAACGGTAATAATGGGAGTAGACCTATATTCAAACCAAGTCTGGATTGGCTAATTCTACTATTGGAATTCGTCTCTGCTCTATTGATCAGATCAAACAAGTTCACTCTATTATATTTTATGACACCTTTACAAAGTCTCGCGTTGGCGGTAATAGCTGCATCCGCAATTAATTCGCCATCGATGGTGCCATTATACGCAGCATTATGCTCTGCGTCTCATGCTACTTTGACTCACATTACTCCGACCCATTGGAAAATTATGCTGCCGTTATCAAATATAGAGACTGCCAATACTAATGGAGTACTGTTTTGTTTAGCTTATCATATCGTATTTCGGCAATTCCTAGCAGCGGTATGGTTAAGTAATCCTTCGACCCCTACTCCAAATAATAACAACAACACCACCAGTATGGATCATGTGAACGTGAGTTTTTCAGACTCAGTGGTAACAAACGTACAATCCTTTTGTCAACCACCTCAAAATACTCAGGAAAAACCTTCTTTAACAACTAGTGCTCCTCCGGCAGCAGCAACTAATCAATTATACCAAATACACACCGAACTGCCTACGTCAACAGAGCCAAAAGCAGCACAGGACAACGGATATAATAATATAGATACGGAAGGAGATTACGATACAGAAACTACAGCGGCACATAACTTACAGACATTCGTAACATTACTATTCCGTAGAAAAAATGATAGATCCGCGGTAGTGGCCCCTCTATGGGCTCTCTGTATAACTTTGAAAGCATTGTTTATCCAAAGGTTTGGCGGAATGTTCAAAAGACATACGGTAGTCAATGATCAAGGTCCAAATTTTGATTCAAACTCAAAAATATCAACTTCAATGGATTTGATTGCACAGAATAAAACTGGAGATTTAAATCAATTGAATTTAGCCCCAACGTCAAGTGGTTCACGGGCTACTTTGGAAACAATATTCACCAACTCAAATGGTGGTTCTACTACCACCACCATTAATAGATCGATGAATAACGATTACAAAGTTTGTATCGTTGATATTGCAGCTCATGCATTGACATTTTTAATTGAAAATTTGATAGATGGTGAATTGATTGTCCTAGTGAATGGATTGATTTGGTCGGAAGTTTCATGCACATTGGTTATGGAACGTGTCGGTGACGAATATGTCGTGATTAGTGGTCTTGTTCCTGCTTGTTCGTATGATATTCAATTTGTTAATAGATTAAATCAAAAATATGATTGTTTGATTGCAGATTTAATGATTCGAACAAGCCAATTAAATAATAATGGAACCACAACTAACACTACAAATAACACTGACATTTCGAATAACTTTGAAGCATTGGACTATAGTTTCCCATCTTATTATCATAGAAAATTCTTATCTCCCTTATTGACTTTGAAACATTCTGTTTTGACAACTAATGCTAACTTATCAGATGAACGTAATAAGATTAAAAAGACAAGAAGAGAAATCAATAAAAAAATTAGTTCTCTAAGAACAGATATCGATCATTTAAAAGTGAAATTAAAACAAACTACTATGACAGATAATAAACATTCAAATAAAATAGATACTTTGAAAGCACAATTACAACAAAATGAAAATAATTTAATTAATTTGGAACAAACTTTAACGGAATTAACTACAGAAGAAAATTCTTTACAAGATATTTATTTAGCTCAAAAGGATCATCATTTAAAGAAAGAATTGGAATTTGATAAATTGAAAGAAAATCTGAACATCACTTTAACAGACGATAAAGACAAATTAAATAAATTAACCAATGATAAACTACAATTTGAAACTAAGCTAGATAAATTGATTACAAGGCATGATAAATTGCAAAAAGATTTAGATTCAAATAATGAATTTTTTAAAAATTTTAAAGATCAATTTATATCGAAGAGAGAAAAATCAAGATTAAAACGTAAAGATTTTAAAATTAGAGAAATTAATGATTTAGAATTGTCATTAAAGGCACTAGAACAAGATTTATCAAGATTGGAATATGAAAATGATAATATGAAAACTTTAATTACTCAATATTAATAAATTATCTATTATTGTAAAGTTTATTTTTTTTTTTTGCTGATGAGAATAATAAGAAGATATAATGTGCTACATGAAGCGTAGTTCTTAATTTCTTCTCTTATATTATAGGAATAGTATTGATATATGATTTCGTGTTGATATGAATTTTTAGTTTTATAGAATATAGAATATAGAATATAGAATATAGAATATAGAATATAGAATTATATCGAACCAAATGCAAAGGAGACTTTTTCGTTAAAACTGTATTTCATGAATTTCTAATAATTTCACACTAAATATAAAATTTACTGCTTCTTTCATATAGAAGTTAAAAACTATCTAGTTTTGTAGTTGCATTTGACCCTCTCAAAGAAAATAAAATATATATTACTAATTAATTAAAAATATTTGTATGATAAACAGAGTCGCTGTTGTTAAACTACTCATCTTTTGTGCATAGTAATGTTGGACAATGTAGCTCCAATAAGCCCAATGTAGGGGGAACGAATACTTCATTATGCAGTATATACCATGTGTTATTCTATATATGGCAGTGCAGCACACACTTTAAATTCTACTTATATTAGCTACCTTCACCTCAGATAGATTAAGCTAATGTTATCCTTTTTAGTGCTGCCGCTACATTTCAACAAAAGAATCACCAAGAGTTTAAATACTAACCTGTTCAAATATGGGAATATAATTTTGTTCCTTAAAAATTGCCGCTTTAGCTTAGTGGTAGAGCGTTGCACTTGTAATGCAAAGGTCGCTAGTTCAATTCTGGCAAGTGGCAAAATTTTTATTCCCCTTGGCTAAAAACTTATTAACAAATAGTATTTTTTTCCTAATCTGGTGTCAGACATATATACGCGCACAAATTGTAGTAATGGAACTAGGTGCCAAAATTATCATTCGCAATTGTCACTCCGTATCTTGTATTACTACCAATTCCTGGTGTCTTTTCAATGGCAACCGTTGTAACTCTCTTTTTCTATTGTTCCACCCATAAATATTCAGCGTAGCACGGCCGTATTTTACTGGGAACAGGAATAACTACTCAGATACGCACAGCCTACCCGTCCAAGCGTAGGCCAGTGTTAGAAGGAAGACGGTATCATATTGCTAGGCTGCGGTTTTCGAGTTAGGCAGAACACACGAGCCCGCGTTGTCTCAATTTCAGTTTTTTCTTTTGGCTTTGACTGTTGAAAATTCGAATGAGAAGCCCTCATCATCAATTACGTTTCTACCTGTGCGAAGAAAAAACACAACAAAAATTCCAAGACGTTACGCAGTTGTGAACTTGAAATTTTTCACTGAGCAAGTAATTAGCGATGCCAGTTATATTGAAAAACTTCATAATAAAAATTGAACAAAAGAGAAAAACTTTTCTACAAAACAACATAACAAAACCAATCATTTTTTCATATATATTTTGGTTGTTGCATTTACTTATAGTTCTCCCAATCTTTACCATTATAGAAACCTTTACATAACAACTAAGTATCGTTCTATTAGGTCGTTATAACCCATAATATAATACATTTTTTGTTTAAAGAAAAGTTTGTTAATATTACAAAAGAGAAAACTAAATAGATAGACAAAGAGGAACTTTGTTCATTTTCCATTATTTTAGATATACTAAACATTCTTTATTGCTTTATAATATTATACTAGTCATGGTACCAACTAAAAGAGATATCTCTCAAGTCGAAGAAGTTGATACAGATGGTCAAATTGTCTCTAACCAAAAGAAAACTTTCAGAAAGAATGAACATATGCAAGAGAAACCATTAGAATCTAATGATGATGACGACGATGACGATGAAGAAGGAGAAGAAGAAGAAGTCACCCATAAATCTAAAAATGTCTCGGGTTCTACTGCGGCATATGATATCCATGTCGCTAGAGAGACTGCAGAATTATTTCAATCAAATATTTTCAAATTACAAATAGATGAATTGGTAGGACAAGTGAAATTAAATGAAAAACATGTATTGAAAGTTGAAAAATTCTTACATAGATTTTATGATTTGGTTCAACAGATCCCAGATTGGGAAGAAAAAACTATTAGTGAAACATTATCTTATTTCAAAGGAAAACCTGTCTCTATCCCGTTTGTCGACCCCAAACCAGCAGTGACTGCTACCAATTATAAATTCAATTACAAAGCTCCAGAGGTATCTTTAATCGGTTCTTTTGCTTTGAAGACAGGTATATATCAACCGCAAGGTTCTTCTATCGATGTATTATTGACCATGCCAAAGGAGCTCTTTGAGAAGAAAGATTTCTTAAACTTAAGGTGTTTACATAAGAGAAGTGTTTATCTTGCATATTTCACATACCATTTAACAAATTTGTTAGCCAGAGATAAATTAGACGACTTCTTGACCGTTGAATATTCATACCTTCATGATGACCCTTTGCTTCCTATATTAACCTTAAAATGTCAACCAGGTGAAGATCATAAACATGAATTGAACTTCCATAAGACTAAATTCTCCATCAATTTAATTATCGGTTTCCCTTACAAAATATTTGAGTCCAAGAAGTTGCTACCAAATAAAAACTGTATCAGAATTGCCAAAGAAGATAACGATACTCCATTAGAAGCTACATCACTTTATAATTATTCAGTGTTATCTGCCTCTGCATACGAACCATATTTGAAATATCTCTACAAATGTAAGAAAGAAACCGAAGCATTCAGAGAAGCATCGATTCTTGGTAGACTTTGGTTGCAACAAAGAGGCTTTTCTTCTAAGATTTCTCAATCTGGTAGTTTGGGTGGATTTGGGACTTTTGAATTTTCCACTTTAATGACTGTATTATTGAATGGTGGTGGTGAAAACGGTAATAAAATTCTTTTACACGGTTTCTCTTCATACCAATTATTCAAGGGTGTGATAAAATACCTAGCTACTATGGATCTTTGTACCGAAGGCCATTTACAATTCCATTCTGATATCACATATGCTGCTGCTGTATCGAAGTATGTTCAAGAGGGTTTCCAAACCCCAACTATCTTTGATAAATCTACAAAGATTAATATCCTTTCCAAGTTATCTGTCAGTAATTACAATATTCTGAAATTTTATGCAAAGGAAACATTGGCTATGCTAAATGATGTAGTTCAAGATCGTTTTGCTAACATATTCTTAACCAATATTAACAGATCTGACCAACTAAAGTACGATTTGTGTTATGATTTGAAGTTCCCAACTAATGGTTCTGCAGAATCTGATTTGATATCCAAATTTACCGCTACTGAAAGAATTAAATACATCACAATAGAAAACTTCCTAGTACACAAGGTTATTAGTGTAATTAAATATGCATTAAATGATAGAATAGCAAACTTAGAGGTTCAATTAGTGGGTCACAGATCCAACTTTGCGGTAAATAAAAGGAAACCTCTTGTTGTAATGTCCCCTGGTTCTCATTTCAATTTTGATCACATAAGAATTAAACTACTGATAAACCAAGAAGAATCCGAAAAATTAATTACAAAGGGCCCATTACATTCAGAACAAGCATCACAGGCTGCTGTTCTCTTTAAAAGTTTCTGGGGACCTAAATCATCTTTACGTAGATTTAAAAATGGTTCAATCAATCACTGTTGTTTGTGGACTACCTCCAGCTCTGAACCTGTTATCTCATCGATTATTCCATTTATCATAAAAAGACACCTTTCTGAGGGTATTAATATAGATAACACTATCACTAAACAATTCCAAGATTTGTTACCATTATCAAACCTAGCTGCTAGTTCCAAGACATCTGTTTTGAACATGACAAGTTTCTTCAATGTCAAGAAGTCATTTGATGACTTATACAAGATTATTTTTAGAATGAAACTTCCGTTATCAGTTAAATCTATTTTACCGGTTGATACATCATTCAGATATACCTCACTATGTCAGCCAGTCCCATTTGCATATTCTGATCCAAAATTCTTCCAAAATATTATTTTGGAATTTGAAACGTCCCAAAAATGGCCAGATGAAATAACGTCTCTGGAGAAGGCCAAAACAGCATTTTTATTGAAGATTGAGGAACAATTGGCTTCTGAGCATGGTACTAAGTATAAGTCATTCTTTGCTCGTGATGAATCCATTCCATTTAATTTGGATGTTACTACCCTAAACATTTTGACACCTGAAGGTTATGGTTTCAAATTCAGAATCTTAACTGAGCGTGATGAAGTTCTGTATTTAAGAGCTATTTCTAATGCGAGAAAAGAAGCCACACCAGCTTTAGAGAACACATTTTTAGAATTTACCTCAGCATACTTGGCATCTATCAGACACACGAGAACAATCGAAAATATATCACATTCATACCAATTCTACTCTCCAGTTGTGCGTCTATTCAAGAAATGGTTAGATTGCCATTTGTTAATGGGTCACCTAAAGGACGAACTTATAGAATTAATTGCAATGAAACCATTCACTGACCACTATCCATATTCTATTCCAGGCTCTGTTGAAAATGGTTTCTTAAAAATATTAAAGTTCATTGCCCAATGGAACTGGAAGGATGAACCATTAATTTTAGATTTAGTTAAACCAGATGCTGCATATGAGGACCAAATGGAAGTTAGTATTGGTGGATCTGAAATTAATTCTGAAACCATGAAGAAATTGTCAGAGAAGTTAACTCTTGCTCAATACAAGGCAATTCAATCCAATTTCCGTAATCTAAGGAAGGATGACCCTAACGGTATTCATCTCCAATTCTTTGTTGCGTCAAAGAATGATCCAAGCGGTATTTTATATTCTTCGAACATTCCACTTGCCATTGCTACAAGATTGACTGCATTAGCTAAAGTTGCCATCAATTTGATTCAAACACACGGCTTGAATAGCCAAACCATCGATTTGTTGTTTGCTCCTGGTCTAAAGGATTATGATTTTGTAGTCCATTTGAAGGTTCCAAACAGATTGAAGATCTCCTCAGGTATTATTACGCAGTCAGAATTCAAGAACTTAACTAACATTGATGCACCATCTTCCTTCCCAACAGATCTGAACGAATTAAGCCAAAAGATGGATCCAACATACCAATTAGTGAAATATTTGAATATGAAATATAAGAATACAATGATTTTTTCAAGTCATAAATATATTGGTGTTAATGGTGGAACACACGGTAATGAAAATGTTATTACCGGTCTAATCAAACCATTATATAAGAAGCAGATGAAATTCAAGGTCAACATGGACTGTAATGCTAAACCTGTAGATGCAGAAAGTGTTGTTTTAAATAAGGAATCAATTTATCATGAAATTGCAGCATTTTCCAGCGACTTAATTGTAAAATTTGATCTAGATTAAGTTATTGTTTGAACTGTTTTCTTTTGAATTTAGAAAATAATAATACTAAATAGTGATATATATTTAATTTCCATAGTAATAATAATATATATTTTATAGAAAATTCTATATCTCGCTATATCGATAGACAGATATACTTAGCTTCTCTTATTAATTTTTGTCACGAATAAGTTCGAACGTTATTGTTCCAATTATAACTGGGCTGTGAAAAAAAAAAAAAAAATTCATAACAAATATGTAGGGTAGACCTCATCGCATAAAATTACCACCAACAATAACCACCAGTTTGAGGACTATTCATATTAAGACATAAGTTAGAAAGTATTATTAATAATTATCAATAACAAATTGCAAATGTCTGATTTCGAAGATGACGATCTCGCGAACGATCTGGATAATGATTTTGGAGAAGTTTCTGATGTTGAAGAGGATAATATCGAAGAAATCAAGGATGAGATAATGAGTCCACCAGATGACATAGAACCAAGTGGAGACCATAAAGAACTTACTATATCAGAAGTGATAGAAAATTTAAAGAAACGCATTGAAAACTATGTTCCTTTTGATATATCAGATAAGACCATTGAAAGTATCGAACCACAGAAGATATCCTCGATTTTACCTGTTAGTCGTCCAGTAGAAAGATTAATAACTGAAAATATTACTAAGCTAGAGGATGTACATACTTTACTGAACGAACTTTCTCCATTAATAACAAATGACATTCGATTACTAAGGAAGTATATAAATATGATTTATGCCAAAAGGTTCGATGAGCTTGAGACCATTTTACCATCAGATAACCAATATGCAAAAGTGGTGAAGCTATTGGAACAAATAGACACTAAAAGTACCAGCGAAACTGAATTGTCTCATCAATTATTAACTTTGTGTGAGTTAAGCAAAGAACAGAATTTGGTGGTTTTGATGTCGATGAAGACATCCTTCAACAATAACATGGAATTTAATCAACATATGAAAACCAATTTATTCCAAGTGAGTGATAATATTCTATCTTTAATCGAACTGCAACACAATATATCAAGATATATATCATCCAAGATTGAATTATTAGCGCCAAATGTCTCTGCATTAGTAGGTCCTAAAGTAACCTCTTTATTAGTTTCTCATGCTGGTGGTATTCTCGGGTTAAGCAAAATCCCAAGTTGTAATCTAGCCTCTATAGGGAAGAATAAACATATAAGTTACGAACAACATACGACGGCCAGTGGTATAAGGCAAGAGGGCTATATCAGTTCCACAGAAATAATACAAAACTTACCTATATCATATCATAAACAGATGTTACGAATGGTATGTGCCAAAATATCGTTGGCGTCCAGAATAGATTGTAGTCAGAGAGGAACTGATAAGAATAATACTATGGGGCTAAAATGGAAAGAAGAGATCGAAAATAAAATCAAAAAATTACATGAATCTCCAAATGTTACAGATGATAAGGCATTACCGATACCGGAGGACAAACCTAAGAAGAAACGTGCTGGTCGGAAATTTAGAAAATATAAAGATCAATTTAAATTATCTTATGCAAGACAACTTCAAAACCGTATGGAGTTTGGGAAACAAGAGACTACAGTGACGGATTCATTTGGAGAAGAAGTAGGTCTTGGTATGATGAATACACCAATCCAACAAGCCACAGGGTCCTCTCACAATAATGATAGAGGAGGAATTACGAAGCTGAGCAAGAACATGAAGAAAAGAGTACGTGAAGCTGACGAACAAACTAGAGAGTATATGTTAACACTAACAGGAGATACCCACTAATAAATAGGGCTTCCCATCTCTTCACTCAGCATCCCGTATCGTATCGGGTCATTTACATAATTCGTACATATATAAATAACAATTAGATTTCCTATTTTGGGCGAAACATAAACACGAATCAGAAAGGACAAAATTTGTTCTTTGCTTTGAATTCAAGGAAAAAACAAAAAATCAAAGAGGGAAAGAGAAATCGGATCGATGAAACAAGCAGAGAGTAGACAAGATAGAGAACGTAAACACGTCGTCATTGTATTCCCCTGACCAATTTGATCCTGTGGTGATCTGAGATTTTTTTTTATTTTCTATAATATATCAATTACAGTTCTAGGTTTAACCAAAATTGTAACAACTCACCCCCGCCTGAAATCACAAATTGGTTATAATTAATCATACGAAATAAAGTGTTAAGAACAATCACAAACCTCAACATCTTAATACATCAGCAACGTGTTAAGGCAAAACAAAACAAAAACAACATAAGAATAATATCGAGGACATTTCGTCAATTAAGCTTCATAATTAAATCGCCATGTTCCCTAGATCAGATAGAAACGTGGAAGCTCTCACTGGAGATATGAGCCAATTAAGCTTCGATAGTTCCAATAACAACATAATGTCATCTGGGAATAAACTAAAATATAACGGACAGTATTCTCCTACAAGATATAAGGAAAACAGATATGGGGCAAATACTCCAACACCATCACCAACCAAATCTACTGTATTTGGAGGTGATGATACATCAAGAATGGATGTAGATGATTCAATTTCTCATGATATCGATATTGTTCATTCTCCTAAAAAACTTCCTCCTGGGTTCGATAAGAAAGCCTCTTCTAACAAGACTCAAAGGCTGGTTAGTGTCTGTAAAATGTACTTTTTGGACTACTATTGTGATATGTTTGATTATGTTATTAGTAGGAGACAACGTACCAAAAAAGTTTTGGAATACTTAGAACAACAGAAACAAGTTCAAAATGCACCAACAGAGACGTTAAATAATGAATGGTATGGCTATCTTCAAAAGGAACACGAAGTGCTGAGAAAAAGAAGATTGAAACCAAAGCACAAGGATTTTGAAATGATTACACAAGTGGGTCAAGGTGGTTATGGTCAAGTTTATCTAGCTAGAAAGAGAGACACCAAGGAAGTCTGTGCTTTGAAGATTTTGAATAAAAAATTACTATTCAAATTAAATGAAACCAATCATGTTTTAACAGAAAGAGATATCTTGACTACAACCAGATCGGAATGGTTAGTCAAACTACTATATGCGTTCCAGGACCCCGAAAGTTTGTTTTTAGCTATGGAATTTGTACCAGGTGGTGATTTCCGTACATTGTTAATCAATACAAGGTTTTTAAAGAGTGCACATGCTAGATTTTATATAAGTGAAATGTTTTGCGCAGTTAACGCACTCCATGAATTGGGTTATACACATAGAGATTTGAAACCAGAAAACTTTTTAATTGATGCTAAGGGTCATATTAAATTGACCGATTTTGGTTTAGCTGCAGGTACTGTCTCAAATGAAAGAATTGAAAGTATGAAATTGAGATTGGAAGAAGTGAAGAATTTGGAATTCCCTGAGTTTAAAGAAAAATCCATTGAGGACAGAAGAAAAATATATCACAACTTGAGAGATACTGATATAAGTTATGCCAACTCTATGGTCGGTTCTCCAGATTATATGGCTTTAGAAGTCTTGGAAGGTAAGAAGTACGATTTTACTGTAGACTATTGGTCTCTTGGTTGTATACTATTTGAAAGTTTAGTTAGTTATACGCCATTCAGTGGATCTTCAACGAATGAAACTTACGAAAATTTAAGACATTGGAAACAAACGTTGAGGAGACCAAGACTTGAGAATGGTAGGGCCGCATTTTCTGATCGTACATGGGATTTAATAACAAGATTGATTGCAGATCCTATAAGTAGACTAAGATCGTTCGAACATGTAAAGAGGATGTCTTATTTCTCTGATATAAATTTTGATTCGTTAAGATCGATGTCTCCACCATTTATTCCTCAATTAGATAGTGAAACGGATGCAGGTTACTTTGATGATTTTACAAATGAAGCAGATATGGCTAAATATGCTGATGTCTTTAAGAGGCAAAATAAATTATCTGCCATGGTCGATGACAGTGCTGTCGACTCAAAGTTAGTTGGATTTACATTCAGACACAGAAATGGTAAACAAGGTTCAAGTGGTATACTATATAATGGTTCAGAAAATTCCGATCCATTTGCCACTTTCTACTAATCATAATAACATGTTCAGTAACATATATAGACAAATAAGGTATTCCTCAAGAAATCCAATTTAATTCAAAAACATACCAAAATCCCCTTCATAATAACAATAATTGTACTAATTCATATAGTAAATAATCATAATAATCATAATAATAATAATAAAATAAGTTATCCTAATTTTGTTTTTGCTGATAACTTTCTTCTCATTGGAATGTCATTTAAAAATTCACTAGCTAAGTACAACTCGCACCGAGTGACTACCAAGAAAATTTTCGGATCTTACATAAAGAGATGAGCTAACCATATAGAGAAGTAAAACATATTAACATTACAAGCTATATAATAGCAGACCCACACACACAAATATTTGATATTAACAACAATGAAATTACTAATTGCTCATGGGAATGATGCAAGTTTCTTGACTCTGATTGAAAAGATCAAGAAACTAAATGCGAAAGCTGGTCCTTTCACACACATTTTAATTGTTGGTGATGTTAAAAGTGAAACAATTGATAATATAGGAGACGTCAGTGATTTGCCAACTTTATATATATTTGGTGCAGAAGGAGAAAGTACCATTGATATTGTTCAATTGAATGGTTTTGGCGTATATGAGTGTCAGGATAAACTTACGATTGGATATACCACACAGACTACAAAGCAACTTAACGAATCAAAGAAGGCACTTTGGAATAAATTTAAACAACTGGAAGACCCTGTTGATATATTCATTTCACGTGAGTGGAGTTCAAAAGTTGCTGCGTTGAATGAGCTATTTAGTGGTACTGAACTGCTGGATAATGTTGTCAAAATGACCCAACCTAAATATCACATTGCATATGGGGATAACAACCATTATTTTGAGAGTAAACCTTTTATTTGGGAAGACTCCAATGAAATATCACGTTTTATTAATATTGCAGATTTTGATTCTGCAAAGAAATGGGCATATGCATTCAATCTCGATATGATCAAGGGTGAATCAGACAATTGCACAAAGAAATTAGACTTGATTGACAGTCCGTATAATGCACCTTCACAGAAACGAGCTCTATCCACTGATAAACATATAGGTGATAATAACAAAGTAATCGTGGAACCAAAGCAAAAAAGAGCCAAAAAGGTTCTCCCAAGTACCTGCCATTTTTGTTTCACAAATGCCAGTCTTGCGGATCATATGATTATTTCTATCGGTAACTCGTCATATCTGACAATTGTTAAAGGCCCGTTAACGACCCCCAAAGGTGACATGGATTTTTCTGGTCATTGTCTATTGATCCCCATAGAGCATATTCCAAAATATAATGTAGGTCAAGATAAATTCAGTGAATCCACTTTAGTGAAGGAGATGACCGATTATGAAAATAGTGTTGTAAAGATGAACTATCGTAAATTTGATATGTCCACTATTGTATTTGAAATTAATTCTGAAAGATCTATTCATTTTCATAAACAGATCATACCAGTACCCAAATATTTGATTATGAAATTCGAGGCTGCATTAGATAGACAATTACATTTTAATAATGAAAATTTTTTCAATAATGCCAAACTAAATTTCAAGAAGTATTCGTCTACAAATGGAGAATATTTGAAAATAAGAGATGATCCCAAGTCAAATTATTTACAATTTACTGTATATGAGACATCAGAAGTAGTTCCTAAGGTCTATATCGCCATGTTTCAATCCGATATGCGTCTTGATCTTCAATTTGGTAGAAGAGTTGCAGCATTTCTGTTAAAACTCCCAAAGAGGATAAAATGGGATTCTCCTGCTTGTCTTCAATCCAAAGAACAGGAAATAATGGAAACGGAACATTTCCAAAAAGGTTATAAAGAATTTGATATCATGACACAGATTTAATGCATGATATATTATATATATATATGGTTATAAATCACTAGAAGTTTGTATTATCTATATCTGATCTATAGCAACGTATTTATTATTAATAAGTAGTATCTCGCTCGGTAACAATAAATAAAAGAGAAAAGCAAGACTAAGGATTTGTATTATGCCTAACAAAAATAGATGTTGTAATTATTGATTGATGAGCCTCGAGATAACACCCAAGTTTTAGTGCATATAAATAATTGGTACTACTTAGATAAAGTGATTTACTCCATTATATAAACCTTTTTTAGCCGCCAAAATATTTACGGTTGCGCAGGCATGTTGAGAATGAATATCACCTTCCGGAAGAGAACCAAATTCCCTAGTTTATACAAAGGATGTAGGCGATTACATATAACTCCATTATTAAAATTAGTCGAAAAGGCTTCTTCATATGACCCAATTGCAATTGAAAAGGATTGGTATAAGATTTGGGAGAGAGATAAACTTTTTACTCCAGATCTGTCAAAGGATGTGGATCCTTCAAAGGTGTTCTGTATTGCAGCACCACCTCCAAATGTAACAGGTGCATTACATATTGGTCATGCTCTTACAATTTCTCTTCAGGACTCCTTGATACGATATAATCGCATGCTAGGTAAGACTGTGCTATTTCTACCTGGATTTGACCACGCAGGGATCGCTACTCAATCAGTCGTCGAAAAACAACTCTATAAGAACGAACATAAAACCAGATATGACTACGGTAGAGAGCAGTTTATCGAAAAAGTTTGGGAATGGAAAGATGTATATCACTCTAAAATCAAAGATCAGATTAAGAAAATGGGTGGATCCTATGATTGGTCTCGTGAGGCTTTCACCTTAGACCCCAAACTTTCTAATGCTGTTACAGAAGCTTTCGTAAGGCTGCACGATGAAGGAGTTATCTATAGAGATTCAAAACTTATTAACTGGTGCGTCAAATTAAATACTGCCATTTCAAATCTGGAAGTTGAAAATAAAGAGATACAGGGAAAAACATTCCTAAAAGTACCAAATTATGATAAGCCGATAGCATTTGGCATAATGACCTCCATTGCATACGAAGTAGTAGATAAGGATGGTTCAAAGATAGGTGATAAGTTAATAATTTCTACTACTCGTCCAGAGACTATATTTGGTGATACAGCTATAGCTGTACATCCAGATGATATTCGTTACGAAAATTTGCATGGAAAATTTGTTAAACATCCCTTACTTGACAAAAATATACCAATTATTCAAGATAAGGAAGCAGTGGACATAGACTTTGGGACTGGTGCAGTGAAGATAACACCAGCACATGATTTGAATGACTATAAGTGTGGGAAGAGACATAATTTACCTTTTGTTAATATTTTTACGGATGACGGTTTCTTAAATGGTAACTGTGGAGATGGTTGGAAAGGTATGAAACGTTTCGATGCACGTACTAAAGTTGTAGAAGTTTTAAAAGAGCAGGGCCTACTTATTGGTGAAAAAGAGCATTCTATGACTATTCCGATCTGTTCTAGATCCGGTGATATCATCGAACCTTTGTTAAAACCACAATGGTGGGTATCACAAGAATCAATGGCTAATGAAGCTATGAAAGTCGTCGATAGCAATGAAATTAAGATTCAACCTAGACATTCAAGAGATGAATATTTTAGATGGCTACTGAAAATCGATGACTGGTGTATTTCTCGACAACTTTGGTGGGGTCACAGATGTCCCGTCTACTTTATCAAAATAGAGGGAAACTCAGAAAAGAAAATGAGACATGACAATAGGTACTGGGTTGCTGGAAGAAATATTGAAGAGGCAAAACAAAAAGCGCTTAAGAAGTTTCCAAATAGTAGATTTGAATTAGAACAAGATACTGATGTATTAGATACATGGTTTTCCTCGTCGTTGTGGCCGTTTTCAATATTGGGATGGCCTCAAAAAACTAAAGATATGACTACGTTTTATCCATTTTCTTTATTAGAAACAGGGTGGGATATTTTATTCTTTTGGGTTGCACGGATGATTATTATGGGTGTCAAGCTGACCGGCTCAGTTCCATTTAAAGAGGTATTTTGCCATCCTTTAGTACGGGATTCCCAAGGTAGAAAAATGTCTAAATCATTAGGAAATGTTATTGATCCAGTAGATGTGATTAATGGAGCTTCACTACGTTCTTTACAAGAAAAGTTAATAAACGGCAATCTTGATTCTCGTGAGATTAAAATGGCAACAAAAGGTCTGAAGGAATCATACCCAAACGGAATTCCTCAATGTGGTACTGATGCATTACGATTTGCATTATGTTCTTATACTAGTAATGATAACTCAAATGATATTAATTTGGATATCAAAAAAGTGGAAACTTATAGAAAGTTCTGTAATAAAATGTATCAAGCTACGAACTTTGCCTTATTGAAGGTGAAAACAGAATCTTTGATCGATACAAATATCATGTCAAATAAAAATCAGTCTATTAATGAGAAGTATATCCTCTCCAAGATGAATGAAGCTTCTAAAAATATTGCAGTAGCTTTTGAATACCGACATTTCATGAATGCGGTAGATATTGTTTACCAATTTTGGTACCAAATCTGTGACCATTATATCGAATATTTTAAATTCATTTCCAAAACTGGCAGTGTAGAAGAGATCAAATCTGCAGAGATCACATTAATAACTGTGTTAGATAGAGGCCTGAGAATGATTCACCCCATGATGCCCTTTATTTCTGAGGAGTTATGGCAAAAATTACCAACTGTTAAGGATACTAAATCTATATGTTTGGCCCCATATCCCATATACGAACAAAATATTGCTGATACATATGAAATGGAAGCCGAAAAGTTCAGTCAAATATTGGATGTAATTAGTGAATCGCGGGGTATATTAAACCAGTATAACATTTTGAAAAATGGTAAAATATTTATTGAAATTAATGAGCCAATATTAAAAACAATATTTCAAAAAGAAGATAACTATATCGAAAATTCAATAAAGATGGGAATACAACGATTAGTAGTTACAAATAATCAAAAAGATATACCTGAAGGGTGTGTATCGAAATCTGTGAATTCTTGTATTTCAATCCATTTGCTGGTGAAAGGACAAATCATAGATGTACAGGGAGACATTAAAAAATTAGAAAAGAAAATTGTTAAATTAAGCAAGAAATACGAATCACTGCTGACAGTAATGAACAATAAAAATTACACAAAGGCAAGTGCTACTGTCCGTGAAACAAACAAGACAGTGGTAAAAGATTTAAAAACGCAAATACAGACGTTCCAAATGACTGCAAATAATTTACGTAAAGAGCTGTAAATATACTATAAATAAATATTCATGTAAGAAATGAAAATTAAAATGACTGGATACAAATATATATATATATATATACTTAAATATTATTAATTTTTTCCTTCATATACTCTCTAAAGGTTTTGTTCAATTGATTTACTTTTATTTCAGATTGCTCTAAAATTTTTAGGATATCATTTTCATCGAAATCACCATAACTATCCATCAACAACAAATTGGAAGGTTTATTGTTCTCAATCATATATGCGACAACATGCATGGATTTTGAATTCTTTAAGATTTCATCAGTAGGTTCTGTTATCAGCTGATTATCTTTAGAAATCACAACTGTTGTTCCAAGGGCTATTCCTTTTAATGCAATACCAGAATCAACTAAAGCATATGTAGTAGAGTTGACACATGCTATTAATTCTAATGCATGAAAATATGGCTCAGTTTCACCTGATTGTAATAACTGTAGCGTAATTTGACATAATTGTCTTGGATATTTGTATGACGCCAATATAGGTGTGATGATAGCACGCACTTTATCCTGTATGTTTACCTCTCTAGTTGTCGGAACACCGCTAGCAGGTCTAATATTTATCTCTAATGCTAATTGTGTAGGTAGTTCTTGACGAGCCTTTGGTTCCACAGGACCTGTTACTGCAGATATCACTTTGGTAGAGTTCAATGAGTATAAACAAGAACCATCAACGTTCTCCAAATAACCTGTTTGAGCATCCATTGTTCTGATGTTCTTTTTTATAAAATATATTTAGTTAGCTTTAAGCTCTAGAATCAAATGTCTATTGAAGTCTCAAATAACTACTTTCTTATCCTTTTCACAACTTTTTGAGGAGTGATGCATCTGAATAGAGCAATCACTTGGATTGAAAAAAAAAATTGTTAAAAATTTAAAAAATTCATATTAAGTTTTTAAAAAAAGCTTTAAATGTTCCGGGATCGCGATGACCTTTGTTAGCATAAGGAGCTGTGAATTTATCGAGAGGAACTACCAATCTTTAAAGGGTAGAGAAGAAGATAGAGTCGAACAGTTGGAGCAAAGGGAAAAACCCTTATTACTTAAAAAATGTATCTTTTTCTTCAGTTTAATATATATATATATATACACTACCATTATTTTCAAAAATAAGTTTAGGCAAAAATAAGTTCAGGCAAAAAGAAGTCATAGGAATAAATGAAAGACGGAGATCATGAAAGTGACGTAGTGTTGCAATCGCCAGATTATTTACGAAAGGGTCAAGATGCTCAATTACTGAAGAGCTCAATTGCAGGTGCATTAGCGGGACTAGCTGCCCGTAATGTAATAGCTCCTCTAGATACGTTAAAGATTCGACTTCAAATAACACCTATTTTGAAAAGTGGTTCTGTTCATAATATTACCAATCCATTCCAATTAGGTCCGAGTTTAGTTGGACAGGTACATAAGATGATACGGGATGAAGGTATACGATCATTCTGGAAGGGTAATGTATCGGGATCTGCGATGTATGTAATATACAATGGATTCCAGTTCTGTACATATTCATATTTCAATAAACATTTGGCACCGTACACTGGAGACTGGCTAAATTTACATACCACATTAGTGGGTGCACTTTCTGGAGTATCGAGTTCCATATCCTCTTATCCGTTTGATATATTACGTACAAGGTCAATTGCTAATAATCAAATAAAATTGTTTCGTATACGTGATGGAATTGCAGATATATGGAATCATGAAGGGTTTCGGGGATTTTATCAAGGTTCCGTTTCTGCTGTGTTATCAATCAGTATTGGTACATCGATTATATTTGGTACTTACGAAGGGTTAAAAATATACTCTGAAAGGAAATTACGAGAAGTTTCAGAACAAGGAGAAAGATCAGAACCATTATTACAAATATTCATGTATAAGACACTAAACCATAGTGCAAGTTCTATCAGCGGCCTATTATCCAAGATTGTAACGTTTCCTATTGACACTGTAAGACGTCGAATACTATTGAAGGATTCCAATCATCTTGAACAATTTCTGGGATCACAACATCCCGATAAAGGAGAGCTATATCAATATTTCACACAATATAAGAAAAAAAGACACGCAGATAAATTCACATTACCATTTGTAATGATTAGTAAACAAATGCTAACGCATGAGGGTCCGAAAGCTTTTTATAAAGGGTTATCGATGGCTTTAGTTAAGACAGTCCCATCTACAGCAGTGACACTCTGGTCGTACGAGACGATCATGCGTGCGATGAATTAATGAAATATTTTTACAAAGAAGAACTATTCATCTTTTATTTGAAAGAAGCCAACAAAATTTAGGTCTGGTAAATATTCAAAAACATTGAATTTGTCCTGTTTCCTTATCATGAAGATGTTGATCTAGAGGTTGATACAAGATACCGGGAAGATGAAAGAACTATCAAAACCTTACAAGAAATAAGGCCAATCTAAAATTCCAGTTTTTTCTTTCTTTCTGTTATTTTTCAATGCGTGAGTAAATTAGTTCCCAAGAACAAAAATGTATCTGTAGAGAGCGATTAACTAGAAGGGGAAGATGCTTCCTGCCCAATAAAACACTAACAAAGAACTCTCTCCACACACGAACATTAATTGCATGCATATCTACCCATCACAGAACGAAATTTGTCGAGAGGGTCATTTTCTTGTTTGTTTGCTTGTCTCTCTGTTTAGTGTGTCCCCCCACCAAAAATTTAGCATCGAAAAACTGAAAAAAAGTTTTTTCAGTTTCTTCTCAAAGTCGCTCAAATCTGGTCACGTCCTGCGTGCGATACTTAGAGAATCTGGCAATATTGTTGTGGATGAAATGAAAGATAAGACAAAAAATGAGTCTGAAAGTTGTTTTCATTCAGGTTTGTCTCGTTGCCCAAAATCCTGTGATCACTGGGTGCCATTTACAGAATGTCAACATGCTTGCTCTTTGCGTTTTGTCTGTTTTTACTCTCTGTCTCTGACATTGGTTATGTGATTCTTTTGTTTACAGTTTCTAGAAAAGATTTATCGCACCATGTGTGAGGGATAAGACCTTGGCCAGCTGAAAGAGGCATGATGGGTTGAGTTAGGCAATGGTTAGATTTCCTCTCTTATTCTAGCAATAACAGAATAACAATAGAAGAGTGAAATGTTCCAAAAGAGTCTCAAATACTTGTTTTTTTTTCTCAGATCACCATCGCTAACTTCAAGAAAGGCAACAGTAATTCGCTAATTGTCTGATCAAAGAAACAAAATAAATTTCGACTATATAGTTATTTTATATTTATTTTCTTGCATTGAGTTTTGACAGGTAAATATAATCTTCTCGCACACCTAGGCAGAGAAATATGATTGGCGAGATATTTCTTTTTGGTTTTCAGAAGAAAGTGCAAACAATCAAATAAACAAAATGGTTTTTCTTCTAATGTAGCTAATCAGTATTACCACTATAATAGTTATATAATATTTACAAACAGACACTTGAACCATTAATCTCTCTCTCTCTCTCTCTTTTACTAGCTTGAAATACATAGATATTTATTTTCGGCCGAATTTTTCAGTTTTCCACTTTAATTTAAATAATAATATTAAAAGGAAGAACTGGTAAAAAGCCAAAAAGTTATTAATAAAACTACCATTAACTAACATCCTTAGAGAGGTGATAGATAACACACATTTTATTATATTTCTTCCTTACTTTTTTGCCAATCAGCCACGTTACTCGATTAAACATTATTAGTTTATATAAAAAACATATCTTAAAGAAACGTGGTTATATTTATTACTATTAATCTCGCCCCTTCGTATTCCATATCACTCCCTGCCATTAATAGGGATATAAGAACGCAAATAATATAAGAAGAGTTGCTATAAATATTTTCAAAAACAACAATAATAACAACACACTTTACATTTAATCTAAGAAATATCCATTTATTCCATCGCATTCTAGTATAACATATTATGTCTGATTATTTCAGCGTGAAACCTATTCCATCAAATGGAGACGCTGGAGGAGGAGGCTCCAGTGGAACTAATACTCCTGGAAGTTCTCAACTTCCAACTCCATCGTATTCCCTAGCAGGAAGTATAATGAATGCTGATAATACCTCCATACACTCCAGTGGATCTCAATATCTGATGGATATGATTCCAGATTCATTGACTTTAAAGGACAACGCCACATATTCTCACATTAATACCAAGGATTTTATATTGCCAAAGACCGATGTTAGATCCCCTTATTATATAGCAGTACCTATTCCAAATCCTTTGGCTACTGCAGCATTGAATAGTACTAGTTTACCCGAGGATGGTCCAAAGGATAGTACTGATGACGATGGTTATTTCGTCAGAGAATTTCCAACTGATATTTTAATTGATAGATTTTATAAATGGAAAAAAATCTTAAAGAGTATTATTGCTTATTTAAGAGAAGTTGCATACGCCCAAGAACAATTTGCCAGAGTGAATCATCAAATTAAAGGTTCTATCAAATTCCCCTTCCTAACAGATATACAAGATGGTTCTAACAAGGTTGTAGATCCATTATTTAATCCAAAATTGACTAAAAAACAACAACCTTTAACTCTGGCTCAACAGAAAGAACAAAGAGAATTGGAATTGCAAAGACATTTGGAAGCAGAGATAGAAAACCAAGGTAATGCTCTACCTAAGATTCCTATCTCTTCAGTGAATCAAACTACAAATACTGCTGCATCAGGTTTCATGCAATTCGGATCAGGTTCTATTCAGGATATTCAAGTGATCTTAAAGAAACATCATCTAGCTTTAGCAACACAACAATTTAAAGTATCTAAAGAGATCATCAACGTATTAATTCCAAAATTGGAAAGTTTAAGAAAAGACCTAAGTTTTAAGATTAAAGAAATTAAAGAATTGCATAGCGATTTTAAAACTAATATCAAGTCTCATATCAAATTATCCAGTCACCTATTGAATAAATATATCGCCGCAATTAAGTTTGTTAATAGAGGTAACCTAGATGGTACATCAAATAACCCGATTCATTTACATCCAAAGCATGATCCATTTTTATTAAAACTTCAACTAGATTTGCAATTGAAGAGACAACTATCTGAAGAGAATTATCTTCAAGAGGCTTACATCAACTTACAAACGACTGGTTTAAAATTGGAAAAAATCATATATACAAAGATTCAACATTCATTACAAAGGTATTCCTCTTTAATTGACGCTGAAGCTAGATTGATGATTAAGAATTTATGTCAAGAATTGCAACATGGTATGTTGTCAAAACCACCGGCATTAGAATGGGATCATTTTGTCTCACATCATCCATTATGTCTTATGGATTTAAAATCAAACGATCCTTTACCAAGACCTAGAAAGTTATCAGATATTGTATATCCTAACATGAAGGCTTCGATGGCAAAATGTATTCGAGCTGGATATTTTGAGAAAAAATCTAACTTTACAAAAGAATTCAAGAAAGGTTATTTCGTCTTGACTCCAAATTATCTTCACGAGTTTAAGAGTAGTAATTTTTTCAATAACCCAAACATTTCATCAGCGAATGCCTCTGGTTACTCGACACCGTCTATATCAGTTTCATCATCGTCTGCACACCTTTCAAACCTTGGGGACTCAATGACTATGACTTCTCTGCCACCTAATTCCAATGCACAGGCTAGTCTTGCAAGTAGCAAAACTGGTAATGCTAAGAAAGTCAATTCTTTAACACCAATCCTAAGTATACCTCTAAATGAATGTACCTTAACTGAATACACCGAATCGTCATTTACGCTTACAGGTAAAGCAACTTTTATAGAATTAGAGAGAAGAAAACCAAATGCTAATTTAGGATACGGTATGAATGCTACTAATCAACATCCATCAAACGGATTTCCCACACCTGGAAATATACATGTTAGTGCATCTGCAGCAAGTTTAAATCCACTTGAAAATGAATCAGCTAAATATATTACCAAAAAATCTGCTTCAGCCTTATCAAAATTATTATTAAAACCTGTTAGAGGAAAACAAGCCAAACAAAAAAGTGCGAATAAAAAAGAAGTTAAAAGACAACAAGAGGAATATAACAGAGTAATTGAGAAGGAATCAAATCATATTGTTACATGGGTATTCAAATCTGCTCAAGAATATCCAACAGAAGAAGAAAAAAAACATTTTAAAAAATGGATCCTAGATTTGAAGAACCTGTGTTCTTTCAACACTACGGGGGAAAGATTAAGATATATTGATGAAAAAATTGGAAAAATTCAAAGTCAACGTGTAAGGGGAAAACATCACCACACATCTTCTGTGGCCGATCAAAGTGCAACTGGTTCAATGGTAGTCTCGGAAGCTCCATCGATGTTTGGAACCTCTGTTATGCTCAACCAATCGCTAAATGAAACTTCCAATTCATTACCTACTCCTATGACTGAAACTGTACAACCAAAATCACCTCGAGGAAACATCAAACCTAATTATATCCCAATAGAAAATACAGCCGCGATGGATTTGAATGCCGGCTTTAGATCTAGAATCAACACACCAATGATTGATGATAATGGTAATCTAATTACTCTTGCTGAGAAGAAACCTGCTTTTGTGAAGAGTGGATCTTTATCGTTGTTTGGTTTACAACCATTACCAAAACCTGTGCAGTCTCCAAACCCGTCTAATGGTTCTGATCAATATTATATGAATTCAATTGGTTCAGGTTCAGATGCTATACCAAACGTTTCAATAACTAGTAACGGTGTAAATGTTCGTAATTCTTCACAACCAATACAAGCGCCTGGTAGTCGTCATCAAAGAAATATATCGTTACCATCTACATTTAGTGTTTTGAGTCCTGGTCAATCACCCAGTGACCTAAGCATGGTATCTGACAATAGCCAGGGTGGTTATTTTGCTATCCCGGTACGAAAAGATGCCCAACCAGACTTTTCGAACCAGGGCACAAATCAAGCACCTGTGTCGCTCTATAATGAGGAGCAAGTAAAACAAGCTACAAGTTTATCGTTGTCGAGAACATCAAGTCGTGGTCTAAGGAATTCAAGAAAACCTTCTGCATCCAGTATTCAAAATGTCAATCTCATATCTGTTCCTAAAGTACATGTGAATAATCAAGAGGTGAATGCACCTCCTACTTTACCTCGTGGACCACCAGTCTTGCAGAAGCAGTTAAGCACTGGCAGTTTACCAGCAATGGCTAACCAAGGTTCAAACACTGAATTACACCCAAGTGGAGTTGCTACTCCACCTGCAACAGCTACTGGCGCTTCACTATATCAGAAGGGAAACGGCAGTGCTACAAATTTAGGCACACCTACTCCTACTGGAGCTAGAGTTCATTCATACCGAAAACATAAGAAAAATGTATCGTTTGGGTCACTTAACAGTTTGATGTTTTCAAAGAAAAGTGGGGCATATGCTTACAGTAGCGGAAATTTAATGAACGGTGGTATTATAGAAGATGAAGATTCCGAGGATGGAAAGAGTACACATGGGAGCATCAAATTGAACCAATCAATATATCAATAACAATTGCATATATATATAACCTAATGACATTTCATTTTACATACATTATACACTTATAACGAAACAATTAATAAATAAATAAAACTAAAAAGATAACAAACAAAGAACCTTCATTAAAACGTATTTGTAAATTCTGGATTATTTGTAACTTTTGATAAATATATTGATATTATTACATTGCTACTATTTTTTCTTTATATACAAGGCAGTGACTTAAACCTGGAAGTTCTATATATGATTACAAATGCGTTTAATGCTATATTTTTTCACCCATCATATAAAATTCACCATTGGAGTGTAATAATCCTCCAGTGATCGTATTATCGTTTACAATACAATCTATGACTTCCCCTACCCAGACTTCATGATCTGCTACAGGAAAACTTTCCTTTTTCTTGCATATTAGAACTCGTTCTACATTTTTCAAAATTGGAAGAACACTCTTATCCGAATCATAAATTGCATTTCTATATATTGAAAAATCAATTGTTTCTTTTAACTCTACAAATGGTTCGGTTCCGCCATGCTTTATACCTTTACTAAATCTTCTTACAAGTTCCACTGATGAAAATTCTGGTTTTAGTTGATGTACTGCAAATATATCATGCAAGTGCAAATTCTTCGACGATAACGACGGTATTTGGACATTAAATTGCAATAAAGGTGATGGATTTACCGATAAAGAAGTCATTGAGGAGACTGTAAGGCCGTGAAAGTCTTTGGGTATCATATCAGCATATGATGATGTAGTAATGATTGTCGTAGGGAAACATAATCTTTGCATCGATTGTTTGAAGTAGGTCTTCATTAAATTGGATCCCATCGCAACTAGTTAGTCTTGCACCAACAAATATCGAAAAATTAATACTTCTTGCACTCAATTTGGTTCTGCGTGATTACATATAGCGTTATAATTACTTTTGTATCGTTAGAAGTTCTACTTTCGAGGGCCTCTCCAAATAAAGGTCCCCCGCCTCTACATTAATTTTCTGGCCAACCTTTTTGCTGCGACGCTGAGAGACAATGTCGAGAAAGAAACGGAGTTGCTCCAAATAGTTAATGAGCAAAAAGAACAGAACATTTCAGAGCGTCAGCAAATAAACAACAGTTGTTATAATTATTAAATTGGGAAGAGCAGCATACTGCGAAAGAAGCCTTCAAAAATAACATATTTTTCGAAGTTATGATTATTATTCGATTTTGGAACTCTCATAGTATAAATTTTTTATTGCTAAATTTAAAAAATGTGAAATATCACATTTAAATATATATAGACTGTACGATTCAATTAATTCATATATATATTTTTTAGTAACCGTTTAAGTATCATATTGATATCATGCTGTCAAAATTATTAACAGAGTATATTATTACCTTCACCAATAGATGGAGATTATGTCTATGTACTAGTATATAATTTTTGCTGGTAAACCATATACGACCGGCGCCGTACCATTAAGATACTTCAAATTACAGACGTCTCTTGATTCCTCCACAGCATCATTAACACTCGTTCCATCATTCGATGAATTTGTAATGTTTCTTATTAATCCGATCTTTTCAAATACAGACATAGTGAATTTGTCTATATCCTTGTCTGTCACATCCCATAAATTACCAACAACCAAAGGAGCTCCGCCTAGCAAATACGAATATATTACACCTGTTGGTTCTAAATCTCCATAATACTTCATAGCTGCAGAGGAGCATCCTAATAACAAACTTGGACATAGTTTATTTTGTCTTTTTATTTCTTTATTTCTAGCATACTGCTCACCGCCACCATGACCAATATATATGAACATATTTGATAAATTTATCATGGCCAAAAGATCAGACTCACTAGGTTTTTCATGTATTAACAATTTGGACTCAGGACAATTTCTTCCAATGTTAGAGAATAACTCTGTGAAACGTTCTTCAGAGCGTACTAAATCACCTCCGGGGTTCAGAACCATTGATAGTTTTCTATCAACATGTACATCAAGTTGAACTTTATTATTGTTATTCTGCAACATTTCTTTTAAGATATGTAGCGAAGGAACTCTAGAGATAGATAAAGTTTTCATAAATGCCATACTTTCCCATGGAAACAAGTGGCATTTGTTACTGACAACCAAGAAAGTATGTTGTACCCTTTTAGAGCCACCAATCCCACATCTTGTATGGTATTTCATTATTGCTTCTTCAGTTTGGAAATGAAGTAAGCTCATATCAATTTCGTCATAGGCATTTTCTTCTCCATGATATACCAAAATATCTAGAACAAAATATAGCAAATCTTCAACCATTACTAGAAAATTCTCATTTAAATGATCCATTAGAAGAAATAATTCAAGAATCCAGTTCTCAAGTTGCAAAAAAGCATCAGGTGTACCGACATGTTTTCTAGATGGCAAATTATTATGTAGAATCTCATTAAATTTTTGAGAAAACTCAGCAAAATATACTTCATTTATTTTTCTAACGGAAAAGAAACCTTGAAAACCCCCAAGCCATGATCTTTCGATCCTTTGTAACAATTTCTCTAATTGCTTATCTAGCATATATCTGTTCTTCCACCATCCCTTTCTACCATCGCTTGTAGTTATACAGGAAGTGACTTTACGAGAAACAGATTCATTACTATTTTCAATAATACTGTTAAGTTCATTAACAGCTTCTATGTATGATATCCGAGTTCCATCTAAATCTCTGAAAAAGGATCCATTTAATGGTATTGTAAGATAAATATTGGATTCGTCATAGGAATTTGATTTGGATAACAATAAATTCCCTGTTACTGGACATATGTCAATCGTGATTATATCAAATAGAAAATCAAGATCTTTTATATCTCTAATTTGTTCATTTAAGGAGGTCATATTTTTTATTAATAATCCATGGGACACGGAACCTAGCGGTAGTAAACAAAAATCTTGATATATCTTAGGGTCTAACCTACTCAATATTCGATCATAATGATGTGGCAGGTATCTTGATAATTCTGATAAAAATAACGTGTGTGTCATAAAATTTCTTGAATTGTCATAAAGGTTCGATAGAATAATAGAACATTTAGAATATATAGATGTAATCCTCAGTAATGATACATGATCAAGTTCAAAAGGAGAGATACTTTCTATGGTGTTTAGAACTTTCTCTAAATTATCCAAAACTAATGCTCTGTCAAATTTTTGGACACGACTTTTGGATTTTGGTGTCATATTTGAAGATCTAGGAGAATTCATGATATTGTCGTTCATATTTTGGTATATCTTTTTGTCTGTCGTCTTCCCATTCTCTTTCTTTATGGATGGAATCGCCAGCGATGATTCATAAATGCTTTTGAAAAAAGGGTCTGTCTCTAATTGGTTTAAAATTCTCCGATATATTGCATCTACTCTATTAATTGAATCTAAAACCAATAATTTCGGAGGGATAATAGTCCCTGGTACAACAGTTTTCCCCATTTTAAGTCTCCAATAATGCAATAATCTCGTATTAGGAAGGTCAGATCCAAAAATGAGACTCAATGATTTTTCAAGTTTCTCATATTCATTATTATCAAAAAGAAATTTTGTTAAACTGATGATGTCCTCCTCACTGCTGATGTGATCATATATTTTATTAGCCTCTTGTAGAGTGATGGCTTTTAGGTCATCTTGCTTGGTAACGTGATAATACTGTTGCAGTGAATGGAGACATTTGAAAATAATGGATGGGTCTTTCAATTTGTCTATTATTTTTGTCATTTCTTTCACATAGAATTCTGTATCCTTCGATAACCCAATACGAATATGGGCTTCCATCAAATTTATATAACAATCAGTTAGTGTTTGAATCAGTACATTTCTGGTTGTGTAATTAACCTTACTCAGTAACTTTAGTAAAGACATTGACAACTTAACTGCACGTTTACTTTCAACAATCGATGGAACTAGAGCATATATATTGGCTTGAATTGTTGAAGCTGTGTTGTACAACTTAAGATTAAATATTAGAATTGAAATGTATGAATTGAATGGTAATTTTAATGTGTTATTGATATCAAATATTTCTTTCCTAGTTGTAATTAAATTATCTTGGAATATTTCGGTAAATTTTTGGTCATCGTTGTACCACAAACAAATGTTAAGATAAATATCTAGAATTAGTAATAGTCTATCTAATTTCATCTGAGTAAAATCAGCAGATAAAGATTGAACTGTTTGTTTTAGAAAATCAATTTTTAGACCTAACCCCAAACGATAAGACGCAACTAAGGAATATTGTATTATATCCAAGGATAACTCATTATAATAGGTATTATTGGTCGAAATAAGCTCCAATAACCCTAATGCCATCTTATCGAATTGTATAAATATTAGGTGTGAGAATACTGTCCTTAAAAAATTAATTTCTAATTCTGATAATGTGGTTATGTTATTCTGATTTATAAACCATTGTTTTTTATAAGTATCAATGATATTATGTATGTCTTTGGTACAGGAATTTTTCAAGCTGAGATCAAAATAATAAACACACTTTATTAAGGCCTCATATTTGTAAAGAAAATGAAATTTATTGATAGCAGATATCTGGCCAGTGCATTCAATAAATTTGCCACTTATAGTGGATTGTACCATATTGGTTAGGATATTATTTTTCTCACAATTTTCATTTTCTGAGTCTGTTTTCAGGCGAAGAAATACTAGCATGACTTCTGATATACCAAAAATATTCGATAGATCATTATTTTGATGTCTTTTCACAATTACAGACTCACAAGATTGACAATACAATTGGAGTTCTTGAAACGTTTCGGCACCAAATACAGCGAAAATATTAAGATACTTCGATAAAATTTCGTGTCTATACTTTTGAATTTGTGTGGCCTGGAGGAATTTATCCATTTTCTTTGTAATGCTACGGTAGGTCATGTTAGGTCTATCTAATGATGTGTTCAAAATTGACAGCTCTGTTTTGACAGTTAATAATAATAGAGAAACATCATTTTGAGTAATTGCTGTATTGAACATTACATTTACCAAATTAGATAATCTTTGAAATTGTTTGAAGTTTATACCTATATTGTACAAAATTTCTAGAAGTTCATTTCCATTAGGTTTTGATTTATCCAGATTATGGTTCAAAAATGTCAGTGTTATATCATATAATTTCTTTTGTTGTTCTTCAAATACGATAGATTGTGTCATCATAAGTTTCCATATGTATGTTAATGCCAGTAATTTATCACATAGCATTATATCCTTTTTTTCTAAAATAGCAAACCCTTGCAATATGGTAACGTTCAAAGCTTCGATCCCGATATAATGATAAGCATCCTTGTTCAGTTTGGTTAATTTAATAATATCATTGTGGTTATTAAAATGTACTTTTGTATCTTGTTCTTCAGTTATAATGTCCGATAACATTAGTTTATCTAAACTTTGTGTATACTTCGAATAGTCCATATAATATAGATTTAAATAGTGGTTACTTTCTTGGTTATTACGATAGTATGCTATAAGTTGACGTTTGAAAGTAGTTTCATCTATATTCTTAATATAGTCCTGGAATTTTAAATTATATTGATTCATGTATTTCAAAAATTTCAATCCGTAAAGTATTTTATAGTGGGTACTTGAGCTATAGAGATTAAGGAGTAATTTATTCAGTATATGGATTTTAATCTTTGGATCTCTTAGAAGAAATCTTCCATCATATGCAAATAATTTTATTAGTGTAGTTTCATAAGTTGATACAGTTTTCGTTTTAATGATAATTTGGAGTATTAGTATCTTGACACTTGAAATGTAATAATGATTGGACTTATAAATATCAGATAGTAGAATATCTTCAAAATTCTGTGATTTATATATATTTGTGGTGTTATAAAGATTCATAATTTCCAGAGACGCTCGAGAGTAATGGCTGTCTGAAATATACTTCCCTATTATCATTAAATGTAACCTCACTAAGGATTTTATATGAGTTATGGAATGAATCCGTATTAATATTTTGTAGACTTCTGTGATAACACCATGAATATCATTCATCTTGCTTTTACTGTAAGTGGTGCAATTAGTACAAAAATTGGTAATTATTTGGAACCCTATTTCGATATTGCTTGACGTATATAGGTCTTTGATGAACTGTGAAGGTTGAGGTTTTGCAAAGGAATTTATACTCTTTGATGAACCTCTGAAAAAAGTATTGGAGCTCATTTCGTTTAAAGGGTCATCGGATCTTGACATGTTTCCACGTTTTATATGATTTTAATGGAATTATGAAGCTCCCTCAAGTCAGATAGCAAATCGGGTATAATGGGTAAATTAGCGTAAGAGTTGATTGAATGTTTAGGGAAATAATCACACTGCCAAATTATAGTAAAATAAAATGCAACCGAACTTCGAAGTTGATATTTTGATTTTGATTTTAATGTTTTATATTTAATGGTCAGTGAGGTGTAGTTAGTGTGTTTTGTATCGAACTGGCGCTTCCGTTTGTTTATATTTTTCATAGGACTTAAAAAACCAATAAGGTAACAAATTGTTACATAAGAAACTGATGAGTTTAAAGAAACGAATACACTTCGAATTTCAACAATGATAAAATAAGGCTCCCATTGAGATAGCTGTTTTGTTATTTTTATTCATCTGACTTGAAATGCAATGATGAATGCTATTCGAGAAATGGATCAAACGTGTAAAGAAAGTGATATTATAACGTCATTGACTGCCCTGAAAGAGCGTAATGCACCCATCACAGATTTAGAGGAAGTGATGAATATAATCCAAAATGTTATTCCTTTGCATTTATCTTTGAAGGAAGAAACATTAAAACTTTTATTTTGTGTTACATCAAGATCACCCTTCATAATTTCCCAAATAGTTGCCTATACGAACAGTATAGATCAAGGGCAACCAACTAGTCAAGAGCAACAATCGTCGAAGTTCTACAGGGATTTTATTTTCCAAATGTTATCGATTCAACCCGATTGTTTGTATAATAATATAATGGTGGCTGAAAATAGTACTATACAAGCACAATTTATTAAATCATTGTTTTTTGGAAGTAGACTGTTTAACATGTTGTCTTCTAATTATAATATAGTTCAGTATTTGGAAGTTATGAATATACAATGGAAATATATATGTCAGAAGGAAATTAATGAAACTGTACCTTCATCGCTAAACCATTACTTCGGTGATTTAATATTGGCAGAACTTGGATTGCATCCAGTATTTGCTGCAGATTCATTATTTGATAAACTATTTTTAGCGAATGATGAATGTTATAAATACTTCCTAGAAATATTTGCCAATCGTAACAAAATATTGAATACTAAAAATATGACTATAAAATATTTGGTTCCATATTTAGAATCCTTGTCAAATCAACAAAATTATCAAACAATATACCTAATATTATCGAATTTATCGGCTTTCAAATTTTTTGATTCAATGTCTCTAATGAACATTAAATCTACAAATTTTCAAGAAATAATAATTAAAAATCTTCCCTCTGTAACTAGTTATAGTATATTTATGGCTCTAGCATCTAAATTTAGTAAAATAGATGAAACACTTGATAATCAAATAGCCATGTTACTTGTTATGTTGTTAACATTTTCTTTGAATGATGAACAAAAGGCTACTATATCACACAATTCTGAATTTCTAAATATTGTTACCACACGATTAGGTCATATGAACTACGAAGTAAGAGAGAGAACTATGTATATTTCCAAATTGGTCTCTAATAACGAACTTAAGTATGAGAGTAATTACGAGGTGACAATTCCAAATTTATCATTTGACATGGATCCATTACTTCCAATAAATCTGAAATTATTGCGTTCAGAACCGAAATCGGCTGAATTGATAACTAAAGATCTTACCCAAAATATGGATACTCTCTCGATACGTAACAACGGTATTATTGAAAATGAAACAGACAGCGACGATGACGATGAATTTGAAAGAGATGTTAAAGATATTGTATTTTTGAAAGATCTAGTAGGGGCATACATTAACATTGGAAAGGGACAAACCTCAAACCAGGTACCTTTACTGAAAAGGACTACTCAGTTAGTACGTCAAAAGATATTTTTACCTTTAGAAGTCAACTATTATTCTCCTCAATTGTTATCGACTATGACTTCGATTAACAATATTCGTGAAGAAGAAAATTTTGAACCATGGCGGATTAATGCATTAGTGTCAGTTCTAGTGGTAGTTCCCGATCAAATACAAGGATTATTTAAGATCTTATTTAATAGTGAATTGTCTATTCAGCAACGTATTTCATTACTTACAAGTATTGCTCTCAGTGCAAGAGAGTTAAGAGGTATAGATGATGAACAGGTACATAAACCCGCATATGATTTTCCAACAGCAAGATTACCGTGGGATAATCCACAAAATATGAACAAAGTGATTGAAGATATGTCAAGATTGAATGCTATTAAACAGTCAGAAATTTCAGAAGGTGTCACAGTCTGGAAATCTCAAAAATTGAACATTGGAAGTAAAAAGGGGTCCCAAAATGAGAATAGGTTCAGAAAAGTAGCCCAAATGTTTTTCTATCCATTAGTATATGGCTGGAGGAATGGAATTGACCTGGGTTCCTTTGATCAATTGTTTAAATCACATTATATAAGTACATTGAGGATAGTTCATAATTGTGCCTTCCCTGTTCACGATTATGAGATAATGACGGAAGAACTAGAACAAATTCTTGTAGAAGCACAAGCCCAAGGCATTCCAATACAAAGGTAACGTAAACGCTATCGTCAACCTACAGATATCTCGAAGGTTGGTTCAATACTGCCCTTATTCGTCATCAGGGCATCTCCATTTAGCTTATTATGGTAATCAGTTTGGCGATGAGACCGGTGCGCGTAGAGAAAGAATTGGCGATGCTAAAAGGGACCCCCACTCGTTCTGCATCGTTGATAATTAATTGATATATAGTATTTATATACCGCACTCGATACATTGACAAACATATAGATAGTTCCTGGATAAAATATTCAAAGAATTGATAGAGTTTGTTGTTCTAAATTGATATACTATTAATTTTAAAAATTACAATAACTGTAGGTGCTGATTAAGTTTTTCCGTTAACTCAGATATATTATTTTCGTGCATTTGATATTGATAATCGTGTATAATTTGTTACATTACTTTTCTAAAGTTCAGAGTTATTATTAATTTACAATTATAATTCAAAAATAAGAATGTCGTTTTTTAGTTCTATTCGTCAGAAAGCTCCTTTTTTGGAACGTATTGCTGAGAGTTTTACCCCTACCATAAGTAGGGATGAGAAGTTTCGTCTACAATATAAATTACCAGATGAGGAGCATATCATAGATGATACTAATACAGATATTACATTTACTACTCCTTATGGGATTAGTCAGAAGGATCAAAAGAGAACCGATGAACATGGGAACCAGATTGCATATGTATTTTCAGGTAAATTATTTTTGACTCCTCATTTTTTGGTGTTTAGGGATGCATTCGATCAGAATTCATGTGTCCTAATATTAAATATATCTACAATTAAAAGAGTAGAAAGGTCTCCATCACTATCGTATGCATTTGCTTTGTTAGTAACTTTGTATTCGGGAACTCAAATCCTTATTCAGTTCATTGGATTACGTAACAGATCAGAACAATTTTGTGAAAAATTGAAAGATATGTTGAAACATAATATTCCCAATGCTAAGAGATTACCTGAATTCATAGAGAGCTGTTATTCAAACTTCTTAATAGAGAAAAATATATTAAGGAAAAAAGATATTATTGCCCCCAAAGCTGGATTAGGACAACATTTCAAATATCCAGGTCAACCTGATATTTCAAAAGAAAAAGCTAAATTGAGATTGTGGTTTGAATATTATAAAGAAAATGGTGAAAACCTAGCGATTATACAGAACCATACATTCCAGAAACTAGTTAGAATTGGTATCCCTAGTAGAATGAGAGGTGAAATTTGGGAATTATGCTCAGGCTCCATGTATTTAAGATTTGCTAATCCTGGTAAGTACAATAGGCTTTTAGAAGATAATAAGGATAAGACATCTCAGGCCATTGACGAGATCGAGAAAGATTTAAAGAGATCTTTGCCTGAATATTCTGCTTATCAAACACCACAGGGTATCCAGAGATTAAGAAATGTCTTGACTGCTTACTCATGGAAGAATCCTGATGTTGGTTATTGTCAGGCAATGAATATTGTTACTGCTGGGCTTTTAATTTATATGAGTGAGGAACAAGCATTCTGGTGTTTATCCAATCTATGTGATATTTACGCACCAGGTTATTATTCTAAGACCATGTATGGTACATTATTAGATCAAAGAGTCTTTGAAGCATTCGTTGAGGATAAGATGCCAGTTCTCAATGACTATATTGTAGACCACGATATTCAACTTTCTGTCGTTTCTTTACCTTGGTTTTTGTCTCTATTTTATACCTCTATGCCATTAGAATATGCAGTTAGAATTATGGACATATTTTTCATGAATGGTCCAAAGACTCTATTCCAAGTTGCATTAGCAGTTTTGAAGGTTAATGGGGACGATATTTTGCAAGCTGATGACGATGGTATGTTTATCGCAATTGTTAAGCATTACTTCCAAACTTTGCATGAAAGTGCACACCCTGATTCTCCGGATATTAAGTATAGACAAATTACAAAATTTCAAGAATTGTTAGTGACAGCATTTAAAGAATTCAGTGTCATAAATGAAGATATGATCATACACGAAAGAAACAAATATAAGAAAACAATTTTCGAAAATATAGAAACATTTGTGAAAAAGACTCAACTTCGTCGTATGCCCAAGACGTTTAATTTATCCGATAAAGAGCTATCAAATATTTACGATGTATTTTATCAAAGTATAGAGACACACAAGATTAGTTTGGGAACCGGTTCCTCTAATATGACATTTGATGTCTTTGTTCAATTCATGGGCAAATTTTGTGATTGGGCTAAGCCTTCACGAAACGATGATGATCCGGTTTATAAAACCCAAAAACAAACTTTTTTGAAGAAATTGTTTAATAACTGGGATCCTACTAAATTAGGCGAATTGACAGTCAATGATGTTGTCCTTGGATTAGATAGGATAGTTTCTCCTGATCTATTAGAAGCTATGAATTACTTTTTCTCCTTATATGATGAGGATAATGATGGACAACTCCAAAAGGATGATGTTCTACAAATGTCAGAAGGTTTGTTATTATTAACTACCCCCTGGAAGACAGGTAAATTTGTGGATTTACTGACAAAAAAAGCTATTGAGGATGATATTGCTGATGAAATAGTAAGGGAAACTAGTATAGATCAACAAGCATCTGGAAATATAGAATTACCGTCGGGGGTTACCATTGATGAGGAGAAATATAAGGCACAACAATCTGAACGTTATTTAAAGGCTGCAAGTAATTTCTTACAGAGATGTTTTGAATATGCTGAGCCATTACAACTAGACAAAGAGGTGGATCTACTAGATTTATCAGAAGATGAAGATAGTAATGAGGTTAAAAATGCCAAGAAGAAGAAATTTGCCAGTATAGTTGCAAATGCTGCATTAGATCCGACGAGACCTACCGTCATTGATCTCTCTACTTTTAGAATGGTAATATTAGCTGATGAGACATATGAATTATTCTTTTCTACCACATTAAGAAGTTCGATACATTTGGAAGAAGGTGCCGATGAATCTGGTAATAATCAAGTGTTAAAGAGTATGTTTGACGGTATTATTGCTGATGGACGAAGAGTAGCTGAACGAGTTCGTCGTCGTGTGGATTCGGTAGCAACTAATAAGTCAAGAACAGATTCTATTGGCACAAATAATGTAGCAGAATCAATCCATACTAATGAAACTAATAACAAAATGGTAGATTTAGATGATTTCACAACAGACCACCTTGAGGAGCATGAAGAATTATTGCAAAATTCTTGGCTAGATATGGATGATACTACTGATCAAAGTGCTAGACAAGAGAGGAAGATTGAACCTATGTCGCCCTCTATATCTGAAAAAGAACAAGATCTCATAGAATTTGAAGCTTAAATGCACACTATTGTTATAGGTTGTTGTTGTTTTGCCACCACACACCCTTCTTGACATATATTTTAATAAGAAACAATTTACATCCATATATACCAACATTTTCACAATTCTAATAAAAACATTTGTACTTTATTCAAATAAAATGTGACGTATGTATGATATCTTGTTTGCGTTGCATTTCTTGTTTCTAACCATAAACGAAATAGCTCAGGACAGATCGCGCCACTAAGACATCCCGACGAGTTGGTGAGCACCGGAGAACAAGGAATCATAACTAACTACCTCTAACAACTTTTAAAGAACAGTCGACGAAGGAGAAAGGGAGATAGAGTAACCATTTATTCATTGTTGAACAATTGTATATATTTTAAAGTTTTAATAGTTCGAGCATCGAAGAGATATTTCTAGTTTTATTAGATTGTTCTTGCCCTTTATTATTTTTGATTCATGCTAGGGATAAGATCTTCTTTAACGTTAATACCGAAATTACCAGTGAGGCAATTTGGTCTAATAAATACCCCTTTGAAGTCTCAGACTCTTAGAAAATTTATACATACAAAAAACACCAACGTTGGGATACGATCCATCAGAAATGAACTGATATTCAAGAGACGATTTATGAATACTAGCGTGAAACACCCTAAGTGGGACAACAACATCTTTTACGCAGACAGTTCTGATAGATATACTCGTTTGAATAGATTTCAACAATTTAATAATAGTGGAAGTAATGGGAAGGATAATTCGGTGAGAAATGCTACTATTGTTGGACTTGCATCGATGGTAGGTATCTATTTTGGTTCGCCATATTTATTTGATTACGTTCCAGTCTTCTCGTATTTCAAGACACATCCAAAGAGTTTTGTCTATGCATTATTGGGAGCAAACTTTGCAGTGTATGGTTTATGGCAGTTACCAAGATGTTGGGGTTTTATGCAACGTTATATGTTACTTCAGAAATCTAGAATTCCAAGTTATTGGTCCATTATTGGGAGTGCTTTTTCACATCAAGAATTTTGGCATTTAGGTATGAACATGTTGGCTTTATGGTCATTTGGTACATCCATTGCCACTATGCTTGGAACTGCAAACTTCTTTTCGTTATATATGAATAGTGCTATAGCAGGATCTTTGTTTTCTCTATGGTATCCACGCATCGCAAGAATGGCATTGATGGGCCCTAGTCTTGGTGCTAGTGGTGCTCTGTTCGGTGTATTAGGCTGTTTCTCCTATTTGGTTCCGCAAGCTCAAATTCTTTTGTTTGTGTTCCCAATACCTGGTGGTGCATGGATTGCATTCTTGGGGTCTGTTGCATGGAATGCAGCAGGTTGTGCTTTAAGATGGGGGTCCTTTGATTATGCAGCACATCTTGGAGGATCTGCAATTGGTGTTTTATATGGGTGGTATATCAGTAATCAAGTAGAAAAAAGAAGGCAAGAGAGATTTGAAAGAGAGACCAGATGGCTAAGGTAAATTTTGGAATTAGTTCGTTACCCATTTCTTTGCATTCTTATTTGTAAATAGTTTTTTTCGATTATTAAATATGATTAAGAAGAATATATATATATATAATATTAATTTGAAGACGATATTTATGGAGGTATATCTATATATGTGCAAACGTCTCTTACCCAGTATGGGTTATCTTTTTAGTCACAACAAAATAACCATTTTTTGACTTCTTTGAATTTGAGGTAGGACTCCAAGACCCACTGATTTCATCGTCAAATTTGTTATCTTTCTGTTCTTGTATCTTGTTTAATAACGCTTTATAATCAAGGGATTTAGGAGCCCTTGGCATTATTCTAGCAAACATAGTATCTGTAGTTTCATCAGCTAATGGAGCTTTCTGAAGACTTTGCAAAAAAACCAATTGTTTACCTAATCGATGTTGAATTTCTTTAATGTTGCATTTTTCTTCACTAAACCCAGATAATTTCAAAAGCTTTTTAACCGATTCTTCAGTAGGAAGATTATCGCTAGATTCTGATTCAGTCAAAACCTCAGCCAAGGACCACGAGGGACTGTCTATATACTGTTTTATCTCTTGCAATGACCTAAATTTCGGGCCAACGGTTACTTGTGACGAATAAGAATAACATGACTTTTGTTTCTTACAGCAAATGGTACATGACCTTAAGAACGGTCTCATCTGATCAAAAAATGGCATTTCTCGAGATATATATCTAAGAAGCCAATCAATAGTCCTAGTACACCCAGTCTTGAGTATATTGCAAACAATTTTCTCCTCTATCTAGGTGTTTTCCCTTTATTTCATTCTCAAATCCTTACAGTCAATACTGAGTTTCCCTATTTTGGAATCTATTCAGAATCATTTGTCACGGCAGTCAACCCATTTTTTTCATAGTTAAAGAAAATTTTTCAACTTCAAAAGATGGATTTGGCGATGCCCGATGAGCTCTTCTCTCTCATCGCATCCTTTGGTCTTTCCGTAATAACAGAAAAAATTTTAGTTAGACCTATAGATGAGTATAATATATATTTGAATATCAGATATTAAATAAATCTGTGTATCACACTTCTCTATTATATTTCTAAAATCAAATATATCGAATACCAATAAACAAACAATCAACGAAAATGAGAATTAAGAAGAAGAACTCTACCGGTAATGCTAAGAACTTTATCACCAGATCACAAGCTGTTAGAAAGTTGCAGATTTCTCTAGCTGATTTCAGAAGATTATGTATTTTCAAGGGTATTTATCCAAGAGAACCACGTAATAAGAGGAAGGCAAACAAAGGTTCTACTGCTCCAACTACATTTTACTTTTCAAAGGATATTCAATATTTGATGCATGAGCCTGTCTTAGCAAAATTTAGAGAACATAAGACATTTGCTAAAAAATTAACTAGAGCTTTAGGTAGAGGTGAAGTTTCTGCTGCAAATAAATTAGAGGAAAGCAGAAGTACTTACAAGCTTGATCATATTATTAAGGAACGTTATCCAAGTTTCCCAGATGCTTTAAGAGACATTGATGATGCATTAAACATGTTGTTCTTGTTTGCTAATTTGCCAGCCACAAATCAAATATCTGCTCGTGTCACCAAGGATGCGCAAATGATTTGTAATCAATGGTTAGCTTTTGTAGCAAAGGAGCGTCTAGTGAGAAAGGTATTTGTATCTATCAAGGGTGTCTATTATCAAGCTACTGTCAAGGGTGAAGATATTAGATGGTTAGTTCCATATAAATTCCCAGAAAATATTCCATCAGATATTGATTTCAGAATCATGTTAACTTTCTTAGAATTTTACTCCACATTGATGCATTTTGTTTTGTATAAACTATACACTGACAGCGGTCTTGTATACCCACCAAGATTAAACATTGAACAAGATAAAATTGTTAACGGTCTTTCATCATATATTCTTGAATCCAACGAAGAGGTAAGTTCATTGACCAAAGCACCAACACACTCAGCTTCAAATGATGTTGCTACCTTAGCTTCCTCAGCAATTACATCTGCTTTAAATGCCGACAAGAATGAAGTAGAAGATGAACAAAATGCCGATATTGAAACAGAAAATGTAGAGACTGTTAAACTAGATACCTTTGAAGATAATAACAAGAATCAAGGTGATATTTTGGCTCAACCAAGTCAATTCAGTTCTCCAATTGCCACTTTATTCTCGAAGTTTGTGTTTTATATTGGTAGAGAAGTTCCATTAGATATTGTTGAATTTTTGATTCTTTCAGCTGGTGGTTCTGTCATCAGTGAAATTACTTTAGATCAACTAGAAGACAAATCAAGTCTCGATCTATCTAAGGTTACACATCAAATTGTCGATAGACCTGTATTAAAGAACAAAGTTGCTGGTAGAACATACATTCAACCACAATGGATATTTGATTGTATTAACAAGTGTGAATTAGTTCCTGCTAGTTCATACCTACCAGGAGAAAAACTTCCACCTCATTTAAGTCCATGGGGTGACTCTGCTGGTTACGATCCGGAAGCTCTTGAACAAAAGAAGGAAGGTGAAGAATCTGAATCTGAAGAAGATGAAGATGAAGGAGCTGAAGACGACGCCGCTGAAGAGGAAGAGGAAGAGGAAGAGGAAGAAGATGAAGAATTGGCTGCTCAAAAGGAACTAGAATTAGAAGCACAAGGTGTCAAGTATAGTGATAACAAGAAACCAATTTCTGAAAAGAAGAATAAGAAGAGAAAGGCTACCGATGAAGAAGATGAGGAGAAGAAATTGAAGATGATTATGATGAGTAACAAACAACGTAAGCTATACAAAAAGATGAAATACTCCAATGAAAAGAAAGATGAAAGGATTGAAAATCTTAAGAAGAAGAAGAAACAAATCACAAAAACCAAGAACAAATTAGAAAAATTAAACAAGAAATAGTCCACTCCATTTTATTAAAGATTCCAACTGATTATATATTGATGATTCAATGTATAGATTAGATTAGAAGATTTTATTTCAAGAAGGCTACTTTAGGTAAATAACAAAATATTAAATATTTTAAATGTATATTATTGTCAGAAGCATTTGTTTTCCTATTACAGGAGCATTCGTTATTGAATTATTTAAGCGAACTTATATATATGCTACTATTACCACAGGATATTGTGAATTGATTTAATTATGTACTAAATTCGCAATTAATCTACATCCATTCTGGAATCCATAGATTTTCTATCTGGTACTGCTAATTCAACATATCCTTGTAACTCTTTTTGTAAATTTAATAGTACGGTCTCTGTCATATTCATTTTATCGATATCGGTAGCCTTGTCGATATTGATGAAGGCCTTGACTAAAAGCCCACCTTTCGTTTTTTGTTGTTTTGAGGATTCTCCTATACTCCATATTTTTTGTAACTCTACAATAAGGTTATGCTTCAAATTAAATCTGGCTCCTATCGTTACATATTGATATTGGTAGATGTAACCAAGTTCATTCATCATCTTTTGTAAGCTTGAATCTACCCCTACATGAGATAGTAAGATGGATTCATTGATAGTTTGCATAGAAACTTTTCTATTATTGCCTGCTGCAGGAATATCAGATATACTTATACACCAGGCGTATTTATTCTTTTTATTTGATTTAATTATATCGTCGCCATCAACATCCATTACATCATCATCACTTCTTGTTGACTTAATTTCATTAATCATATTTTGTAAATCTGTATATTCTATTGGTATAGTATCATCCTGTAATTTTTTCAGTATTTCATGATTATATTTCGTAGCATTATCAGATGTATTGGAAAACTCTTTCAACATTTCTAGAGGTAATTCCTTTGATACATTGATTCTATTTTTTTCTACCAGTTGGTTCTTGGAATTCACACCTTCAATTTGATACAATGGGTTTGGGATCCATACCGTTGATAATTTAGAATATAGAATTGGTGGGTTTCCAGATAATGTTGTTAATGTTGCTATGAATAAGTCGTAGGATTTGTCATCTATGGAGCTGAATAAACTTAGTTGTTGAACCATGATCGTTGTATTATTAATGTAATACAATCAATTAGTCAGAGTATAAAGATATTTTGTGTGTTTCGATAATCAATTGACCACCAAAATAATAATATTTTAAGAAGACGTGATGTTTGTTATTACTATGTGACAACCGTTTGCTTTACTTTATTTTTCTCTGGGTTTTTCATTTTTTGCTATCAAAATATTTTTCAATTTAAGGCAGCAATAATTTTAAAGATGAGATGATCAAAACTATGCAATACCACTGGCTCATTAGACAAGAGTAAGAAGGGTATTAGATTTGACTCAATATATCTGTATATCTGTATATCTGTATTATTAGGAAATTTAATTTACTAAGCAAATAGGAAATAAAAAGACAATGGCTGTGGATATTCCTCGTTCGGTAGTGCAGAAGCTTATGGGTTATACCATTGCTATGGTATCTCTACCACTAATTACTTTCTTTCTAGTACAACAATATACACCAAATACTTTAGTAAGTGGTGGTCTAGCTGCAGCTATGGCCAATGTAGTTCTAATTGCGTACGTTATTTCAGCTTTCTCTGAGGATACTACAGATTACGAGAAAGAATCCAAAAAGAATGAATGATTGGTCCCGGGTGGATTATTTCTCTAAATATGATGGGTAACTACACATATGTATATATAAGTATATATATATATATATATAATTTTATAATTTTAATAAATAAAAAAATTGATTTCTGGCATTGATGTAAGAGAAGATACTAATTGTGAATAGTATGATTAATAAAAACATTACGTTTATAGATGTATATAATATATTATATTATAAAAACCCTCAGGATATATGCAATATTTACATAAACAATTCCCTTGGATTGGAAGTGCAAATGTAACAAAATGAAGAGGGATATTGTATTTGATTGGGTGGTTTGGTTTTACTAGAGTGAAAATAGAAATCGGTAAAAACATTCTATTCGTTTTTCTTTAAAGGATTTGTGGACTTCTCAAGAGCACCATAACTGATACTCAAACTAGAAATCCAGGAAAGAGCAAATAAAAGAATGACTAAAAGGATGAAAGAAACTAATAAACACATCAGTAGACCTTCTGTCCATATTTCACTTAAGGCGTCGTCATCAACTTTGGAACCATTTTTTGGTGTCTTTGTTGAGGTTGGCTTTGAATTAACTTGAGTGTGAGTAGCAGTGTGCATTTCTACGTCGTTGTCGAATTCTTCTAAAGTCATGACATCTGCAGAGTTTAACACAATGTCTACGTTAACATTCAAATATTCTTCGACGAATATCACAATTGTCTCTAAGTATTGATCTAAGTCACGCATGTTATATTCCTTAGCATCAAATTTAAACCATGTTACACGTTTCTTCTCGACATTAGCATCCTTAAGGATATCTAATGGGTCAAATTCTAAATCCTTCATCTTGAAGATAAAAACTTCGTCGTCATCACTTGGTTCAACTAATTTAGTTTCATCTGTTAAAACATTGGTAACGCCATGTTTAAAATATTGGTTTAAGAATGGAACGTTATAGTCGTCAGCGGCCAATGATTCCAGAACTTTGGCTTTGCTGAATTGTAGGATGACTAATGGCTGATCAACAGTTGCTGTTTCTATTATATCTTCTGTACTCGAAATTCTACCGTCGATAACATCTTGATTTCTTAAGGAAACATAGGAGGTAGATGCGGCTGCGAGCACTAGTTGGCAAATCAAGGCAATCACACTCAAAAACTTCATTGTTAATGAATACTTTCTGTCTTCGTCTTATTTTTTGTATATTTATATCTGAGGATATAAATCCGTAATTGTAGTTGATATGTCTAATTATTAGATTGGTACAAGTTTCTTCTTTTAAATATATGTAATTAGGTAAACTTCAATATTTGATTGACTGCATCGCTTAATTTTGGCAGTCATTTTTACGGTAATTTTTTTTCGGCAGCTTGAAATTTTGCAGCCAGAGAGGGTAACACCCGCTGACATAAAATTTAGAAAATGACAATAATAGAGATGATAATGTCATCAATTATAATTAGATTATAAAGATATAATTAGATAAAGTACAGCATTTTGACTTATATGTTAAAAATGAAATAATTTCAAAATTCATGACTGCACTCGAAGGACGATTGAAGGTAAGTGCAACAATTCATAGTATTAGTAAATTAACATCAAAAACAGAAACTGATTCTGTTAAACACTGACAATTGATAAAAAGATAGATAAATTGTAGTTGATAATATACCAATAATGAGAAGCAATTAACATCATTTTATGACCAAACTTCAAAAAAAAAAACGAAAGAAATGATACCCGCGGGGTTTGAACCCGCGCCTCCGAAGAGACCAGGACCTCGACCTGACGCCTTAGACCACTCGGCCAGAGTATCAAAACTAGATTCTGCCAAAAATCGCATAATTTTTTTGTAATTTTTGCACAACTATAAGTCTCTTGGTGGACTTCACCAGAAATATGTTAAATATAGCGGCAGCACTAAAAATGCTAACATTAGCTTAACCTATCTGAAGGAGAAGGTAGCTAATTTAAGTAGAATTTAGAGTGTACTGCACCACCGTATGTTAAACAGAGTTGCTGTTGTTAAACTGCTCATCATTTGTGCATAGTAACGTTGGACTATGTAGCTCCAATAAACCCAATGTAGGGGGAACAAATACTACATTATGCAGTATATATCATGTGTTATTATATATACGGTAGTGCAGCACACTCTAAATTCTACTTATATTAGCTACCTTCACCTTCAGTTAGGTTAAGCTAATGTTAGCCTTTTTAGTGCTGCCGCTACATATTTAACACCGTATATATAATAACAGACGATATATACTGCATAATGTAGTATTCGTTTCCCCTACATTGGGTTTATTGAAGCTACATTGTCCAATGTTACTATGCACAAAAGATGAACAGTTTAACAACAGCAACTCTGTTTTGCATTTGAAACATTAAAGGTTAATGTTTAAAGAACCACCAACGTTAAACAGCTCATCCTCTATGTATATTATTGAAGAGAATCTGAGATAGAGGGTTTGCCTCTAGTAGTCTCTGCAAGCTTTAATTTGTTTAATTCGGACATTTTATAATATGATAATTGATCCGTCCCTTTATAATATATAATATATATAAGTTACATATTAAAGAACATATAATATTTTATTTATATTACATTAAGAGCTTCCTTTTTATATCATTTTCTGTAAAGATTTTTCTTTCCTCAATCACACCTTTCCTTTTTGTTTTGTTTGATCCTTATCAATGGTTGATCCTTATCTATGGTTGATTCTTATCAATGGTTGATTCTTATCAAAGTTTTTCTTTAACTATTTTCATTAAGAGTTGTGCATATTACTCTTAATTTCTGTCAAGATTGTTTACGCCACTGTCGAATGAGTTTATAATCACGACAACGAGAAATCCAATATATATAAATGGAACAGTATTTCTTTTATGAATATAATTGTTCCCATAATTTACTTTATATATTTTTATATCTCATATAAAAATTCAGACAACTATAAGTTGATTTTATAATATAATAAAATATGTTCAGCTAAATAGAAGCTATCCAATATTCAATTTTACCATCAATAATAGATTTAGTACTATGGATCTTCCAAATACACGATTACAGGTTATTAAAAAACATTAATAATGAACATTAGTATATGATAAGCGTTGTTCACTTATTTCGAAAGTGGACTTTAATACATAAAAGTACGCAAGAACTTTCACAAAAGAAAGTTTACTTTTTTTGTACAAGTTTTATTTTACATCGAATTATGAATAAGTGTTGAGATCATACATCAGATTAACTTTTGCTTAATCTCAAAACATTCTTTGTTGTGTCATATATTAAAAAGTCTCTTAGAAACTATTCTTTAACAAGTTCTCCATATTTCATTATTTGAATATACCACATAGTATATTGTTTACAAAACAACTCAGCTTGGTATATCACGATCTAATAGAATGACATTTAAGATGTGCATTTAGTTTTGATATTACTTTACAAGTACTTTGATCCAAAGAAATTCAAATTTCATAATGGAAAACCTGAGTCGTGCCAGATATCGGTTTAGTCTTATAATTTGGCAATTACTCAGAACAATTATATCAAATAGAGTATAATTGGCCAACGTAAAACGCACTGATTTCCAACTAAAATGTTATTTTATTTCTTAATTTTAGTTAAGCTTATTTTTGGGAGAGTTTTTCTCTATTTACTGTGATGCTACTTCGTGATAATAGTAAAATAATAAGACGTGCGGTAAAGTCCCAAATGTTTATGTAGGGTATGTATAGATTCATCATACATCCATGGAACTTTTCCAAATTAATATAGCCAATATTCGATTACTTCATAAATACTAATTATATACAATTCACTAATAACTGTTCACCGCATATTCTTTCAACTATATCCCAGACTTTGTGCTATTCCACAGTTGTTGTTGTCGGTTTTCCAAACTCCGAGACAAGATACACAACCTCGAATCCTCTGTACTAAAGTACAAATATAGAACTCCCGTTTATTTGTGTTTGGTGTCAGCCCTAACCCATCTAGTTAATAAGTTGCTGGTTTCATTATTTTAGCTTATTGAGTCGTGAACAAAAACGCGACGCAGTCGTTTTCCCTCTCTGACGACGCGTGAATTTGGCGTGTTCCGTAGTAAGATGGGAATTGATTAACTGCATTGGTGCGCGTTATTCTTCTCTCAGTACTTAGCGTCCCGTTAGAAAAACACGAAATGCCAAATAACAACAGTAACAGTAACGGTAACGGAAACGAGCACTGTCCAGAACCGTATTACCTGATGACAGTCTCTGTTGAACATGATAGAAGTTGTCCCTAGGTAGTTAACTCACTCAGTTAACGTATGGGAGGAATGTGTTCGCGATATCAGCTTGGCAAAAGATGTAGTAAATCAAGCCATGTAACAAAAAAATGAAGTGAAGTGAAATATCGTGTAGAGGTTAGTTCACATCAGTGTAAGTTAGTTTCTTGAAGAATTATTGACTGTTGTTTATGGTGGACCAATCTAGAGGTGGAATTAGTTCTCACCTTTCTTGAAACGGAAGATGATGTATATGGGGACTGTATAGTTTGGCGTTGGCGTTTTCGTGTATAGTGAACTTCGATAAATAAGGATTGTAGTTTTGTTTAGGGTTTTTTTTATTACTAACTGTAGTGAAACAATCCTTGTTTATTTGTTTGTTCGTTTTTACAATTACATTATATTCAAATTTCAATTAATATATAACAATTAAGAAAAATTTGAAGGATATGGTTTGATTTCGAATTAAATCTTAACTTTACATTAATTCTTCATTCTATTTGGATACAACAAACTCATAAAAATTCAAAGTAGCCTATAAATAAAATTTCGAGAATGAAAATTCCAATGATAGAAGTAAAACATATCTGTCATGAAAATGACAAAATTACTACATTGATCGATCCTGTGAGTATAACCAGAAGTTCGACCATTAGTAAAAGAACAAGAGATAATAATGAGCCATTATCTCAAACCAATAAAAAGAGAAGATTAATTTCAAGAAGAGATGATTTAGATAAGAAGCATAGAACTCTAATCATGGTAAGTGAATATAATGATGATATCTTTAAATATCTTTACAATAGAGAAAAACAAATTGGTTCAACTTTTAATTATATGAATGATAAAGAATCACCTTATAATTTTGGTCCTTCGATGAGAGCTATTCTTATAGAATGGCTTATTGAGGTACATGAAAAATTCCATTACGTTCAAGAGACTTTGATATTAGCAATTGCAATAATGGATAAATTTTTATCCCAAAATCTTGTTACCATGTCAAAATTACAATTATTAGCAGTTACATCATTATTTATTGCATCAAAATTTGAAGAAATAAATTTACCAAGATTATCTAATTTTGCATATATTACAGATGGTGCTGCATCGATCAATGATATTAAAATTGCAGAAGCTTACATTCTCAAATCTTTGAAATTTGATATTTCAATTCCAAATCCATTAAATTTTTTTGCCAAACCAACTTCAAATCCATCCCAAAAACCAGATGAAAGGACAATCATAATGGCCAAATATCTATTAGAACATATATATTGTTGTCCACACTTTATAGATTTAAAACCATCACAGACTAGTCGATTAGCAATGTATTTGGCAAGAGAGATTAATGATAGTATTAATGAAGCCTCGAAGCCATCAGAGGATGACAAACAATTCTGGATATCATACGGTCAACTGGTTCAAGAGATTGCGGAACCTTCCACAAGCCTAAACGCATTATTCGAAAAGTACAGCAATGAAAAGTATCATAAAGTATACAATGAAGTGAAGGAATGGTGTAATAAACGCAACATTACAGATTAAATATAATGACCATACTAAACGGCACCTCGTAATAACACTATCAGCATAACCACTACAGACTATTATATAAACACTTACATAACCTAGCATAGCTCGTGATTCCTCAAGGATGCACGACAACACAAACAACAATACAACTGCATTTTTAATTAAGACTACTCCATCCTCTTCTCTGAGAAAGTTCTTGTTGCACACATGAGATTGCCAACCTTTCACTCTGTTTATATTGAAAACTCAAAAAATGGCTATGCCAACTGCACATCCTTCCAACGCCGCACTAGTCAACAGAGCGTCGTTAGGGTTCCAGTGACAACGCGGCCAATAAAGAGAAGAGCTGCCAGGGCGAGAGATCAGGGGAATTCTCCATGCTGTGAGTTTTTCAATATAAAAGAGAAAGAATGACTGAGCCATGACTTTCGACCAAGTAATACAAAAAGGTGTTTAGTCACTTTTCATATTTAATAAGTTCAGAAGCAGCCCCAGATAACGTGTTGCATTAGTTAGAGATTTTTCTACTTCCTATTGTGGATCCATTGGATGAATGCAGTTACAAATTCATTCATTGTTGTGAATTTTTTTTTGTTCTCTGCAAAATATCTGAGATACACAAGTAATAATAAATTTAAAAGGGGTGATTTTAAGAACTATCATTATGCCTGTAAATGTTTCGAAGGTTGGATTCAAATATCTGGTCGATTCCACAATGTTTAGACTGGGTTTGAGATCTCAAACTCAGCCACGTGTGCAAGTAAATGCTGTTACCTCTACAGAAAATAATACATTACAAGCACCAACTCCTCCAACGGCTATACCTTTAATGACTATTCTAAGGAGACTTCCTAGTTTATTCCCAAGGTCTCTTTCGGAATCTTACCAGGATTTTAAACAATTTAATTCAAACCAAGAGCAGATTCAACAGGATTTATTGTCAACGCTTCCTGCATTCAATACATTATCGGAAAATCAAGTATCTGCTAAATTATTAAAGACACCCGTCGACGATCAAGGGAATTATATTAATGAATTATGCATAGAACCGAAAGTACCAAATAAACCATTAAAGCATTTGATCTTTGTTCATGGATATGGTGCGGGACTGGGGTTCTTCATCAAAAATTTAGAACATATGCCTTTGGTGGATAATCAATGGTGTATCCATGCAATAGACATGCCCGGATTTGGGTTTTCTTCTAGACCAAAATTTCTCTTCCAATATGGTAAAACATCTGCAACAGAAGTTAATGATTGGTTTCATACTAGAATAAATAGATGGTTTGAAAAAAGATCTTTATTAGACAAACCTCAAAGTAATATTGTAGTGGCACACTCATTAGGTGCGTATATTATGGCTCTTTATGCGAATAAATATCCTACTCATTTTAAAAAATTGATTATGTGTTCACCAGCTGGTGTTTGTCATTCAAAAAATATTATTCAAGATAAATTAAATCAAAGGATTCAAAAACATGCAAATTTAAATCCACCCTGGTGGTATTCAAAATTATGGGATATGAATTTCTCACCGTTTGCTATCATTCGTAATTCAGGTCCATTCGGGTCAATGATAACAAGTGGTTGGTCATATAAAAGATTCAAAAGATTTCCATTACAAGAACTAAGTCCATCATCATTATCCAAACAACAATTTGAACTGCTACACAAATATACTTATAGTATATTTAATAGACCTGGAAGTGGTGAGTATCTGTTACCATTTGTATTGGGTTGTGGTGGGGTCCCTAGAGATGCTTTAGAGGAGACAATTTTCAAAAACATTAATGACCCTGAATTATTTAAAGCAAAATGTGATTGGGTATGGATGTATGGTGAGAATGATTGGATGAATAAAGATGGGGCACAAAATATTTCTAATAATATGAATAATATTTATGGGAATAAAAAGAGTAAAGTAATAATTGTTCCAGGTGCAGGACATCATCTTTATTTCGATAATTATCCATTTTTCAATCAAGAAGTAGTAAATGAAATGGAAAATATATAACGTATAAAAAATAATATTCCTATATACTTTTAAAATGTATTTTAAAATAATATTCCTCAATTAATAGTTACAAAGATACTTTAATTATTTTTTTATTTTTAAAATTTTTAACTTTTGTTTACATTTGGAAATATTAGTTAATTTATTAAATTTAACAAGAAATCGAATACTTATAAAAAACGTAGCTAGAAAAGGAATAAGAACCCAAGTATATATAATTACAGACTAATTATACATGATGATATGTTGTGGATGCCACTCAAGTACCCCGATATCAACCTGTAGATATTATGGGACATATATGGTTTAGCTAACAATATCGTTAATAGTCATAGAATCACAATTATCAAATTTAAATTAAATTGTCAGATGTTGATAACATCTTTTGTTATTTAAATAGACTAGGAAAAGCGTGGCATTTTGAGTGATTTGCAGTTGCCGGGACAGCGGCAAGGAATATCTTTTTGTACGAAGCAATCCTAAATTGTTCCAAAAAAATCTCCAGGGGGCGAGTCGAACGCCCGATCTCAAGATATCTTAATTAAATTACAGTCTTGCGCCTTAAACCAACTTGGCTACCTAGAGTACGATTTTTCTGAAATAGGGGCATAGGTGATAATTTGAGCAAAATAATTTTTGACTTGCTTTCGCAGTTCCAGCAGCTTATATGTTAAACATGTTAAATATAGAGGCAGCACTAAAAACGCTAACATTAGCTTAACCTATCTGAAGGTGAAGGTAGCTAATATAAGTATAATTTAGAGTGTGCTTCACTGCCGTATTGAGCTGAAGCAGACATACTGTGGTTAGACTTCTATTCGTTCATTATTAAAGGTGTTAGGTATAGAGGTGAATGGTGTAGCTTAAGTTTTAATGTTAGGTAAGCAAAATATAATTGTTATATTTCTCTTATATTTGTAAGTGATTTTTTTGTCAGAAATTAAGAGTAATATGCACAACACTTAATTTCAATAGGTAAAGAAATACCTTTAAGCACAGTTATTATGAAGCGTGTTAAAATATGAAACAAAATATGTGGCAACATGAAACTGATGGGAAAATTGTAAATTAGACATCTTCTATTTAACTGAACAAATTTTATTATATTACAAAATCAACTTATAGTCGTCTGATCTTTTTATATCTTCTATAAAAATATATAAAGTAAATTATGGAAACAATTATATTCATAAATGAAATATTATTCCATTTATATATGTTGGATTTCTTGTTGTCGTGATTATAAACTCACTCGATAGTGGCGTAAGTAATCTATTATTAAGTTGTTGCGGGATGAACCTATCAATAGATCATTGCGGGATGAACCTATAGTTAGATCATTGCGGGATGAACCTATCGTTAAGTCATTGCGGGATGAACCTATCGTTAGATCATTGCGGGATGAATCTATCAATAGATCATAACCTTGGTCATTATCCCTCTTATAATATATTTCCGACAGAAACAAAGTTAATCGCATTATGAAACAAACATAATTCGAACCTCAATTGAGATTAGAATAAAAAATATATAAAGACAAAGAATTCTGAACTTGCATTCGAAGTTAGATTCTATTTGTTCTATAAATTATATATAATATAAAGAGACTGATCGATTATCGTATTAAAAAATGTCCGAATTAAATAAAGTAAAGCTTGAAGAGACTAATAGAGGCAAACACTCTATCTCAGATTCTCTACATTTTTGTATTGTATATAATTTATAGAACGAATAGAATCTAACTTCGAATGTAAGTTCAGAATTCTTTGTCTTTATATATTATTTAATTTTACCGATATATCATTTCTTCTTGCTACCTAAACGATTGATATCTATGACAGAAATTATGTGGAATCAAGATATCTAAGATGTCCTAATAAGAACTAAACATTTTATTAGGTAATAGTCGTTTAGGCCATAATCGTTTAGAAAATAAGTTCATTATTTATCGATCGTTTAACCAACAATCGTTTAGGTAACAAATCAATTACTTGACAATCGTTTAGGTAATAAGAAGAAACAAAACTTCGATAAAATAAATGATATATAAAGACAAAGAATTCTGAACTTACATTCGAAGTTAGATTCTATTCGTTCTGTAAATTATATACAATATAAAAAAAATGACTTACAAATATAAAAGAAATATAACAATTATATTTTGTTTACCTAACATTAAAACTTAAGCTACACCATTCACCTCTATACCTAACACATTAAATAATGAACGAATAGAAGTCTAACCACAGTATGTCTGCTTCAGTTCAGATTCATTTCTAAAGGAATTATTTTGTGTCACCTTCACCTACTGCCCTTTCTTTGTAGATATTCCTCCATATTTCGCCTGTTGGTAGGGAATTCCGATGGCATTCATGGAAAAATATTTTCCTAAGGAAAACTGCTGAGTAATTCCGTACGCCGCTTTTTTTTCCAGTTTCAAAGAATAACTTTTCATCTCATCACTCTCAACTCTGTTGTAAAGGCAAACCTGGAGACATGCAGGGATGAAACTGTTGATTAGTGTCCAGAACGAATATATATAGTAGCACGAACTCAGATACTCCCATTTGTTTGTCATCTCTCTTTGTTGTATTTTTCAGAAAGAAAGCGTTAATATTCCATTCTGTTATAAGTTCAGTATCCGACTTCGCAATTCAAGTACATACACTGTAATAGCTATGACTAACAACTCCACATATCTGACTTTTGAAAAATATGACGATCCAGAGATCAAAAGGTTTACTCACATGAACAATGGAGAAGCCTGGCAAGGTCTATTGCCGAGAGATCAGTACGCTGATAGAGAACAATACTTGAGTGAATCGGGAATTGCACAGAAGAACCAGGACCCAGCTACTCAGAAACTATACCCAGAAGGTTGCGAATGGTTTGGTATTAAATTCTTTGCCTTGAAGGATAGAAGACTACCAGCAACTGGTAAGACGAGCCAAATTGTTTCTAGTTGTGAAACATTGAACAGATTAGCATATTGTACCACCAGTGGTTCTGATGGGAAAATTGAATTGTGTTTGAATGTTTGTATTGGTGGTGTATTTACTGAAAAGAAGTTTAGAGGCCAAGGTTACGCCAAAGCTATGATCGAATCACTTAACAAATATTATGATGAGCTACGTGCTACACCTGGTGCCCCAGATTTCATTAAGAATCTGGTGATCACGCTATATAGTGAAGTGGGTGATTATTATACACAATTAGGTTACCATACTTTGCATGTTCCTTTACATAACATTACACACATCGATGAATTATATCAGGAATATTGTGGAGGAGTTGACTCGGCTCCTGGTAGATTTTTAGGATTCGACGATTATGAAGATTTGATTCATTTGCAAGATAATGAATTTAAGAAGGATCTTTTAACAACAAATGGTGCCAATAAAGATTCATTTATCTTTATGGTAAAACCAGATATCGAAATTTTCAAATGGTTCCAATATCGTGATATTTTCATCCAAGAGAGAACTAACAATGGAACCACCCAACCACCATTTGGGTTTGAACTAGAAAATCACAGTCACATCATATGGCATCACAACTGGAATGATAACAAGTTGGTCATCACCAAAATCTACATCTCTGAGGACCAAAAAATGAACTCCGAGGTAGTCTTGAGACAATTATTTGCCAAGGCAATAAATGAAGCAAGAAAAACAAATCTAGATGTTTTACAATTCTGGGATTTCGAAATTTCATTGAATGAATTTCCTCAATTGCGGGATGTCCTAAAGGAAGTTTGTGATGATGATGAATTGTATGCTCAAAATGGGTCTATAAGTGCTGTAAGACCACCTCCGGGTTATAACAAGGATACCATTATCTGGGAGAAGAACACCAAGTTTTGTTGGTTCTGAGAATACACAGACATAACAAACAGATTCTATATTTATACATACATATATATACATATGTACATTTGAAGTAACTATTCTGAACTTTACTGCCCTTACAATAATATGAATGTGTGAGCTTCGCTAACAAAACGAAACAAAAAAAAGTGAGAGATGATAATAAGGAATTTGTCGGTATAAGAGAGCAAGTAATAGGATGGGAAAACAAACATATATATAGTCAGATAAAGATTACGGTTCTTAACGAATATTAAGTATCTGAAAAAGAAAATAAAGTATATAACTATCTTTAAGAAACCACGTGTGATACCTTATTCGATATGTTTTTGGTTAGGGTTGGTCTTAAGATAAGTCCGAGACAAGGAGTACTACTTCATGTACTTCCGAAATGTAGGGTTCAAAACGCATCGCTTCTAACTTTGGGGAGAAGATCTGTGGTTACATCTACAATTGATTGGAACCCTATTAAGACACATCATAATCCCAATGATAAAGAAGAGAAACGGGGCTCCTTTGGTAAAAATATCGTGCTGGGATTGATGATTGCTATGCCAATCATCTCATTCTATCTAGGTACATGGCAATTAAGAAGATTAGAATGGAAGACTAAATTAGTGACTCAGTGTGAGACTAAATTAATGTATGACCCAATCCCTTTACCAAAGGATTTTTCCGTTGACATGTGTGAAGACTGGGAATATCGTAAAGTCCGTATTAGAGGCCATTTCTTACATGATGAAGAGAGATTTGTTGGACCAAGATCCAAATATGGTGAGAAGGCGTATGTTTTATACACGCCCTTTGTTAGAGAAGACACTGGTGAGAAATTATTGGTGGAACGTGGATGGATCAGTGAACACAAAGTTTCGCCAGATACTAGAACGTTACATCATCTATCGTTACCTACATCGACTATCGATCTAATTTGTTTGGTGCGTCCACCAAAAGTGAGGGGTAGCCTTCAATGGGAACAAAATGATAAGAATTCGAGATTATGGCAGGTGGCTGATATATATGCTATTGCTGATACCGTTGGATGTAAACCAATTAATTTCCAGGCTCTTTACGATTTGAAGGATCATCCTTCTTGGAGAAGTGCTGAAATTAATAATTTAGCTAATAATAACAATTCTCAAAGTACATCATGGTGGAAGTTCTGGCAGAAACGTGATGAATCAAATACCACACCTAAGGTTAAAACGTTTGCAACTGATAAAGATGAAAACTTGGAATTCAATGAATTACAATTGGTCAAAGCTGGTGTCCCTATTGGTAAACATCCATCAATTGACTTAAGGAACAATCATCTCCAATATTTAGTTACATGGTATGGTCTATCACTTTTGAGTACAATATTCTTGGTAGTAGCCTTGAAAAAATACTGGCTAGGTGGTGTTGTGTCGCAATCTAAATTAAAATCAGAGAAGTTGAAAAATGCCAAGAAGTATATGTAACGGTATTAAACTGACTCATATCTATTCGCTATCTTGTAAATATCTCATATATACTTTTATCCAATAACAATGTTGTGTTCTACATGGCTACTTTGAGGCGGTTATGGGACAATGCAATGAGCGAGGAAGCTCTATATGATGAGCATCTTGACAGTTTATTTCAATTTGACGTTCATAGTTATGCCCAAGAGATATATAAACTACGTAATAGAGTCATGTGTGCCCATCTTCGGTTCACACCTTACAGAAATTAAAACTTTCAGTAAAATATTTTGAAATGTTCGTGAGATACACACACACATTTTTAAATGAACCATATGTACGTTCATCTTCCGAAGTTCCATCCATTATTGGTACCTCTTATAACGTGGTTCTCATGTGTCATTCATACCATAGACAAATTTAGAAATGGTCCTCTCGGGTTTTCGCGTCTTTCACTGTTTTTTAAGTAAAAATAAATAAATTGAAACTTCAAACATTTATAATATAAACAAAGATCATTTACTGTACACTGGAATGAGATTAACATCATAAACAGAAACCAGGTCAATTGCATGAAGCCGTTGCGTTTTGTTTTAGAATTATAGTACATATATCTTACGCTACTACGACTGAATAGTTTTTATCTTTTCTTTATTTTTGTTATTGATTATTGATGTCCGAAATCAGAAATAACGAATCTAGTTCGAGAACTGGGACCGAATATAAACTATCTGTGAGTAGTAATCCCGGATCAAGGAGATCATCCATAGCAAGCATCAATATAAATGACAACTTCAATGGTAAGCCTGGCAATGTGAATGGAAGTGGGTTTGAAATGGAAGGTGACCAGAATGTGCTTCAGGAGTATTTGGTCCCTCAAATTAGAGAATTGACAGATTCCGTAGTCACCTTAGATAGTAATCTAGCACGTTTAAATGCGATACATGACAATCTTATCGATTTAAATGAATCCTTTGGCTCGTTGATATATGGTATTTTATGCACATCAGCTTGTACAGATTTTCCTGGTGTCTCTTTAGATATCGAAAGAGAATTAAGGTCCATTAAACGTGTCCAAACATTAAAACAAGAGAGATTGCAATTGGAGGAACAATTACATTTATTGAACACAAACAGCTCAGTCAAGGTAAATATTAGCAAATCTGGTTCAGGCAAATTTTCTGAACCATTGTTCCCAGTCAGAGGGAACACAACAAATTATAAGACTAATAATGTTCCTAGAAGAAGATTTGCTAAAAATAATAATAGTACTGAGAATGAAAACGTATATGATGATAACAACAGTGAGGAATCGTTTGTATTAAACCCTCCAATTCAGAAACAAGCGTCATCAGTTGGAAATCCCAGTTATGCGATGAATCAGAGACCTGTAGGTAATTCTACTTCCAGACAATCTGGTAAGTTGAGAAGAAGGTCCATTCTCCATACCATCAGAAATAGTTTATTAGTGGACGATAATGCTGGATATCTACGACCAACTAATAATATGAGGAATTCTAACAACTTAGAAAGACCATCATTAGGTGGGTTACCAACAAGAAACATAGATAGAGTAGTTCAAGAAGGTCCACGGAGAAAAACATTTTCAGCAGCATCCAAAAATAATGAAACTTCGAGAAGAGTTACTAAAATACGACCACAATCTAAATCCAAATCAATTAACGGAAGACCACCATTTAGGTAGTGTGATACTTTGAGGTCTAACTCATTAAATGAGATTATCATGACAATGATAGATTTGCACATATGTGAAAAGCTAATAAATGAGGAATGGAATAATAAACAGGAAAGTTATAACGTCGAGATTCCTATCAAGTGATTTAGGAGATATCATTAATTTTTTTAATGTCCAACTCATATGACGTCTTAGTAACTGAACTGTAAATTGTCTCAATGGTTCATAATCATGTTCAAGAGTTCTGCACGGATATACATATATATGTATTTACATTTATATAAATATAAAAATTGTAACACTAATAATAACTTGGATGTGAACTTCACCCCATCTTTACTGCTTCTTAGTTGTTCGTTTGGTGATGGAATAGTAGAATGATCCGTATTTTGCTTGGCTTTTATAGTAGACTATATCACTTTTAACGAACATCACGTTCATGCCAATTTTCAACTTTCAACACACGTAACACGGCACAATCAAAGGATGTTTTACATTGTTTGTTAAGATTATTAAGAGTAGCAAGTAACTGATTATTAAAACCTAAAGTACGACATATGCATTCAAACTTATTCTCATTGAACAATTCTCAAGAAAATAAAATACCATAAAATAAACTGCTGAGAAAATGTCTGAATATTTTGGTAAGACCATTTCTCTGATTTCTGTTACTGACAACAGATACGTAGGTTTACTAGACAACATCGATTCTGATAAGGGGACTGTTACTCTAACAAATGTTCGTTGCTTTGGTACCGAAGGTCGTAAAAATTGGGGTCCTGAAGAGATATATCCAAGTACTACGGTGTATAAGACTGTTCAATTCAATGGTAATGATGTCAAAGATTTAAGTATCCTTGAAGTTGGGTTGGATGAGGTTCAGCCAGTACTTCGTCCAGATAATGGTACTGTGCCAGCTCAGCAAGCAAACCCTGAACAGCAGCAATCTCAACAGGCAACAGGTAGTATCCCCAAAGAAGACTTACCTGCAGCTGTTGCAGATTATGGTGTATATGCTCCAACTGAAGGTGCAAATACTGTTGGTCTTTCTTCGGAAACTACCGATGTTACGAATGATTCACAAAGACAAAGAGAGTCACGCCCAAATAAGTCTAACTACAATAATCATCACAGACAACAGCAACAACAGCAACAGCAGCAGCGTCCAGATCCTTCCAGAAAGATCGAAATTCCTAACGATGATTTTGATTTTACATCGAATAATGCGAAGTTTGCGAAAGAAGCTCCAGAAGGACATATAATAGATGAATTAGAGGAAGTAGAAAAGGCTAATAGGGATGAACCACATCCAGATGGTTTCTACAACAAAAAATCATCCTTTTTCGACTCTATTTCTACATCTGCGGAGACCAACACAAATATGAGATGGCAAGAAGAAAAGGCCTTGAATATGGACACATTCGGGGAATCTTCTGCAAGACCAAGATTTAACAATAGAAGAGGTAATTTTAGAGGTAGAGGAAGAGGAAGAGGTGGTAGCAGAGGTGGTAGCAGAGGTGGTAACAGAGGTGGTAACAGAAATTACAATAATAATAATAATAATAATTACGGAAACAACGATTCTGGAAATTTTCAATCTGGGTTTACTAGTAATAACCACGTCGAATTTTAATGATCTAACCCATTCAAATTAACTTTGCTTTATTACTTTTATTTTTATTTTATTCATTTATTCATTCAAATGATATAGATTTCAGATAAAGTTAAATAAAGAACTTAATCAAATCAAATATCATTGCACATAAACATATATATATATCACATAATCGTATAAAAATTTAGGAACATATGCATATATTAATATCTATAATTTAATAGACCTTATGGAATCAGTATACAATTTCTAAAACCTTTTAGGTTTCTAAACTTCCAAAAAAAAGGAAATCATAATGTATATATTAAATAGTATTTTGAATGCAATTCTCATCTTAACTTGAACAGATGAAATGATTTTGATGCTGTACCAATTAATAACGCAGAATTCGAAAAATTGATTTCCATGGATTTGATTCTTTGTCCATTTATATCACAATGCATGTCAAGTTGCCATGATTCTCCGTTAAATAAATCAATAGCGTACAGACCGTTGTCCGTTCCAATGATAATACCGTTAGGGTTTGGGATATACCTCATAATTGGTTGTGAATATGAGTCCTGTGGAAGTTGTGTTGCCATATTTCTCAATATTTTATCATAATAAGTAGTAATACCTGTATTCTCTTGTTTGTTATCATTTATTTTCTGAAAATAAGTCTCCATCTTAGGGAATTCTAGCAGAATTAGTCTTAGGTATGGAACATGAGAAGTTGCAACGCCTATTAGTGTTCCATTGTTAATTACTGGTGAGCCGTCCGCAAAAGTAGTGTTAATCAATATAAGATCCCTTATATTAAATGAATGTGTACTAAATTGAGCATTGTTTAAAGCAATATTGAAGCAATTTTGTAAAATGTCAGAATCATCCAAAGTGTAACAAACAATATGAGTGAAATCCATTCTGGTTAATAAAATTACTGTTTTTGAAACAGTTTTCCCATTAATTGTAACCTTTGTTTTGGACATGTTTAAAGTCGTGCATGCAGATAATAATTTTATTGTTGAAGTAACGGTCCAGGTAGGGGTATTATCCTTTAGCTTCAATATGCTTAAATTCATAGTATTGTCCATTGAAGTCGTTAAAACATACCACGATTTGTTATCATCCATTTTGGAAAATTGAATATGAGTGATCATTCTACCATGAGGTTTAAAGGAAGACCCGGTAATAAGTTTGTAGGTCTTATCAAACAGATATATATGACCGGACATTAAACAAACGTAAATGATATCACTACCTGGAATAGATCCAGCTAATTTAACCACACCCAAAGATTTCATATTTTGATCAGTAAGTTGCGATACCATCTGTAAATTAGCATCAAATATTTCTAATCGTCTTGATGATGTAGATACCATTAAATTGTTTGATTCGATGCTACAAAAGTTTACCATAATTGGAATTCCATCCAAGGCAAAAGATTGAAAATTATCGAAATTACAATCAAAATTCCATCTCTTTATGTGAAATCTCTCATTATCGATTGGCGGTAGTTCCTCGTTCAAAGTAAGATCCTTAAGTTTAGAGTCTAGAACATGATCGTTATAACCTATCCTATCGGATATAATTGACTTTAGATCATCGATATGAATATTAGAGTCCGAATTGTTATCACTTCCTGTCACAGATACAGGGATAGATGTTTCCCTTAAAAATGATTTCAACGTCTCATCATAGCCTTGTTTCTTCAAGTATTGCGCAACTAAGACCGCGGTATACTTGTCAATATTTTTCTCACCAGAAGACATTATCACTTCATTACTATACGGGTCTGTAAATATTAATTCTTATAATGACCATATTTACAAAACCAGCTCATCGCATCGTTTTAACATTATTAATGCCTGGCTGCTTAGTCAAAACTGAAAAATTTTGGAAATTCAAAATCGACATTAATTTGACTACATATATTACATCCTTGCACCCACATATTTCAAAGAAAAAATTTATTTCTGAAAATTAAATATTTCGGGAAAAACAGAAAAATAAATAAATAAATTTGTCTTTCCGCGATGGAAATCCCACTGTTTTGGTCAGAACTAGTTGCTCTTTCTCTATTGACAATTTATTCAGCGATAGTTGACCAAGGGCAAGATTATAGCAATCTGAGATGGGCAATGAACACAGATGCTAAGTTATTATGCAAGCAGTTACCTAGTAAGTGACCTGTAATACATCGGTGAAAATAAGTTGATAAGTGCTTAAAGATAGGTGATATATATAAGGAACACTATTTTTTCTTGTTTATTCATTTCCCTATAAAGTTCATAAATAAACCGTCAATAAACTATACAACAAAATGGGTTCCGGTAAGCCAAGAGGTTTGAATTCCGCTAGAAAGTTGCGTGTCCACAGAAGAAACAAGTATGTTAATTATAATGAAATAACTATCAGATGAAAGGGGAGGAAAAGTTTAAAAAATACGAATCAAATGATTGGGAAATTCAGCCATCGTGTTATTGTATTGAATAGATAATTTGAACAAAGAAAAGTCTAGATAATAATGGTAGACTAAGGAATTTTACGATATTCTCAGAATAAAAAAAGAATTATGGATTATTAATTTTATGTTAATTCAATGAGATCAGTTCTGATTGAGTAGACGTTTACTAATATTGTCAATTCAAAATTCTATAATGTTGGTGATTCACTATCGGGATGAAATCAATACATTATTTGAACTATCGACTTTTAAGATCTTACTGTCATCTGAACTATGATAAATTTGTATCATCATAATTAAATAGAGTCAATTTACTAACAAATTGTTATATTATCATCCATGTGATAATGTTATAAATTTAAACAGCCGTTGGGCCGAAAATAACTACAAGAAGAGACTTTTGGGTACTGCCTTCAAGTCCTCTCCATTTGGTGGTTCTTCTCACGCTAAAGGTATTGTCTTGGAAAAGATTGGTATTGAATCCAAGCAACCTAACTCTGCTATCAGAAAGTGTGTCAGAGTCCAACTTATCAAGAACGGTAAGAAAGTTACTGCTTTCGTTCCAAATGATGGTTGTCTAAACTACGTCGATGAAAATGACGAAGTTTTACTAGCCGGTTTCGGTAGAAAGGGTAAGGCTAAGGGTGATATTCCAGGTGTTAGATTCAAGGTCGTTAAGGTCTCTGGTGTTTCCTTGCTAGCTCTATGGAAGGAAAAGAAGGAGAAGCCAAGATCCTAAGCAGATCTCAAAGGAAATATATATATATATCAAAACCTTCAGGTTGCGTATGTGTTTTTGTCTCATCCTTTCTTTCTGTTTTTAAAAACTTTTCCATTTAACATCATAATACTACAATTGATCTAAAGAACTTAATAAGAAATATATCAGAGAAATAATTTTAACATTTAACGTCATTGTTCTCTACTACGAATATTGCTTGTTATTTTCTCTTCATCATTTTATGTAATGTATCTGTAATCCATATTTCGGAGATATATAAAATTCAATAAATTTGCACTTTAATCATAATCTAACTACAATGATATTACAGAAAGTAAAGATGAAAAATTATGTATTATCCTATTTAGTATTGATATAGAGCTTTTGCAACTTAGTTCATCATCGATTTGGTCGTATTAACAAATGAAACCAAAGCTTTTGAGAGATCAGGATATGCTGTTGGATCTCCTAAACATCTCTCGGTTAGAATTTTTAATGATACTTGGAATTCCTGTATTATTCCTTGGTATTCATTATACAAATGATGAATATAAGGAGAGTTTAATTGTTCGAGAGATAACAGCATTGTTTCACATTTAGAGATTAGGGTATATAATTGCATCACAAGATCAGCACAAAGAATGTCGTCTATCTCCTCGACCCCACATAATACATGTAATGATTTACTTAATTCTTTGCTTAACGCAATATTTTGCGCAAGCTCCTTGTGACTCCTCAGTTGTGTAATTATCTCATCTAACTTTCGTAGATATTCAACTGTGTCGCTAATAATCTCTTTATAATGAGCAATATCTTTCTTGGTCAATGTGTCAAACCCTGTCATAAAGGTATCAAGTTTGTTTTTTATATCTCGTATCTGTAACTGAATTTCATTATCCTCTGATGTGTACGTGTTAAAGAACTCTAGATAATGTTCATAATTGGAAGAGACCTGTTCGAGTAAATCTGACATTATAACGGATGACAGCCCTGATAAATCTCGAAGTAATGGGTCCAATTCCATATAATGAAAATTATTCTCCATAAGAAACTTATCTACATTAAATTCTTCATCAACAGATGAATCTATATTGCTTATTTCTTTTGCAAATAGATCACGATTAATCTGTGTGGTCTCAGGTAAATCTAAGTTTATGTCTTCATCTTCTTTTAAAAAATCCATAGTAGTCCTTTAACGTTGCGAGTGTTATGTAATATAAATGAATATAGATTGACGTGATTATCTGTTCTCCTTCGAGCTTTATTTCTTTGAACCTTTGTATCTATTGGGCCCATTTTTCGTTAAGCTTTCTTAAGTGCTCGCCTTTAACATGTAACATTATATTTTGCCAAAGAATCAGCCATCTGAACGAAATCGCTCAGATGTAAAAATAATATACACTATTTCTATAATTCAAATTGTATTAAGGCTACATACGCGACATCTGGACGGATGAGATCATTTTGATTAGTTAAATCTCAAAATTCTGTTCCATATATTTCGAAAGCAAAATTTTGGATATGTCATCTCAAACGTCAAAGTGATGATCTCAAAGGAAATGAAAAATAGAAGCTGAGATGCATCCTTTTGGAATAATTGTCAATGGGGTTCTGCTATTTTACTTTCGTACAACTCCTAAAAAATTAATTGTTGTTGAAGAGTCCAATATAATAAATCGTAGTTGGTTTCCATATAATATTAAATACTTTTTAAGCCAATATATTACCGGGGTGTTTTCTTTATAAAGATGAGAAAATACATGAAATTTTATTAACTATATCTCTCAATAATTTGAAATATGTCTTTTCTATTAAGTTAATCTCTTAAATAATTGACTGATTACAGCCAGAAGATAATTCAGTTCTTTATTTAGATGTAAAGTAAAATATGATTCTTGTTAAATTTTCTGTTTTTAACAATAGACACTTTATAATTATTATGTTCAGATTGTTGTTCTTAATTATTGTATTTTTTTTAAACATCTACTGAATATTTGAATTAAAGGAAGTAAGACTATCAATTATTGATGGTGTTGTTACATAATGTTCTTAAAGAGTGTCCTAAAAAACATGAAATTTATTCGAAAGTTCAAGACCATTATGGAGCAATTGAAAATATTTTTTACGAAGTAAAACATGTTAGTAACTAAGTAATGGTACTTCATATTATAATACTTTTGATGTTCTTTCCCTTATAGAACGAGATTGGTTACAGTACTTTACACCAAATACTTATATTTCTCTTAAATTAACAATGCTGGGTTTCTGTGATAAAGAGAGTTGCTGTTGTTATGTTAAACTGATTTACTATGCACAAAGATGAGCAGTTTAACAACAGCACCTCTGTTTACCAAATATTAGGAGAAGTCCGAGCTCTATTATCATAGTAATTATTGATAACAAATTGGAGTTACCCGGCTATTAAATGTATTATCAAAACTAAAATATTTCTTTTTCTTTAAAATAATTGGGCGTGTGGTCTAGTGGTATGATTCTCGCTTTGGGTTTATACTCGAATATGTGAGAGGCCCTGGGTTCAATTCCCAGTATGCCCCTTTTTTTTGGTTAATTTTTTGATGATCCTAATTTAATTGTATTTGGGATATAACCATCATGATGGTTTGTTTTTATTTTTAACATCTCTTCTGTTACTTAACATATTGGTACATACATCTTTTTAATTAATATAATAAGATCGCCCTTTAAAAAAAATGTGAGCAAGAAATGATCTATAAATAATTCGTGAAAATTACGAAATAAAAGAAAGTGCATAAAGTCAATTCATCTGAGGGGTAACTTTAACCGTGATAGATTCATTCGACAAAGTTCTTAGTTTATTCTGTGCAATGCTCAGACCAACACATCTCGGATACAGTCTAAGCCGACAGAGATGTTCTCATAGACTACTAAAGAATACATCCAATAAAATTTATGATACAGTAACATATTATAGGTACTATTCTTTGAACCAGGTCAACAATCAAGTGAAATACCTTGAACAATTATGTGAAAATTTAAATCACCACAAAGAAATAACAAATTGTAGATCAAATCAGACCATTATGAATTTGGTAAGGGTTTACATATCTAACGAATTGAACAGGATGTCAGGAATTGATATTGGCACGATTTTTAAATCAATACAATGGAACTCTAACCTAGAGGATAGCGATCTCGTGTTACCACTTCCAAAGTTAGGGAGACATATTGGAAAACCAAGTATGTTAGCACAAGAATGGGCAAAGTCATTTCCAACAGGGGACTATATCCAACGAATAGAACATAATGGTCCATTCTTAAAGTTTTTTCTTAGTCCTCATTTTTTGTTCAATTCTGTAATACCTGAAATAGGCTTGAAGGCAGAATCATACGGTTTTCGTAAGCTTCAGTCTGACAAGAAAGTATTGATCGAATTTTCGTCTCCAAACATTGCCAAACCATTCCATGCTGGACACCTAAGGTCGACTATTATAGGTGGATTCCTCTCGAATCTATATCAAGCTATGGGTTGGGAAGTTACTCGGATGAATTATCTTGGTGATTGGGGGAAGCAGTTTGGCCTACTTGCTGTCGGTTATTATAAATATGGTAAAGAAGATCTCTTAGCTTCTGATCCTATTCATCATTTATTTGATGTCTATGTCAGAATTAATAAAGATAAAGAGCAGGAAATTAAGGATGGCATATCTGTTACAGATTCTATAGATTGCAAAGCTAAACTGTTTTTCAAGAAGATAGAGTCTGGTGATGAAGAGGCATTGAAGCTGTGGAAAACATTTCGTTCACTGTCGATCGACAAGTATATATGTACTTATGCAAGATTGAATATTCATTTTGATGTTTATTCTGGTGAATCACAAGTACCTCGAGACACAATACGAAAAGCAATGGAATTGATCAAAGATAATAATTTATTAGAACAATCAGATGGTGCCACATTAATAGATCTAACAAAATTTAATAAAAAGTTGGGGAAAACAGTCATTAAAAAATCTGATGGTACTACATTGTACTTGACGAGAGATGTAGGAGCAGCAATTGATAGATATGAAAAATATCATTTTGATAAGATGATATACGTAATCGCAACCCAACAAGATCTATATGTCTCACAGTTATTTGAAACAATAAAACAATTAGGTTTTAATTGGGCTAATAACTTGGAGCATGTTAATTTTGGTATGGTGAAAGGGATGTCGACCAGAAAAGGGACAGTTGTATTCTTAGATAATATTCTTGAAGAAGCAAAGGACAAAGCACTTACTGTAATGAAAGGCGACCAAGTGAAATATTCTCGTATTGAGGATCCAGAGAAAGTAGCAGATTTGATCGGAGTGAGTGCTGTTATGATTCAAGATATGAAATCCAAGAGAATCAATAATTATGAGTTTGATTGGAATCGTATGTTGTCATTTGAAGGGGACACCGGTCCATATTTGCAATACACGCATTCAAGGTTACAGTCTATTGCTTCTAACCATGCCCATCTGAATATAGATTTCCCTAATTTTGATTTACTAGTAGAAAATGAAGCAATATTATTAATTCGTCTTCTAGCCCAATATCCTGATGTTCTGGTAAACGCAATGAGAACACAAGAACCTTGTACTGTGGTGACATATTTGTTCAAGGTTGCACATCAGGTATCATCATGTTATGCTACTCTCTGGGTAACTGGTCAGCCACAAGAAACGGCAGTGGCCAGGCTGATGCTATATAATGCTGCCATGCATGTCATCGGAAACGGTATGCGTCTCTTAGGTCTAACTCCTGTACATAGAATGTAAATAACATAAAAAAATAAGTATTAGATTGTTGGTAATAATAAATAGAATGTAAATATCAAAAAATGAATTTATAAGGAACATATTCATTTCTCTGTATAGTAATGTTTTGAATAATTGTTACGATTAATTCGCTAAAGACGACTGTCCGATATGAAATTATTATGTAAACAGGCAAAAAACAATTTAACCTCATATAACGGAGAACATAACACACACACACACACACACGGTACATTGGAAGGGAAGCGATCCAAAGGACCTAAAATACAAAGGTTCCTCTAATATTTAGAAACTATTAGGATATCTACATATTTAGATATCAACCAAGGCTTTGTGTTACTTTTGAAATGGATCCAAGTTTAGTTTTAGAACAGACCATACAGGATGTGTCTAATTTGCAAGCTGAATTTCAATATATGTTGAAGGAAATCAGGAGAGCTGATACCACAGCTAGTGAACATAGGAAGAAATTTTCACAGAAAGATGTTCAATTACAAAAATTTGTGAAACAGAAAGGGTCTATAACTGAGAATCCTGATGAAGACAAGCTTACTAAGGAAGTTCATGAGGAGATAGCCTCACTTGGGAAACTACAAGACGAAAAATGCATCCTTGCGAATACTGCATTATTTCTTGTATCGAGGCATGTGGCCAAGCTAGAAAAGAATATAGCAATACTAGAAGAAGATGGTGTATTGCCTCCCTTGGAGGAAACGATATTAAGTGGTTCAGAGCAATCCAAGGAATCGTCCGTAGGAAGTACAGGTGATAGAAAGAAGAGATCAGCTGTATCAACAGCAACACCGGCAGCTTTAAAGAAGAAGAAAACTAACAGTAGTATTAGTCTTCAGAAACCATTATCGCAACAGCAACTATTGGGACAACAATTACAATCGCCACAAGTACCGGACACCAATTTAGCAAATGGGATGGCATCACGTTTCCAATCTAATAATGTTGGTAAGCTGACAAAGGTGAAAGGTAGAGATCCAAGAATTAAGGGAGATGGACATTCTATCGAAAATGATGAGGAGGACAAAACATTGTATTGTTTCTGTCAGCGTGTATCATTCGGTGAGATGGTTGCTTGTGATGGTCCAAACTGTAAATATGAATGGTTCCACTATGGTTGCGTGAACTTGAAGGAGCCACCAAAAGGGACGTGGTATTGTCCAGATTGTACTCAAGAGATGGCCAAGAACAAGCAGAAAAGAAAGAGAAATTGATCCAGCTCTGTGCCGTCTTATTTCAAAATATTTCTAATTCACGTTGTATATACATATATCTTCTAAAATATAATATGCTTATAAATTGGCGGGTTGATGATAGGATCAGCAGAAAGTATTGATCAGCAGAAAGTATTGATCACCATAAAACTAAATAATTAGGTGTTCTGGCACAATTTAGGTCAGAAATTATTTTAGGCCACGTGATTATTTTAATCACATGACCATTAAAAATTTATTGGACTGAACAAAGAACCAGTCGCACAAACTTAATATGAAGCATCAAATTTACGGAAAGTGAAAAATTTTCTTTTGACAAGGAGAGATGAGCTTCGAAATTTTGCAAGTCAACGTATAGACAGCTCAGTTATCTAAGGTTTGATTCTTAAAAAACAATTGGAGATTAAAGATTGTATTTGTTGATCCTGGAGTGTGTTTGTTTTATCAACTTAATAGACCCACGTTAACCTAGAAATAAAATAATAATTACATAATGAGTTTCAGAGGTGGTTCAAGAGGTGGCCGTGGTGGCTCCAGAGGTGGTTTCGGTGGTCGTGGTGGTTCCAGAGGTGGCTTCGGTGGCCGTGGTGGCTTCAGCAGAGTTCCAGAAGGTCCTCCAGATAGTGTTTTAGAGATGGGTGCTTTCATACATCCATGTGAAGGTGACATTGTCTGTCGCTCCATCAACACTAAAGTTCCATACTTTAACGCTCCAATATATCTAGAAAACAAGACTCAAGTTGGTAAAGTCGACGAAATTCTTGGTCCATTGAACGAAGTTTACTTCACCATTGAATGTTCAGAAGGTGTTCAAGCTACAAGTTTCAAGGAAGGTGACAAATTTTATATTTCTCCACTAAAATTGCTACCAATTGAAAGATTTATTCCAAAGCCAAAGGTTGCTGGTCCTCCAAAATCAAAGTCAAAGAAGAAGAAGGGTTCTGCTCCAGGTGGCCGTGGTGGTGCTAGAGGTGGTTTCGGTAGCTTCGGTGGCCGTGGTGGTTCCAGAGGTGGCTTTGGTGGCCGTGGTGGTTCCAGAGGTGGCTTCGGTGGCCGTGGCGGTTCCAGAGGTGGCTTCGGTGGTCGTGGCGGTTCCAGAGGTGGCTTTGGTGGCCGTGGTGGTTCAAGAGGTGGTTTTGGTGGCCGTGGTGGTTCCAGAGGTGGTCGTTACTAATTGCATTAGACCTATATTTTGATCATTGATATACTTTTTTATGAAGTATTACGAAACTAAATAATTGACATTAAAATATGACGTTTACTTTCATATTTGATTTTGATATACCATTCTCTTTTCTATCGTTCATGTTGTATAATATTAATATATCTATCTACATATCATTCCATATTTTAAAATAAAGAAAAAATTACTGTACCCTTGCATGAATGAAACTAAATCATTAGATATTTCTTTTTACAGTTTTGGCTGTCCAATATGCTAGATTGTGTATCTAGATATGATTTACAACCTGAGATATGGATGATTGTGCATCCTCTGGTTATATATAACCTGGTATTCTTGTTTATTTATTATAATTGTTATTAGTTATATATTTATGCTGAGCCGAATAAATTGCCCATGGCATCATTTTCAGTTGATGGATCGTCCAACAAATCAGTTGGACCTTTGTTCTTTTGGACAAGCTTTTGAGTAGCTTTTAATAAATTTGCTTCTCTCTTTTCTTGTCTTTTTCTCTCATCTGCAACAACGTCGTCGTCGTTATCATTCGAAGTACCATTGTTCCTCCTAATATAATCGAAATAATCTACCATTAAGGCTCTTTGGTTCTTAAAATTATCAACTTTCCTCAAGTTTTCATATAATTTTTCCGTATCATATCCGTGGGAAATTTCATATAGATATTGTCTTGTGGATTTGTACTCTTTGTACAAAGTTAAAAATAATACAGTAAAGACATACATTCCCTCATAGAATGAGTCACGATTAGAATTATTGGCGGTTAGGTTGACAAGTAACGTTTTCATTACCTCTACCGTAAAGAATTCATCAACACTTTCATTCTTAATAAGAACATCAGCTAGGCACGATTTCATTAGTAATACCGCGTTGAATGAACATTTTGTGTCTTTGAAGGAAATTAGATGGTTAAGTAGCTTTAAAAATGGAGCTAATAAATTAATGTCTTCGAAAATTGTCTTCCTCATTTTTATTTGGTGAGAATTCAATTTACTTTTTGAACTAGAGCCATTTTGCCCGACACTGTCTATTAATATCAATACAACAACAGTAGTTAACTGTCTTAATAAGTTTTCTTCCAATATTTCCTCCGTCATCTCTTCGTCGTCGGTAGGAATTGGTTCAGTTTCGTGGCCCTGCATAACTTTACTCCATTTTTCGCACAATATTACGTCAAGGGTATTAAATAGTTTTGGTAAAAACACTGGCATGAATTTAGAGGCACATTCATCCGGACAATTCTTTAAAATTGGTCTAATAGCCACATTTAAAATATGTTTCCATCCGTGTGTTGAGACACCGGGACTGATTTCGTTTCTGTCCGGTTTGTATATAGCAATAGAGTTGAACAGCAACTCAGGCATTTCATCAATATCGAAGAATACACTGCCTAACGAAGATATAGCAGCCACAACTAATAGAGTATATTCTCTAGTGTATCTTACGATGTGACCTACCGAATCAGCGAAATCTCTTAAAGTATGCATGGCCTTCATGTGTTCATCTATAAATTCATCCTTAGATTTATTGGAAGCACCTGCTTCCCAAAACCGTTCTACCGTTGAATATTTCACAAATGATTGGACAACATTTGGAAGCTCTTTCCAATTTTCAGGATCATGGTAAGATTGTAATTGATACAATAATCTCAAAATATATGGTAGAATTGGTACAATACGTGGCCTCCACATATCCTGCAACATCTTAAATTCAGAGTCCTTCTTTACACTTTGCATAGAATAATGAATAAACATTCTAGTAGCTCTGACAGGGAATAACGTTTGCCAACGTTTTGTTAGTTCCATTTTCAATTGCTTGCCTTCTTCGTCGATAGGAATAGATAGCAAATCACTATTTTCATCTATGTTTCTTCTTTGGAAATATTCTGCAATTTTTACTATACCGAGGCGTTCCATAAACCAAGGCAAGTCTGATAGCCCAACCTCTGTACTTTTATCTGACCAGGCGACCAACTCGCTATCAACAAGTTCAGCAAACCTTTCCTCTTTTCTATCTAATGATGATTTCAATACGATTGTTAACAAGAATGATTTAAATGATATTTTCTCGTGATATGATAATTTGGGGAGTATTCTGGACACAACACTTTCTAGATCTGCGTATATGCTTTTCAAAGATTCAGGCATTAGTAAAGCCATTCTATTCAATTCAATACCACATGCATATCTAAGTTCTCTGACAGCTTCATACTCTTCACTATTATTTTCTTCATCGATACCTGGGTAATCCATGGTCGCCGTTGTGATAATTTTTTCCAACAATGTGAATAATACATTATCTTTCAGCATTGTTAAGAATAAAGCAAAATTTTGAATTTCTTTCTTCAACAACAATGGTTCCCTGATGTTTAAGGCAATAAGTTGATTCGATAACATTTCTAATTTGTTCAGGATATCATCCAGTTTCGCATCGTAATCTTCTGAATTGGTGTACCAAATTTTCCATCGTATACATCCATTGATAAAGCATTCAATGATCATAAATTGTGATAATGCACTTAAATAAGGTTCTGACTTCAAATCCAAAAAGGTGGAGCTGAGTACTTGTTGGCCATATTGTGAACTGAAATAGCTATTTAATCTCACGTTCAACCACTCGTAAGAGAGATCCAATTTTACACAAGAGATCAATCTAATAATATCTCTAATATTTTTCCTATAACTGGAACAAAATGACTGAAATTCTGTCTTTGATTGAAAATCTGTCTCAGCGAATATCTTTGACACATGATCCGGAATTTGTTCGTAATATATCAACGCATCAGCTGCATACTGCAATAGGTCAGGTATGATGTATTTTTCTAAGTATGGCAAGAAATTATCATTTCTTAAGCATGAACACCATAAATCCAATGTTAATCCACTTACTATTAAACTTTCGTTATATGTTGCCTTTAATACTAGTCTTAAATATTTTTCGACTTGATTTTCATTGTCATCGACTTTGAAGACACAAACATAAAGACAACTTATCATATCAACAAACTTCTTGATGATTGGATATTTAGCCTCATCGATTCCGTTCTTTGCATCAAATTGTAAACTATCATAAACTTTCTCTAGAGTGTCCATATTATTGAAAACATTATTTATAACCGATTTGTAATGATCATCATTGCTGTATGGTCTTGTTAATAGAATATGCATTGAATCCAAAGCCATTGATTGAGCCTTTGGGATATCACTCAAAAAACAACGCAATAATGTTGAAATAACATCGTTTCTGATAATCACTTCACTTAATGGCCAATTCAAACATGTTTTTAAAGTCTCTAATAATCTAACCACATATTCTTGGTTATTTTCTCCTAGAGCAATGTTTAATTCGTCAATCCATGTCTTGAACCAACCATCATTGCTAGATCTAAATAAGGTCCATTTTTCAGTAAACTTGTATTTGGATGCAAACACTTCCATCGGGCATACTATCATTACACATAATGGTTGAATAATGGTCATTCTTTTGAGGACAATCATATCATCTAATAAAAACACATCCTCAAATAAAATTCTAAATATTATTAATGTTACTTCTCTTGAAGCCTGATTAATGTTCCACAATTCGGATAAATTATTGTCCATATCAACCCATGATTCAGTCAAAAGTTCATCAGTAGGCTCTCCACCTTTCAGAGCTTCGCCCCATGATCTCTTTGCAACTTCTACCCATAAAAAGGCAAGTTTTTCCTTAATGTAACGTGGATCTTCATTTGTAACTCTATAATTCAATTCCATTATCCATTTTCTCAAAGCGATTCTTCTTTGAGCGTCATAATTGTTCCAATGAGTTTTTAATGCATGTGTTAAGAGACCCAATCCGAAATGTTTCACTATAAAATTTGAAGAATTGTTCAGGGCAATTTCATAACCCCATAGAGGTGATTCTTCTTGTAATTTGACGTTATCCAAAAATCTCTGACTCTCGAGACGTTGTTCATTATTTGATTTTACTGAATAAATGACTTCAAGAGCTGATATCACCTGAGCACCTCCGTTTGAATCCATGATCGGGTGAGAACTTTTGTTTGTTTGAGTGTATGTTCTTATATTTTCTCTCTTTATTGAACCTTTAGGATATGTCTATATATAATGACTATTAATTTTTATGATATCCTTGATCAACAGAAACTGTTTCTTATTTTGTGAAATTATAACAATAATGAAAATATTAATGCTCAACTAGCTTTTAATTAAGAGAGGGAAAGAATGATAATATTTATGATGATGATGATGATACCTCTAATTGGATAAATTTAGCAAAAATAAGGAAGAAAATAAAAGATAAAAAATGTTAGATCGACTGGAACAAAGCACTGACTAGAGGTTGAATCAACACAAACTACCGATAATATCCAATGTATATGGAAAGGGAAAGTCACCTAAGGTTTTAAAACTGGAAGAGAACACTTTTTATGCATATACAATAACTTTTAAATGTATATATTTAGATTTATCCTTCCTTTGATTCGAAAATAATGATTGCCACTGTCTCAGTCTTCTATCTCGCGAGAAGCCTCCCTTCCCTTCACGCTGGCAAACAGAGACAACCCAAACACACATTGTTTGTTTTGTTCGGTTTTTTCAGGTGAAATGAAAAATTGCGCAATGAATTTGATGATTTCACGCCTCGTGCGCAGTGACGGTAATAAGCATATATATATATGTATAGATATTTATATAATCTGAATTGTTGTTGTTTTATACTACAAATAGAACTTCTTCTTTTCTTTGTCCATATCTGGAGTATGCTCCCACTCTGTCTCCTCTCTGAGACCTCTCTGCAGTCTCTTTAATTTCATTGTGAATTGTGGGCCTAATTCCTGTAAACCAACTTTCTCTTCGTCTCTAAAGACGTAACGATGCCTACGAAAGAAAATATAATCTCTTTGATTATGCAATGTAATGACTTGACGACCTTCAAAGTCTGGGTTTTGAGGGAATATAGATTGAAACAATTGGCCAACGGTTTTACCTAATTTTGTTTGGAAATTATTCAATACTAATTCTGGAATATGACTGGTTGGTCTACCATGACCAGCAATTTTTAATACTTCTACATAAGAGCTTATCTTGAAATAAAATGTTGGACCTTCTGGTAAATGCATGAATGTTAAACCTGTAACTTTTTTTTTATCTTCATTAATTATTACCATATCAGTGAAATTACGTTTATTACACATATCTGCGATCTCTTTTAATTTAATACCAAATTTACGTTTAACAAATTGAACATTTGGTAATATTTCAATTAATACATTAGCAAATTCATATGCAGCTTTCTTAGCGTTAACATTGGTAGTTAAAAAAATCTTTGGAGGATGATCTCTATGACTTGTATTAAAATATTTCATTAGATCATTTTGATCATCGACGTCAGCCTCGCCGTCAACATCACCGTCGGCATTTCCTCCGGAAGTATTATTGCTTGCTATAGTTTCATCATATACTCTCATATTATCTATCGTCCTAGTGACATTTTCTTTTAATCTTTTCTCCTTTAACTCAGGGTTTTCTCTTTCTTCTTTAGCACGTTGTCTTCTCATAGTATGACGTTCTTTATTCTTTTGATCTTTGATGTCTGCAAAGAGCTCTTGTCTCTTCATCTTGTTACTGATGTTTATCTCATTTTTCCCACTCATTGTTGCGGCGTCTCTGTATATGTCTTTTTATGGATACCCCTCTTCTTCTTCCTCTTCTAGTAGATAGTTAGACCTCTCAAGATTATATATCTTATGCCATCTCATCTCATCTCATCTCATCTTAATATATATAGTAATTATGATTAAAACCCATAAATTTTTCAAATTTTCCCCCAAGAAGAAGCAAAAAAATTTTCGCACTACACGCACGAAGGGTCACGGCGCACGAAGCCGTGGCTTGCAACGGAACAGTAAATAATAATGACTTTAAAAAAAAGAAATGTATGATCATTAAATGAATACGACTATAAAAATATTAAATAATAAATATATATATATATATATTTATAGATAGGATAAAATTTATAATCAGATGCTGAGGTCATTTTTTACATGAGAAGTGGGATAGAGGGTGTTCGTTACAAATTAGGTAGAGCAATCCTTACTTACTTCTCGAAAGAGTTGTTGGAGACAGTGTTCTCTACACCTGAGATCTTACCTTGTTTTAAGATGGCGTCGATCACTTGTTCGATACTCTTGTCATTACCGAATTCTAGTTGCATTTGAGACATAGAGGCTTCACCAAGGTTACCCTTAGCACCTCTACCGGCAGTGAAGACTTGGAATACGTCTACAACGTTTGGTAGTTCGGTCAATTGTGGGTCTGCCCTATAGGCAAGGACAGCATCTTCAGTATTTGCGAATACAATCAAATCAGCTTCTTTACCTTTGTAGAAGATCTTGACTGCATCGGCAGTGTTACCTTTCTTATAATTACCAGGAGCCTTGGTCTTTGGTTCCTTGTTTCTCTTTTGCATAGTGTTTAAGTTTTCCATTATTGTTGTTTTGTCTTGTGTGTTTTTGTTTTGTACTCAATTGATTAAAAATGATCTTATGAGTGGTGATATATATTCGTTAGAAGATAAAATAAGAAGAATTAGATATAAGAAGGAAGGAAAAACATATTTATAAATAAAGGGTATAAAGAATATCTGTTATATTGTCTGACTTTATATACAATCTAAAATTAAAATATAAGGTCTTGTAAGCCCTCCGAGGTATCATTAAATTGAATTGAATTATTAGGGGGTGGGGGTGATCGATCAACTTCAGCCCGATAGTTACTAGTATTAGAAAGCTATGTTATATGTATACTTTAAATTTAGGGGGTAAACCTTTACACATCAGGCATTTCTTAATTAATTTTCAAAATAAGAACAGACAAGAATGAAATATACTTGTTAGTATTGTCTAAGAGGGAATCAATCATTCTTTATTCTATTCTGGACCTCGGGTTAACAGTGAGCAAGAAACAAAGATCGAAGACATGACCATTAATTCTTCAGTTAGACAACATATTCTTTCATTTTGTCTTTCTCTCCCAGTTACTATTGTGTTGAACTGAATTAACTATTCAGTTCAACTAATTATTAGAGGAAGCTGCCTTCAATGATTATTAAATCACTACGTGGGTGTACGTAATATTCAACTTTTAGGGGGCAAACTGGGATAATATTGAAAGACAGACAGGCTGCCGTGACAGCGCAAAAGAAGACAACCGGGCTGGGGCCCCCGGGTTCGTTCATCATTTGCCATGTCCTTCCCTGTTTTTTTCACGGGGTTGGAATAGTGAATACAGAAGAGGAAGGATCGTTGCTATAGAGGACTTAAAGTGTTTGCTCAATATCTTTTGGGGAGTAGGAGGGGGCATCACCAGCGAACGAAGGAAGGGGGGTGGGAGGTTATTAATAACATAATGTCAAATTGAAATTGGTAATGTTAAACTCAATTTGACTAACTACATAAAGTTAACCAACCATACACAACTAATGTATATTTAATATATATGTAATATTTATAATATATTAACTACTGCTCATACGTACGAATAGATATCATTTGGGTAGGAAGGTTGAGCTTGTAATTGAATATCTTGTTGTTTTATCTTCAGTTTATCATCATCAACTGGTAAACCCCAGGATAATTGTAATGGTATGTCATCTATTGCGTATTGATGTAATGCTACCATGGCTCTTTCAGCATCATAACGATTTACATATTGTATAATACCTTGTTGGTAGTAACTCTTGGAACTAGGTCTGTTATTATTTGTATCACCATCGTCCTCTTCTGGGGCAAAAATTCGTAATTTGTCATAATATGACCCAAATGGTTTAAAATATTCTTCAAGTTCTAATTCGTTGACATATGGTGATATTTTTGTAATATATAATGTAGTGTTGTTAGGATCAGTCATGTGATTCATCCTTGGTAATTGTTGAACAGGCAGCATAAACAATGATAATTTATTGATTTTATTATGATGTTTATTATTTTTATTAGGATATTTATTATCATTACCATTTCCTATCGACTTGGGATCAGTACTATATTGCGGTTGTGATTGTTGACGTTGTCCAGTACTATTAATCTTAATGGCCCTACCATTAAGATACGCACCTTGTAATTCTATCATTGCTCTTGATTGTATTGCTGCATTGATAAATTTAACAAATCCATACCCTTTGGAGACTCCTGTAACTCGATCAATCATCACTCTCGTTCGTTCTATCATCGAGGGATATTTATCATTAAATAATTCATATAATTGTGACTCTGTGACATTTGGCGCAAGATCACCAACAAATACAGAATAATTGGTATCATTACTACTCATGTTTGATTCATCGGTTGGTTTAGCGTTGTTGTAGTTATTATTGTTGCTGTTGCTATTGTTATTGTTGGAATTCCCACCACTACCCCAATTCAGTTTCAACCGTCTTTGAGGGAATATAGGTATATTCATTCCATTCTTTAATAATGCATTTGCAGCTTGTTCATTTGTTGAAAATTCAATAAAGCAATACCCTTGGTTCTTTGTATTATCGCTATTTGTAGTTGTATTCCCACCACTGAATCTAGTATTATTATTATTCATAATGTTATTCATCATCATTTTCACTCGAATGCTTTCTTCCCCAAGTGTTTTCCATATTTCTTTAATGGTATCTTCAGTCCATGAAAGATCTAAATCTCCCATATATAATTGATTCGTAGATCTAACAATATTATCATTTATATGATGAGTTCGTGTAGCCCCACGCTCCCGTGATGGATATGTGTCCCTTTGTCCATAGTTATTCGACCTATTATTGTGATCTTGGTATCCATTCTGATAACCATATCCATTATTTCTCTGTTGGTAGTTGTTGTTATTGTTATTGTTGTACCCTGTGTTTCTTTGGTAATGACCGTTATTATATTGGTGATAGGACATTCTATAGACGTTTGATCTGACAGATGAATATTCTGTAATAGTTCCTCCTCGGAGTTGCGCTCTTAATATCTCTTGTATTATTGTTTTCATGTGTGTTTTGCATCTTCTTATGTATCTTTACTCTTTATGTTAGATTTTTGGAATTTTATTTTTGGAATTTTCACTGGAAAGCGATGACCTAATATTTAATTAATAATACGGTATTTTCCTTTTAAAGATAAAATAACTACCGATCGTATTCATATAGATATATATATATATATATGTTTATATAAAGGTTAGTATTTCTTTATATGCAAATGTTAAGTGGGGTATGACGTACAAGATTGAATATTGTAAAAGAAAGAAAGAGAAGCGGAATAATTATGGGTGTTTTTTTGTCTTTATCGTATGGCATTCCTCAGAATTATATACAATGAAGATGTTGATATATTCTTTTTACCTAGTTTGATATATCTTCATTATCATAGTCATCGACACTCTCAATGTTTAACTTTGGTGCCAATGTATTATTCAACTTACTTTGAAACTTGCTCGCTTTGGTATGCAATGGTTTGGATATTTTATTACTGCTTAAACTTCTTGAATGTCCATGGGCCTTATTGGTATTGTTATTCGTATTATTGCCTAGATTTTGTCTTGAAGATGATGTAGATGAAGATGTAAAGGCTTGTACAGAAGGTCCATTGTTTCCAGGGAGTTTAGTAATAACTGTAGAGCTTACTCTTGAGCCAAGTGGTGGTGAGGCATTTTGCCCCCGATTGGGTTGATTAGTTATATTAATATTGGAACCTGATGTGCTCCGATTTGGAGTAAATTGATATCTCTGAGCAGATTTTGGTAATACATTCGATGGGTTTGTTGCAGGTTGTAAAGCTTCCGGAGGTAAGACGTTCCAAGATGTATTTGTAGTAGATATTTGAGGGGTCTGATATGGGTATGCAGGTTGACCATATTGCTGAGCTTGGAAATCATGGATTGAACCATATTGTGGATGGCCATCTTGTTGATCCTTGTAAGGTAAATAGTCCTCGGGGAAATAGTTTTGTTGTTGTTCATAATTGACAAATTCTTGTGATGCTGAATTGTAAGGTAGTGGATAGAAAAAGCCTGAATACATTTGATTACCATAGACACCTTGAGGTGGTGGCATTGGTTGTGTAGTGTGCGACATTGAAGCTCTCTGTGGTACCGATGCATATTGTGGATTAGGATGCTGTACTTCATATTGAATTTCATCCTGATCGTCTTCATTTTCATCACTAGACAGATGGTTCTCATCCTGTGAACTATCAACTTCATCAACAGCTTTCAGTAATGGTTCTCCGTATGCTGATCTATCACCGCTATCATTTTGTTGTTGCTCATACGACGAAAGATCACCAGATACTATTCTTTGAGGATTTCCAAATGATGTAAATGACGTGTGATGTTGATGTGTTTGGTATGATGGACGAGGAGAAGTCGGTAATTTTTTTTTGTTACTTTCATAGAAATCGCGGTTTGTCATGACGACAGGAGTCCGTACAGTTTGTATATTAGAGTTAGGCGCAACTTGTAATTGGTATCTCCCATTGAGATTATTGGGTATAGAATCCTCTTCGCTGATGGTAGCCCCACTTGACACCTGTAAAATAGGTCCCACATTTGAATTCATGTTACTACCGAAACTCTCAAAGCCAGCATGAGATAGAATTGGTGCAGCAGTCATATTTGCAATAGGAGACATCAAATTTGGTAAAGGAGAATTGTATTCGTTCTGGGGTGCTTGTTGTTGAATAGGTTGTTGATTTGGGTACTCTATTGAAACTGGGAAATAATCCAATGGAAAGTCTTCATCCTTGTGACTGCTTACATCTTGGATGAAATTATTTCCTTTATTATTTGAATAAGTATCTGGTAGTGCTTCACCTTCATTTTGAAGTAAATCTTTATTTTCTACAACTATTTTTTGTGATTTAATGTCTGGGTTGGTAGAAGTTTCATATACGGCTTGAGAATTTTTAGTGTCATTGTCATAAATTATATCACTGCTGTGTTTATTATTAGGATTAGTAATCATAGAATGGGTGATATTATTGTTAGAAGGCAAAACTCTTTCCTCAATCTCATTATCATCGATATTCTTATTTGATTCTCGTATTGGTGTTGGAATTCTGGAGTGATGATCGTTTATATTTTGTTGAGGAATCCCATCTGACTGAATTACGTGGGAATGTAATTCATTGTTTGTGTATTGATCATCCATTGGATGTTGCATTGGAATATTGTTTCTTATTTGTATTTGGTTTTCAGGAGGATTAGGTAATGTTTTACCAGATGCTAGTAATTCTTCAATGTCTTCAAAGAATTTTTGTAGTTGTTTAAACAAAGGCTGTGACGAACTAAAATTGAAATGGAATGATATGGCCGGTTGGCCAACTGCCCTTGTACAGCATTGTTGGTTTAATGTTTCCCTCTTCAGGTCTCTTTCCAAAGCATCTGAAAATAGTTTCTCGTGTGGAACGCTAAACCAAAAGAAAACTTTTTGTTTCTTTTGAGTCTTTAAACACATATTTTTAAACAAAAAGGATAAAAATTCAGATTTAGGTTGTTCCAATATAGCATCAACTCCACATTTTAAATTTCTTAGGTCAGAAAATATACCTTCTTCGAATTTTTTCTTATGAAGTATGGCTCTACCAAAATTCTGCATCATATATTGACAGACTTTGACAATATCAGTCCCCGTTATGTAGAATAGTTTGTTCCAACATATGCATGATACAAATCCTAGTTCATTATTTAGGAAATATCTCCTTATCATTTGGTTTTCTTGCCAATTCACAGGTGCAGTTGCTAAAAAAAATTTAAGATCATTAATGGCTGTAAGCGCCGTTCCGGCATCATTGTGTGGAGGTAAATTCGTTACCGTTGCGCTTAACGTTGTAATCCCATTTTCAATATCTTCCTGAGCATTGGTATGTGTGTTATCTGATGGCGGTATCTCTATAGGTATCATATTTTTTTGTTGTGTTGTTTATATGTAGAAATTTATTAGATTATTGAATTAATAAAATTCGATGAGTATGCGTGATGTCGTTGGTAAAATATAAAATATAAATATAATAAATGATGGAAAAACGAAAGAATTAATGATTGAAAATTATGACTAAAATAATGCACCCAAAGACAAAACTTTTTTCTAGGTTATCTGTCTTTTGAGACTCTATATTGATTAAAAATATTTATCTCAACTTTTTTCCTGGGTATATATAATATTTTATGCTAATAATTTGATATGTATTATGGTAGTTATATCCTGAATAAAGATGTTTACGTTACAACGCAAACGCTAGTTAGTTTATGTTTATTGTTTACAGTTTTGTTCAGTTTTGTTGTCTAAAATCTTTGTTTTTGTTTATAATTTTTTTGTTTAGCTTTTTTTTTCAACTGAACTCTTCTGTTTAAAAAAAATATAGAGATCTGGTTCTAGCGGTACGTATAATAAAGGCAGTTCCGCATTTTTTTTTCAAAGAGTAAATCTAATACACAGGGAACTCAATAACATAACCAAATTGATTAAATTGCTGGCTGGAAATTCATACTCCAGTTATTGATATTAATAAGAAATTGAGGAGAACATCGATAAAAAGGATCAGAATTATGTTAATACTTAGAAAATTACCAAGAAATTAAGATAGATATAAATCCATAAAGAGATAATTAATGACCCAATTTTGCATTCAAACAATTAAGCCTAAGAGGGAATTGGCACAGGCCCAAGAAGTAAAAGGAGTATTGATAAGCTAAAGTTCAAACCTAAGATCTTACTCAATTTTGAATAGAGAAAAGCTTGGTTTCAAAGAAATTTCTTGTTAACTCTAACGTGCGCAAGATTCGTACCGATATTGTAAAATTTGTTTGTTTCTTCTATTGTTTCTTTTATTGTTTTCTTCCCTACGAAAGATATTAATGGTTGGGTAATAAACACTTAAAACTTACATTTCTACAAATAGTTCTTCATAAGAGGCTTAAAATTAAAGACAACGGACTTAGTTAGAGGTTTTTGTACGAAGTATTCATATAGTTGGAGCAACTCTTCTGGGAAACTACAGGGACTAACAGTAACCAGCTTTTCCAAAGGGAGACAAAATATCGTACCAATGCATGTGCTGTTTATTAAGAGGAAAAAAAATGAGATCCACTATAATTTTTTTTCTCCCTAAAAATAATGGTAGAGAGGTACAGACAACGAGGTACACAGATCGGACAGGGCAATTAATATGGCGCAGGAGAAAGTTTGATAATATGTATGAAGAAAACGAGATCTCAGTGGATCTGAGAAAGGGATTCTCCGCCAATTGACTGTTTATTTTTCGATTACTTGTTTATATTTTAATAGTTTGTACTTAGTTGAACTGTAAAATATTATAGATTGGTACCCAAGATTGTTTAGGTGTATTAATAAGCTGTGTCATTAGAAATATGCTGGTAATTGCTAAATTTGCACAGTCAAAAATACTTGCTTCTGAGCTATTGCTGGGTTTTTATTGTTATTGGTGTTGTTGTTATTTTTATTTACATATAAGTTTTAGTGCATTATTATGTGTTTATAGAAAGAAAGCACATGTGAATGTGACCTAAAAATATGTCAATAAGTGTGTCTCTAGGAGTCAATGTGAATCTTAAGGGTCTGTTATGTTTATCATTAATGTTACATTCTTATTGAGAACAGGTGCGTGGTGAGCCGTTATTTCATGATGGAGAAGGGAGGGGTATTATGTTAAAATATGTATATATCTATTTAAACGGGGTATGCAAAAACCTCACTTACTGCAAAAATAGAATTGCGCAGCAATATAAGTAATAGCTATGTTGTAAGTGGTTACTTTATAGTCCTTCTTCTATCAAACAGTTTCTTACTCTACTGTATCTATCATAACATATATATTATTTTTCAGGTTTTCAGTAGTAATCTCTAACATTCAAGAATTGAGTCTTGATTTCTTTTATTTCCAATAAGCTTTCTATACAGTTAAAGTCATTACCAGTAAGACATAATTAATCAAACATTGCATTTAATTTGAAATATTTTCTTCCCAACGCTCTTTCGACTATTGAAGAAGAAGAAGAAGAAGAAGAAGAAGAAACAAGAATGATTTTATCAGTTGCTAACTTTTTTCTGTAATCAATCATCGAATATTCAAATATTTGTTTCAGTTAGACACATATTTTATAGAACTTGAATAATAATATTTACAGTTGTGAATATCAAATATATAGAGAAGTAAATGCAGCTTCAAGAACATTAATACGATGTATAGTTCTCTCAGAGGGTAGTTGATCGGTACCAAAAAAGTCCTTAATATAATGGTCCCAAAAGATATATCTATGTAAATAGTAGATATTGTAGATATATTAATCAAAGAGTTGTATTGGCTAATCCTTCCATTAGTGTGTTAACCACAGAATATTTTGTATTATATGTCATTTAATATTAATTATTTCAATTACATGATTAATAAGGCTGCAATTTTGGGTTCAATTTTTTTAATGTAGTAATGGCCATTATTTTCAATTTTGGACATTTTTCCTTAATGAATTGTTTTATATCTTGCGATACTTTAATTGAATAAAGCAAAGTTAAGATATAACTTGTTAACTTCATGTCTAAATAATCCAATGTATTTTCATCATATCCATTGGACTCCACGAATTTAGTAAACTGTAACAATGTTTGTTTGGCTCTTTTAAGATCATTCGGTGTTAATGGTCTGTTCTCAAAAAATGGATATAAATCAGTATCTAATAATTGAGCCAACTGTGCTTGTATACCAACAAATCTCAATCTTAAGTTAGAAAGAAGTTTATCTTTGTATATCATTTGATTATTTACTATCAATGATGGCAAGTTTGGTCTATCTACTACCATCATCTTTTGGCTCTGGGTATTTTTTTGTTCGTGATTCTGATGTGATAATGGTAATGTGATTTCATTCTTATGGCATAAACTTAATTGTAAAAATAATTCGATAGGATCCATACAAATATATACTGGAGATTGTTTCCATGTGATAGGTTTTTCTTTAATTAAAAGTGTAAATGAATTCTGCGAAGTGACGTCATTCTTAGCATTTTCAAATACATATGTTTTTCTGTCCAGTTCATTTTCCAAAGCTACATCTTTAATATTTTCTGGATCATACGTTGTTAATGGGAAAGTTGTGAATATATTTTTTATTGGACCTGGAATAGGTATAGCTGCCAAAGACATGATTAGAGAAGACCAAGTTTGGTTTGTCTGATCTGCAACTTGCAAACGTGAAAAAAATCGGTCCAAATCTATTTATTATTTTGGTTATCGTTCAATTTAAAAATATGTTTTTTAACTCTGTTTTAATGAGAATGTGTCTTTTGGTTCCCCTCAAAGAAAGATTGTATCAAAATATAAATATGAAAAGTTCATTCGGTTATATTTTTAGTTAAATTTTTCGCACACACGACGCGGCGTATCCTCCCGCCCACTCAAAATGATCGATCCCTCTCTTCATACCCTTTTTTGAAAAATTCAATGAATTTATAAGAGTGTATTAATCTCATTTTGCACCTGATAATATCCCTAAATGGATAACTCATCGAACATTTCCAACGAAATCGGATCGGAACAACCTCTTGAAAACAGAAACACAAAACGAATTTTTAATTATTAGTATAAAATATAGTTTACGATTGTATGATGCATTGTTGGTATGTGTTGAATAATACGTATAGGCAACAGTAAACGTAACAGAAACGTAAAACACACCCAAATATAGTAACATCACAGTCTCAAATTCTTTTTCTTTTATCGCAAATTTTGTTACTAGATAATTGGTATATTTTCTTAACGAATTTACAACCACCTTAATATTATTATCGTTGTAATCATTCATCCACATAAGGGAAACAAACCCCTCTCTGGTAATACATAACAAAGTGCACCCAACTATTCTACCTTTTTAGCCAACAATATCTGCCATATACTTTGCTATCTTTCACCTGTATATTCTATTTCATCACCTTCGTTTGTCATTGTCACAATCCGGTTGTTATGGTGACCTTTTCTTATTCTTGTCATCTCTCTCTCTCTCTCTCTCTCTCTCTCTCTACACATCCATTATGAAAACAACTCCTTACGGGAAATCAGCTGTCTATAGTATGAGGTGTAAGGGTGGCTATTTCTTCATTATCTCCACGATTAGCCCTGTAGCCACTCTACAATATCCGTACAGTTTGCATTCTTTTAAACCGGACAAAATGCACCTTGTTCTTACTTTTTCGGGTTGCCCCCTTTCTGCGCGAAGTGAAAAGTTTTAGATTTGCTATGTGAAAGTCATCGCTAAACGGTTATTATTGTAACCTTTTTTTCTTGATTCTCGAGCAATAACAGTAAACATTGAAAATTATGTAACCATTCATATCATATCATATATCTTTCAGTAGACATTTGATGTTAATCTCTTTCCTGGTTCTCTGCCCCTTTTTGGCTTCGGCAGTTAGTACTGTTCCTTCCTGTTAACAGGAGAGTTAATGGTATATTTTTAGGTGAACAAGAATTCGTAAATTATGTCTCCTGCATGAGGGAAAAACTTTGGAAAAGAAGTGGTCTTATTTGGTTGGATGATTCAATTTTTTGGTACGACCTGAAGTGCCAATGATTTGATAAATATGTTGCCAATTATATATAGGTGGATAGTTCTTAAAGATTCAAGTAACTTACTACCTTTGTCATTTTATTCATCTCTCGAGTTAATAAAAATATATATATACATAGTTCTTTAATTACCTTAAACCGTGTTTGTTTCTATTGATCTTTAATGAGTATTTAATTTATTGGAAGGAAAAAAGTAAAAAACAAAGAAACATATAAAAAATTAAGTTGTTGTGCCATTTGTCATTCTTACTGTATTCTATTTTTTCCAGTTTGTATTGCATAAATGGGTTCAATAAAGAAATTTTTTGGTAATCCCGGTGATCGACCTGGGGTTCGTTTTCAAGCATCCATCCCAGATCAGTTAGTTCCTACTAATGTAGAAATTCTTGATGATGAAAAAAATAATAAGAAAACTAACGTTGATTTGGTTCATGATATTCCTTTAACGAAGAATGATGATATTACTGAAAGTACAACATGTTCTTTATCAGATGGCTCCACTACAGTGGAATTAAGTAATTTCAAGATTCAATCAAATAAGACTTTCGATGTTAATAAAAGTTTCACAGGGTTACATAAAGGTTATATGGATTTGGTCCTTGATAAACTAGTCTTTTTTGCAGGTTCTATCGTTGCATTCTTTTGCGTTTGGGTTATTTTAATCATTTGGGTCATTATTGGGGCCATATATAACGCTCCATTCAATTGGCAAGTCGTTATGCAAGATGGACAATCTATTCAATGCTATATATGGGATACTCTGTTGATGAGACAGCAACTTTGCAGTAGTCATGAACAATTGTTAGTTTGTTGTAATTTAAGATCAAAATTGGACACTTTTAAAAGAATGGTGAAAGAAATTCATGAAAAAAATTTAGTACGTCATGATTATAATGAATGTGAATCAATAATTATGGATACAGATATTACATCTTTAGACCCAACAAACCCAACGGTGGAAAAATTGGATTCAAGTTGTCCCTGTCAGGATGAAGATGTCATTGATCCAGCAACATTGGGACAATTACCTGTTGAAAATTGGTATGATCGAGTTTCAAACTATTCTTCTATTATTGTTGGCTCTTTAATCACAATGGGGATCTTTTGGATTGCTATTGCTGTATGGATTGGTTGTGGTGCAATCCCTCAGGCAGGTGATACTACACCGCCATTCACTGGTCAGTATTCAGGTTCAAACCCCAAATATAAAAAATTTAGTGACGCCTGGCAAATGGATATCAACACTGCAGTGGCTGTTTCTTTATTGATTTGTACAACTTTTTTACAAAATATTAGGGCAAGACATGATCAATTTATTGCAGGTGTCCTAGTTGAAATTTTTGAAAAAGATGAACGTATTGATATTATGTTAAGAACAAAATTAAACGATTATTCCCCTCATAAAATTATTGTCATTCCCGAAGCTAAGAGAACTTGGTTACAAAAGGTCATTGATTGGTATGCAGATGTTATCGGAACAGGTATCGGTGTTATCGTCGCCATCATTGTCTTCGGTGTTTGGATCGGAATCGGGACCCCTATGAATTGGGGTGATGATTGGTGGTTAATCATAGGTACTTATACTGGTTTAGTAGGCTTCATCGATGGTTATGTCCTAAGAGAAGTTTATTATAGATCAGTCACTATTGAAGAAACTAATTATACTGAGGTCATTGCAGAAGATTTAGAATTAATGCAAATATTAGGTATTTCAAATCCTCGAGATATGATCAACTCATTAGAAGAAGAAAACGCTAGAGTTACAAAGACTTTAAACTATAGAATATCAGCATTTGTCAATAAGATATGTTCTGATCAATATAGTGTCGTATGTGGTTTCTTAATCGTTATTGCATTGATCTGCATTTCATCTGGTATGAAATGGAGTACCACTGGTCAACTAATTGCTAATACACCTACTATGATCATTGAAGAATTCTTCTTGATCGTCCTAATTCAAGCTCATAACTGGGCAGATGTCCAACGTAGATTGGAGATATCTACTATATTAGCACACAGACACATTATCGAGTATCATATTTCTAAAGTGTTGGCATAACAAAAAAAAAAGTATTAAAATACTTATTCAATCATAGACTTATAGAGCATTACATTATACACTTAATTCAGGAAACACAAGTACTGTGTATGGTGTCTTCCTGATAATTATCATAGTTCATTTTAATTCATCATATAACTTAAATTAGAGAAATTCGAATAGAATTTAGTGACATTAACCAAAACCCCTGTAAAGGTTTAAAACAGCTTTATTTTAATCACTATGTACGAGGCGCTTCTTCGCCTTATAATATTTCAAAATACATCTCTTTTTTTTTTTTGCCACCCGTGAGAAGCATAGTCTAAACTTTCTTGGTTAGTGGGAAGTCCAGATAATATTAGCAAAATAGTGGAAAATTAAACCCTTATTAGTTCAAAGCATATAAATAATATTAAGTTCAAAACAGTTAAAGAAAGAGTTTTCAATAAACTTAACAACTGAAAGAATATACTCAACCATTACAACTAAAAGGAGCAAAAAATGGCAGGTCTATCGTTTGACAATTACCAAAGAAACCACTATCTGGCCTCGAAGACCAGTGGGCAACCTAAGGCTACCTCTACTGGTACCACCATTGTTGGTGTCAAATTTGATGGAGGTGTATTAATTGCAGCTGATACAAGATCTACACAAGGTCCTATTGTTGCAGACAAGAACTGTGCTAAATTACATCGTATTTCACCACGTATATGGTGTGCAGGTGCCGGTACAGCAGCAGATACAGAGGCTGTCACTGGTTTAATTGGATCCAATATTGAATTACATTCCTTATCTACAAAGAGAGAACCTCGTATAGTAACAGCTTTACAGATGTTAAAACAACATTTATTCAAATATCAAGGTCACATTGGTGCATACTTGATTGTTGCAGGTGTTGATCCAACAGGTGCTCATTTGATGTCTGTACAGGCTCATGGTTCTACAGACGTTGGGTTTTATCTATCGTTGGGTTCTGGTTCTCTTGCAGCCATGGCTGTACTTGAATCTAGGTGGAGAGAAGGTTTGACCAAAGATGAAGCCGTAAGTTTGGCTGCGGACGCAATTGAAGCAGGTATTTGGAATGATTTAGGGTCTGGTTCCAATGTAGATGTTTGTGTGATGGAAGTTGGTAAGGATGCTGCGTATTTAAGAAATTATAGAACTCCAAATGTAAGAGAACCAAAACAACAAAGTTATAAGTTTGCTAGAGGTACTACGGCAGTTCTGAAAGAAAGTATTATAAATGTGTGTGACATAGAGGAGCAAGAAGTCAATGTTTCAGCATAGGGATGGTAGTGATAGTGTTTTAAGCATTATTTTCTTCAAACTAATCTCATCTTTCTACCCAGGCATGATTTATTACAACTCATGGTATGCACGTTTATGTATCAAATATTAGGAAATACATATACATTTATATATATACTAAATGAATAACCACTTATATAAGAATCAGTGTAAGTATAATTAATAGTTGAGATATCGATAGAATAAAACAATGGTTCAATTATCATTCTTTGATTCCATTATAATAATGACGATGTCTGACGTGCCTGATATGCTATTTATTTAGTTTAACTCCATAATTGGGGGAGACGCGGCGGAGAGACAAGAAAATTATGTAGGCGTACTCATAAGATGTTTAAATATTGGTGATGCATAACGTGTAATATTAAAGATTCTGAGAAAATTTATAAAAATCAACTTGCTTGACAAATCAGTTCCTTTCTACAGAAGAGATCCACACCAACTAATAGAGGGGAGTATTGGCGTGTCAGTAATTTGGAGCTACAAGTATTCCTATTAATCGGTAGATATTACTTCTTTTTTTTTAAAGAGGTCTTACTTTTTTACTTTCAAGTTTAATTTGGAAAAGTAAAGTGTGAATATATTATCTGTGACTTTTGAAGTTAGTGAATAAATACTGCGTATAACACTTCATTAAGAATATCTGAGACTAAATCTATAGATATTTATGTCAACTCTCTAGATTATACCACTGAAGTACAAGAGATTACTCATTTGAAACATATAAAGCAAAAAAACGTTAAGATGGTGGGCACAGTAAATGGTCCACACTCAACAGCAACAGCTACACCGGTAGGCCCTCCAACTCAATCTGGTAATACTCCTGTAATGACTGCGACTGGGGGTCTAGCAAATGAAATAAAACAAGCCTTAATTAATATGGATCAACTACGTGTGATAGAATTGAAAAGTTTATGTAAATCGTTAAAATTATCCACAGGAGGTTTAAAAGCAGACTTACAAGAACGAATAGGTGCATTTATTAAGAGATCTATGTGTGCAGGAGGGATTGATCCATGGAGGCCAAAGGCTATTAATAGTTTAATAGCAAAGTTAAAACAAAATGAAACCACACTACCATTATATTTTGACGTATGGGAAGCCATAAAGACTGGACGACCTCTTCCATCTGCTAGACAATCATTAAACACAACGGAAGGAACAGGACAGTTCCGAACATATGTTGGACCACCTCCAAATGGAACACCTCAATATACTCAACAAGCCGTGACATCAGGAGGAACGCAATCTATAAATAAAAATAAAAATGATAAGTTTACATCAGAGAGTTATGTGTCGTCAATATTTTATAGAATAATACGGAAAGTTTCAAATTCTGAAATGTATTTATCGCAGACAGAGCAAAGAGGTAGGAAACAAAGTATGTTCAAATTTTATAAATCAGAGTGTCTTAATCCACAAACAGGTTCTAAATACAAACTTTTTTTATTTTGTCATGAAGTAACTGCATATAAGAGAAAAGGACCTGAAGAAATCAAATTTCCATTTTTAAATGAAATTTCTATGAATGGAAAAAAAATAACCGATAATGTTAGAGGGATCAAAAATAAACCTGGTACTGCAAAACCTGCAGATTTAACAAATTTTATATCAGATAATGGGTCCAATGTCGTTGAAATTCTATATGCTCAAACAAGTAAAGATTTTAAAGCCACTTGTTATCTCGTTTCTGAATTTTCACCGGAGATGTTAGTACAACAACAGGTCCTTCAACGACCAAAGATCTCACGATCAGTAACATTATCATTTATTAAGAAAACTTTAAGTGAGGAAAGTGATGATGATTTTGTAACGACTTCGATGATTTTAAGTTTGCAATGTCCTATATCATATACAAAGATGAAATATCCTGCCAAATCGGCCAAATGTGATCATATTCAATGTTTTGATGCATTGTGGTATTTGCATTCTCAAAGACAAGTACCGACATGGCTATGTCCAATTTGTTCTAAAGTTATTCATTTTGAACAATTGGAGATATCAGAATATGTAGAAGATATTATACGACAATCTAGTGATGATGTAGAACAAGTACAAATTAATACAAATGGAGATTGGATTCCCATACATGAGGATGAACCTAATGATGAAAAGGAAAAACCTAACACTAAAGATGAAGTTAAAAAAGAAGGTACTGCAAGTTTAGGTTCTGTAGCTACAGAAGACAAGCATTCGCATTCTCATGGTGGGAATGCAGATACTGTTGTCATATCATTGGATTCTGAAGAAGAAGAAGAAGAAGAAGAAGAAGAACCTGAAAGAGAAGTTGCTACATCTGCTACTAATGTAGCAACAAATAATATAGCGGTTGCACCAACTGGGGATATAAACCTGCCAAGAAACACAGATGGTGATAATAATAATCATGATTCGGAAGTTGATTCAGATGAACCATTATCCCAGATTAGACGACGTCATCCTGGTTCTGATAATATTGATAATACTAATAATAAAAATGGGCATATTGAGATTGTCTCAGGAAATGTACCAAACGATAGTAGATCTTCAAATGCTGGCATTGTCCGAGCCATGAATAATAACAATGATGTATCTGTATCTAATATAATGGAGCCATCTATGTTTTCGTCTACCCTCATTGCCGCTCAAACTGAATCTTTACAGATTCCTACACCTCCAGCAGATTCATTACCAAATGGAGCCACAGCAACAAAGAGTGTTGTTCCTACAACAACTGCTACAGGTACTGTAACAACGACAACAACTAATGATGATGATGATGATGATGATGATACTAATCTACCCAAAAATGACGATGGGCAAATTGTAACTAATACGAATAATACAACTAATAATAATCCTTTACTGTCATCGGTTACATCTACTACTACTGCGTCTCCTTCTAATTTATTAGGTCTTACGGGTACATTTTCCACCGATAAGCCTGGACTTTTTTCTAATAATAGTAGTAATGATAGTAATAATAATAAGACGATTTCAAACTCGACGAGACCTAGTGGGGCTAATAATAAATCATTGACTACAACGAATAGTGCTAATAATAGTAGTAGTACTAGTAGGCGTGCGGCTAATAATATTATATCTCCATTTATACCTCGTAAATTTTATCCACCTAGTATTCCCAGAAAGCGTTCTATTGAGAGACCAAATGAAAATAAGGAGAGTGGTAGTACACATTCTGATGCTCAACTTAGAAATGAGCTTGGTATAGAAATGAGTAGTGGAGAATCTGTGGGCCAATTTGATGATAATACTGAAGTAATTGATCTTACATCTGATGATTAATAATGATTGTTGGATTGCATATATAGAATATAGAATATAGAATACGTAAATATAAATACAAGTATATTTGGGTTTTAAGATTATTTAGGAAGAATTCCCTGTATGTATAAATATATTCTTTTAATATTTATGTATAGTTACGATTCCAGTACTTTTGAAATAAACAAAAAAACAATAGTGATAAAAAAAAATTCTAAAAAACATATATATATATATATATATATATATATATTAGAGAGCCATCTATTTAAATAAATTTACAGTAAATTAAGAATAAAATATAAGACATTAAAACGGTATACTATCACAACGGAGCATTACAGCGGCTAATGTTCGTAGAAAGTGACTCAAATATACTTATAAAACTAAGAGAAAAGTACTACCAATATCCGAAACCCCCACAAAATAACTAAATTGCCAAAAACCTCCCTCTCTCAGGAGAGGAGAAAAGAAGGAAGGGCTAATCAACAAATACTACAAACATTTTGCACATCACATTACGTCACTTAGAACGACAACGACCCCTCTCTCTCTATATAGAATATTGCACCATACTTTAAGTACGGGAAATCTCCCCACTGTGACAAGCAAACAAACAAACAAGCAAACAAACAAACAACAATTGTGCTTACACTCAGTATATCAAGATTGAGAGAGGGGAGAAGACCCTAAAATAGTTTAAAAGACGTGCATTAGACACCCAAGCCAAATTCGGTGATTTTCTTTATATAATAAGGGTTACCACTTAGATTGTAAGTAACTTACGCAACAACCAGATATAAGAATACTAATCATGTCAACTTCTTATGGTCAAAGTTTTAATTCACAATTAATTTCCGCATTATTAATCCGAAATGTGTCCAATCTTCCGAAATCCGAACTCTAAAAAATTGTGACAAGGGGAAAAAGCGAATATGTTGCAATAACCGTTTCCAAGGGATTCGCAGAGACATTTCTTATTGATATAATTTGCGCCTCCTTCTCATTCATATATAGTAAAGGATAATAAAATGGAAATGCGGCTGATCTGAGTGTTTTCTTTCCATTTCCGTATTCCGTAATCCGTGTTATGTATAATATGTTTTTTCCCTTAATATAAACATCTCGAATCACGGTTTACGACTACCAAACAGAGAGAGAGACATTAATTCGGCGACAACGGGTATTTTTACTTACTACCAATATCTGTGTACGTGAAACATGCGATGTTCCGCGGGATGTGCCAAACACACACACACAAAAAACCACAATCATTATACAGATCTTTTTTCTTACTTGCTTCTTTTATTGCCACAGTTCACGTGAAAATTAATAATGACGATGTCTAAGCCTTGATGACTCTAATTCATTGTTTAATAGATAGATATACATATCGATACTTGCAGTGACTTATCCTGTCCTACGATAATAGCTGATGAATTTCTTGTAAGCTTAACGCACTAGCCGTACGCTAACAATTCAAACAAACAATAAGATAATAAAGAAATCTTATCTTGCCAACCCGCGGAATGGCGCACACAATCATAAAAAGATGAAAAAAAATAGGGCCCATCCCGCGGCTCCACAATATTTTTCTTTCCAATAAAAGAATATTTGGTTTCTATTGGAGAGACAGTGTCACGGTAGTATGAGGCCAACCCGCGGGTTACTCTGTGGAACAACCCTACCAAATTGAAATAGAATAAAGCAAAATTTTTTTCTTAGCATTTTTTCCCCACTAGGACCTTCCCGCGGGTCTCTCTCCAATACAGAAAAGCCTCCTCTTCATCTCTCCTCTCTCCCCCCGCCCAGACAAACCACACAAATAGGAAAGAGGATAAAAACATGCATCTCTGTGAACCAACCGGAGCAACCCTCTCTCTCTCTCTCGCTCGCCCTATTTTCCCGTTCCTTGCTTACATGGTTTCTCTATATCCCCTCTCCCCGCGGAGTGCCCAGCCAAAGATACATAACCACCCAAACTTATCATACAGAAACACCCGTACCAACACCCACCAACACACAAGCAAAAGACAAATTGTACTCCCATTTCACTACTCAACTAACAAAACTCCACCCATTCGATCGTTTTTTGATTAACAGGCGGAGCTGCATTTCTTATCTCCAGTATGTAAGCTAAGCTAAAACTGCCACCCAAATTATTAGTTTCCGTATGTTTTTCTCGCTCACTCTGTTTAATATTTCGATTCGATTCGATTCGATTATTTAGCCCCTTCTCTAACTGCAGAAAGGACCATATATCGATTTCCATTCCATTGCAGATGAATTTATCTCTCTCCTCTCCCTTCTGCTGTGACTGATTAATTTCTTATTCCTATTACCTGGAAAATCTTGCTGCGCTACTCTCTGCTTTTATTTACACCCTTAGAAGCGAAAACATTATTAATAACAAACAAACAAACAAATAATACAAACAAAACAAATAAGCAACCCGATTGCATCATCGATAATTTTAAAGGATAATTTTTTCAACCTTTTTTGAAAAAAGAAAATCTATAAAATATATAAAAGATATCAATGATATAACTTTTAAAACTTCTTGATGTACTATCATACAATTCCTAATTGCTTCTATATATTTTTTTATCTTTAGTTTTTTTCTCCTTTTTAAATAATAAAAGATCCCTAATTACTCCTTAATTTAATAACGAAGACATAAATTTTTCAATTTAAAAAAAAAATTATGTCGTCGTCAGTAAATTCAGATGATGAGTCAGGTAGGCTTCATACCTATACAGGTATCGATGCGCAAGCTGAAAAGACAATTAGAAATTTGGCAAGAACACTTACCGCTCAATCATTGAATAGTACAAACTCTAACAACAACAACAACAACAACTCTAAAGGTAATGACGATCCTGAAAATCCTTCTTCTTTAAATGATCATCAATCTATTTTCTCGAATTTAGAAGGTATCAATCCTGTCTTCACTAATCCGGAAGAATCTGGTTATGATGAAAAATTAGATCCAACAAGTGATTATTTCTCAAGTACTGCTTGGGTTAAAAATATGGCACGTTTAGCTAAAGCTGATCCAGATTATTATAAACCTTATTCAATGGGCTGTGTTTGGAAAGATTTAACTGCTTCAGGTACTTCTTCAGATATCGAATATCAATCTACCGCTTTAAATGCTCCAATTAAAGCTCTAAGTTACTTATATAGAGAAGTTAAACCTGTTAACGAAGAAAACTCCTTCCAAATCCTGAAAGAAATGGAAGGTTGTATTAATCCAGGTGAATTAGTAGTCGTCCTAGGTAGACCAGGGTCTGGTTGTACTACTCTTTTAAAAACTATTTCTACTAATACTCATGGTTTCCATGTCGGTAAAAATTCCACTATTTCCTATTCTGGTTTCACTCCAAAGGAAATTATAAAACATTATCGTGGTGAAGTTGTCTATAATGCAGAAACTGATATTCATTTACCTCATTTAACAGTTTATCAAACTCTTTATACCGTCTCAAGATTAAAAACACCTCAGAATAGAATTAAAGGTGTCGATAGAGATAGTTTTGCTAAACACATTACAGAAGTCGCAATGGCTACTTATGGTCTTTCTCATACTAGAGACACTAAAGTCGGTAACGATTTAGTTAGAGGTGTCTCTGGTGGTGAACGTAAGCGTGTCTCTATTGCTGAAGTCTCAATTTGTGGTTCAAAATTCCAATGTTGGGATAATGCTACTAGAGGTTTGGATTCTGCTACTGCTTTGGAATTTATTCGTGCTTTAAAGACTGACGCTACAACTGCTAACTCATGTTCCACTGTCGCTATCTACCAATGTTCTCAAGACGCTTACGATTTATTCGATAAAGTTTGTGTTCTTGATCAAGGTTATCAAATTTACTTCGGTCCTGGTACTAAAGCTAAAGCTTATTTCGAAAAGATGGGTTATGTTTCTCCAGATAGACAAACTACTGCTGATTTCTTAACTGCAGTTACCTCTCCAGCTGAAAGAATCTTAAACGAAGAATATTTAAAGAAAGGTATTTCCATTCCACAAACTCCAGAAGATATGAACAAATATTGGAAACAATCTCAAGATTATAAAGATTTAATGGGTGAAATCGATGAAAAATTAAATAATAACGTTGATGATAGTCGTGAATTAGTTAAAGAAGCTCATATTGCTAAACAATCAAATAGATCAAGACCTTCTTCTCCTTATACCGTAAATTATTTCCTTCAAGTTAAATATCTATTAACAAGAAATATATGGAGAATTAAAAATAATCCCAGTGTTAATTTATTCATGGTTTTTGGTAATTCTTCAATGGCTTTAATCTTAGGTTCTATGTTTTACAAAGTTATGTTACATGAATCCACAGCAACTTTCTATTTCAGAGGTTCTGCTATGTTTTTTGCCATTTTATTCAACGCTTTCTCATGTCTATTAGAAATTTTCACTTTATATGAAGCAAGACCTATCACTGAAAAACATAAGACTTATTCTCTTTACCATCCAAGTGCTGATGCTTTTGCCTCTATTATTTCTGAATTGCCTACTAAGGCTGCTATTGCCGTTTGTTTCAACATCATTTTCTACTTCTTGGTTAATTTCAAAAGAAATGGTGGTAATTTCTTCTTTTATCTATTAATCAATATCGTCGCTGTCTTTTCCATGTCCCATATGTTCAGAACTGTCGGTGCTGCTACTAGAACTTTATCCGAAGCCATGTTTCCAGCTTCTATGTTATTATTGGCCATGTCTATGTATACCGGTTTTGCTATTCCAAAGACAAAGATGCTTGGTTGGTCTGAGTGGATCTGGTATCTAAATCCTTTGGCTTATCTGTTTGAATCTTTAATGATTAATGAATTCCATGATCGTGATTTTACTTGTGCTCAATACGTTCCTCAAGGTCCTGCTTATGTCAACGCTACTGGTACCGAAAGGGTATGTATTTCCTTAGGTGCCGTTCCAGGTGAGGATTTTGTTAATGGTGACGATTATATCAAGGCAAATTATGGTTATGAACATAAACATAAATGGCGTGGTTTTGGTGTTGGTATGGCTTTTGCTATTTTCTTTTTAGGTGCTTATTTGGCTGTCTGTGAATTTAATGAAGGTGCTAAACAAAAGGGTGAAATCTTAGTTTTCCCACAAAGTGTTATCAGAAAGATGAAAAAGACTGGTCAATTACCTCAAAGAGCTCGTCCTGATCATAGAGAGGAAGATCTTGAAAAGGGTACTACCGATGAATCAAGTGTTAATGATAAGAAACTTTTGGAAGATTCAGAAATCTCTTCAGAAGAAAATAAAGAAGAAAGTGTTGGTCTATCTAAATCTACTGCAATTTTCCACTGGAGAAACTTATGTTACGATGTTCAAATCAAGGATGAAACAAGAAGAATTTTAAGTGATGTCGACGGTTGGGTTAGACCTGGTACTTTAACTGCTTTAATGGGTGCATCTGGTGCTGGTAAGACTACTTTATTGAATTGTTTGGCTGAGAGAGTCACTATGGGTACTATTACTGGTGATGTTTTCGTCGATGGTAGACCTCGTGATGAGTCCTTCCCAAGATCTATTGGTTATTGTCAACAACAAGATTTACATTTAAGAACATCTACTGTTAGAGAATCTCTAAGATTTTCTGCTTATTTACGTCAACCAGCCGATGTTTCTGTTGAAGAGAAAAATTCTTATGTCGAAGAAATTATTAATATCTTAGAAATGGATAACTACGCTGATGCCATTGTTGGTATTCCTGGTGAAGGTTTAAATGTCGAACAAAGAAAGAGATTGACAATTGGTGTCGAATTGGCTGCCAAACCAAAACTTTTAGTTTTCTTAGATGAACCTACTTCTGGTCTAGATTCTCAAACCGCATGGGCCATTTGTCAATTGATGAGAAAGCTTGCCTCTCATGGTCAAGCTATTCTTTGTACTATTCATCAACCTTCTGCTATTTTAATGCAAGAATTTGATCGTTTATTATTCCTACAAAGAGGTGGTAAGACTGTTTACTTTGGTGAATTAGGTCATGGTTGTCAAAAGATGATTGATTATTTCGAATCTAATGGTTCCCACAAATGTCCTCCAGATGCTAATCCTGCTGAATGGATGTTAGAAGTTGTCGGTGCTGCTCCTGGTTCTCACGCAAATCAAGATTATTACGAGGTTTGGAGAAATTCTGATCACTTTAAGGCTGTTCACAATGAATTGGACCGTATGGAAAAAGAACTTCCTGGGCAAGCTAAGGAAGAAGATGATCCAAGTGCTCACAAAGAATTTGCTACTGCAATTCCATATCAAATCAACTTAGTTTCTGAACGTCTATTCCAACAATACTGGAGATCTCCTCAATATCTATGGTCTAAATTTATTTTAACTATTTTCAATATGTTGTTCATTGGTTTCACTTTCTTCAAGGCTAATACATCTCTTCAAGGTTTACAAAATGAAATGTTAGCCATTTTCATGTTTACTGTTATTTTCAATCCATTGTTGCAACAATACTTACCAAATTTCGTGGAACAAAGAGATTTGTACGAAGCTAGAGAAAGACCTTCGAGAACATTCTCATGGAAAGCTTTCATTGTTTCTCAAATTTTGGTTGAAGTCTTCTGGAACTTCTTAGCTGGTTCATTGGCGTACTTCATTTACTATTATGCTATTGGTTTCTATCACAACGCTTCTGTTGCTGGTCAATTACATGAAAGAGGTGCCTTATTCTGGCTATTCTCTACTGCTTTCTTTGTCTACTGTGGCTCCATGGGTACTATGGCTATCTCTTTTATTGAAATTGCTGAAAATGCTGCTAACATGGCTTCTTTGATGTTCACTATATGTCTATCTTTCTGTGGTGTTATGGTCACTAAGGATGCTATGCCAAGATTTTGGATTTTCATGTTCAGAGTTTCTCCTCTAACTTATATGATTGAAGCTTTATTAGCTATAGGTGTCGGTAATGTTGATATTGTCTGTACCAAGAACGAATTTGTCGAATTTACTCCAGCCCCTGGTATGACTTGTGGCGAATACTTGGCCCCATATCTAGAATATGCTGGTACTGGTTATCTAAGAGACAATAACGCTACCGACGTATGTGGTCTTTGTGAATACTCTCATACCAACGATTATTTGGCCACTGTTAACGCTGAATACGACCAAAGATGGAGAAATTATGGTATTTTCATTTGTTACATTTTCATTGACTTTGCTGCTGCTATCTTATTCTATTATTTGGCTAGAGTTCCTAAGAAGCAAAAAAAATTAAAGACTGAATAAATTAACCATTAATTTTCTGTTTTTCTAACTTTGCATTTCCTAGTCATATTTTTTAATTTATAATTAATTGAATTTTATTTGTTCATTCATATTCGGTATATAATATCAGTTTTACATATAAAAATTTCTGTATAATAATTTGATATCCTTTTTTTTTACTTGTTATTTTTTTACTGTTCATTAATAATGTTTTAAGTTTAAAGACGAGTTTCAATCCGATACTACTTAACAATGACAATTTCAAATCAGTAAATGTATCTAGAATAAGGATAATAATTTCGCTACTTTGTTCATATTTTTTCCTATCCAATCCAATATCTTGTTCTTTAGACCATATATCTGGGTTCCATGCTTTTGGAAGTCTTGGGCAGTTTGACCAGGTACAGCCGATCAAGTATTTTGCATTTATATTGGCAAAACATTTTGTTATAAGAAGAGTATAAGAAAACACACATCTTTCAAAAAAGAACAATGGGTAGATCCTTGACTTAGTAATAGAAATATGAATGACCTTAAGTTGGAGTAACTAACCTAAAGATATATTAAAAAAACAATCTAGTGACCTACTTTAATAGTGACCTACCAATTGTTAAATTTTTCTATCCAAATCTACTTTTTGTGTACTTCTTTAAACATATTCAACAACTTACTGATATGTTTTTATCTATCTTTTTGGGAAATATTTATACTGAGTTGAAGCAGATATACTAGTGTTAGAGCTGTATTCGTTTATATTATATATTGGTAGGTAGAAAGATGTGGGTATTAGCTTGAGAATATATGTCAAGAAAGAAAAATATATTTGTTATATTTTTGTTATATTTGGAAGTGTTTTATATATTCTTTGTTTTCTCAACAATCTGTTTTTCTAATTCTTTCTTAATAAGATATTAATTAATTATTAAGTAAAAATATTATTACCTAATTTTACGGAATAAGATTATTAGGTCATAAAGTACTAATTGTGCTGAAGTAGACATAATAGAGCTAGATCTTGATTCGTTCGTTATTATAGTATTAGGTAGAGAGGAGTAGGCATAGACTGAATACTAATGTTTAAAATAAAGCAAATATTATTTGTTATACTTTTCTTCTATTTGTAAGTGATTATTTATTATTATATAATTTATAGAACGAACAGAATCTAACTTAGAATGTAAGTTCAGAATTCTCTGTCTTTATATATTATTTTTTTTATCGAAGTATCGTTTCTTCTTGTTACCTAAACGATTGTTACCTAAACGATTATTGGTTAAACGATTAATAAGTAATGAAATTGTTTTCTAAACGATTATGGCCTAAACGACTATTACTTAATAAAATGTTTAGTTCTTATTAGTGTTGAATATGTAGCGGCAGCACTAAAAAGGCTAACATTTGCTTAACCTATCTGAAGGTGAAGGTAGCTAATATAAGTAGAATTTAGAGTGTGCCGCACTGCCGTATATATAATAACACATGATATATACTGCATAATGTAGTATTCGTTCCCCCTACATTGGGTTTATTGGAGCTACATAGTCCAACGTTACTATGCACAAATGATGAGCAGTTTAACAACAGCAACTCTGTTTAACAAATTCTGCTCAAATGGAAAAATAAAATTACTTGTTTTTAGTTACCCGGACTACATACTTATGACACATTTTAAAAATTAGTTTGCAAGAAATATAAATTAAAGCCTTGTTGGCGCAATCGGTAGCGCGTGTGACTCTTAATCACAAGGTTAGGGGTTCGAGCCCCCTACAGGGCTTATTTTTAAAATATTTTTTAACTTTTTTATGGTTAACTTCATTTAAGTTTTGTTAAATCGAATATTTTTAATTTTATAAAAGTTTTATTTGTTATAGATATTTGACTCTTTCTAAAACAACATTTTTTTGGTTATTAATATTATTACATGTTCAACCTGTGAGACTGACAGGCTATTGTTATGACTGATCCTGTCGTAGGTTATGTATTAATTTGCCCATGGCCGAAAACTTATCTACGAAGTTTGGAATTATGTCATGCGGATCTGGTCCCAAGCTATACTCTATACAAAATTGATCAAAATTTTCTGCCAGTGACTTTAGAGATTCTAAAAATTTCTCCAAAGTATGAAGATTTTCCACTTTTAACTGAGATACGTGTAACAAACAGAAGAAATCAAAAACGGTTAAGACACAGATGCAACATTTCAGTTTGATATCGTATTCTTCTTGTCGGACTTTTTTACTTACAGAACATTCTGACATCAGCAATAGTTCTAAAGCTAAAGTATACTCTCTTAAAGCCTCATTAATTGTGTCAAGGTTGTTCACAAAGTTAGCCTTAAATGTATTATCAGAATCATCAGATCTATTATTGTCACTAGTGCTCAAGTCTTCGTCACAGAAATCTGACGGATACACATCAAATATATCACTATTATCTTCTATTAGACCATTAAAGACACCTTCAGCGAGCAATGGGATAAAAACAATATCCCTTTCTAAATTTTCTGGAGATAAAAATGCCTGGAAATGCGAAATATCAATTAAGGATCGAAGTTCCAAAGATATATCTCTTATTAGTGTTTGAATGTTCAATTTTGGTGAAACCATCACGTGACCGCTTGGGACTATGGAGAGTAGATGGAAAGCTAAAAATGTAAATTGTCTTCTCAGTCTCATAGAACATTGTAAGACATATTCTGGTGGATAAAATGTCCTTGTTACGTATGTGCTTGAAAGTTTAAGAACGTTATCAGTATTAACTTCATTCACAAAGTTGCTTCGTTTGTTCTTATCCGGACAGTCGATAAAGATACATTCGATAAAACGTTCTGTGAATTGAACAGAATTAATAATTCTAAGGAACTTAGATATAGGACTTTCTATTAACTGTTGCGTAAATAATGTAGGGGTGATTGCAGAGCCTGATTTTCCAATTTCATTTTTGATAAAATAATTTTGTCGCAGTAGTATCATATCAAGAAGAAAACTAAAAATAGGAAGCCACGATTCAATGACATTAAGAAATTGACCATTATTGTCAAAATTTCCTTGTAATGAATTTGACAAGGTAAAGATAAATGTGTTGATCATTTCCCCTGGTTGTGAAAATTTTGTATTTATTAACTTATTACCTAGAACATTATCTATAAGTTGTAAGCAATCTCTATAGGATAAATATGGATTCTTTAATTCTCCAAAGGTTGGGCTATACACTTGGTTTCTTAATGTCCGACCAGATGCTCTTCCAAATACATTTCTATTGGTTTGCGGCAAGAGCGTATCTACCACTATAAATATTTGACATCTTAATAATTCTAAGTCATACTGATTATATTTTTTTACATTAAACTTCGTAAGTATATCACTGTACACATGCAATATTTTTATTGCACGTTTGTTCAAAGGTATTCTTGAGGCGTTATAGACATCATTTTCTCGTAGAACTTCGTCTTTACTAGCTGTTGAAACAGTGGCCACAGTCAAAATGATCAACCATATATCGAAAGGGGGTACCAATAAAGTTTGAACGGATCCTGTTATTAAGTTCTCATAAACCTGACATTCAATAAACGTAAATAAATTTTCATAATTTTGCAGCAAAGCTAAGGAATTTAGAACCTCGAAATTTGATAAATGTCTTTCTGTTAAATCTACAAGATAATGTGGTATATCATTATTCTCCTTGTTCCAACCATTGACGTACTCAGTGGAAGTAACAATGCTCATATATTTTGCTTTTCTTATTGGCGTTTTCCTCTGCTATTCGTGTGAATGGTGGTAAAATCTCATAAACTAAAAGGATTTGGTATAAATGACTATAACAAGGACTGTTCTCCAACAAAATAAAATAAAGCAATCCGTGTTACCTTGATATTGGAATAAGAAATGGTTATAGTTGCGATAATGGATAACTTCCCTTGTCATATTGGAATCAAGGCATTACAAATATTCGCGTTTTGCTTCACATAGCGATGACCAACAGAGGCCAAGAGAGCCCCAAAAAAAATTGAAGACCACTACATTATCGTAATGTACGGTATTATTAGGGTATACTCATCAGATGGTTCAAAATGTTGAACAATTCGACAGTCTTATCTTTGATCCCTAATACATAGTATATAGGTTCCTCTATGAGTTTATTCAGTAACCCTTGCACATTTATTAATTGTTCTAATCTCAGAAGGGTCGTCTCTATCTCAAATGAATTATTCTCTTCAAGCAGAGTTCGAAATTGAGTCTCTGAAAGTAACCCAACCTTGTCATCTGTATCTAAGGAGTGTTGAAGGGAATAAGATAGTTGTACTTTATAAGTATTAATTAAATGAACAAATAGTTTCTTTCTTTCCTCGAGATCAAAATTTTTATAATAAAAGAGCAACTTTGAAGTGAATTGTTCTTGCTCCTTTTTTGATGTAATAAATTCTTTAATCTTAAACTCTTTAAAGAGTGATTTCTGTTGTTTACGAACATCCTGATATATAGTATCGTTCGTTATATCTGTTTTATTAATAATATGCGATAAGTAATGATATTTTGTAGGTTCCAATTCATCGCCATCTGATTCATCCATTGATGAATCAGATTCGAGGCCATCTTCATAATTATCGCTATTAACTGTTTGGAAATTCGAGCACCATTCTTCAAACAACTGTTCACGCTCATTATTACTTTCAATGAGAAAAAAAGATTGTTGAGATTCAATTTTCTTCATTTCAATCCTCCACGTTGAAAACTTATCCAAGTGGAAGTTATCTAATAATTCCATAAACTTCTTTTTTGCCTCTGTATTATTTCCTATAGTATTTGGTTCATCAACGTCATTTAAATTGGTAATCAATTGCCTTTGAAGCTCTAGTTCTTCTTCGTTCACTGGTTCATTTGCATCCTTATTATCCTTAAGCACAAGTTCAATATCATCGTTCGATTCACTACCTTTATCTCCATTTAAATCTTGTTTCATTTGCTCAATTTCTTCTAATATTTCGTCATAGACAACGTCTGGATCTATATGGGAAGACATGTATCCTCTTGCAAAACCTACGAGAAGAATCAACTTATCACGATTAATATAGTCTAATAATTCCAAACTATCTGGATCCTCTAATCCTTTTTGAGATTTCCCATGAGGATCTATATAGAACTTGGTACCATTATTCCATATTACCAGTTTCCAATCGTTTGATAGAGGTATAACATACACAGGAATATTGATTTTATCCAACGCAGATGATCCCTGAGGATTCCTATTGACTGGTACTACATCGTCTTTTACACGTGATTCAAATATTGGCCTTTCCCATTGAGTTTTCTTTGTCTCTGAATTGTAGTAATACTTCTTCCCATTGGGTGCTGTGTACTCCTTCCATGGTCTTCTCATCACTATATCTCTATGGTATTAAATTCGTCAATTCTTGTAGTAGTAGGATAGAAAGTGGTCAAGAAATTTATCGTTAATGGTAGGAATAATAAAATCTAAATTATTGAAATTAGATTTTATATCTGATTATTGTTATTGCTCTTTTACAATTTCGGTGATTCGTTGTTAGGCATCACTTAAATTTGTTATGTCAATTATTTATTATAAACGGCACTATCCGAGATGAAAAATTCAGTTAAGTTACATTATTGAACCATCCTTAAACACAAAAGAGATACCCGACGAATAGAAACGAGTCAGACCTGTGAGACTCACATTATCTGACGTTACACAAATACATATACTGTGTACGATTTTAGAGTTGAATACCTCAAAGTTTTTATTTTTTCAGAGACAAATATACTCATTTAGAATATCCATCATAATTATACCACTTGCGCTACTAAAACAGAGATTTTATCTTTACCCAGATACATGAGGTATGTATTTTAAACATTTAGATTGCACATCTTCTTAAAAATCTACGCTTTCTTATTTTCCAACAAACATGTTACTAACTGTCTAAAATATAATAACTATTGAAAATATTTTCCTTACAGAACCTTCATATCATCTATAGAAATACCCGTAGGGTATGTAACACCAAAATTCCCTTCACTTTATTGGCCTATATCCAACAAAAGTTATAGTTTAGCATTTTTATATGACATTGTCGATATATGGAAGTTTACCCTATATTGGTGTCTCATATTCAATGGTGCATTTTATGGAGCCACAGGTCTCCTGGCAACTTTAACACATAGGAAGCAACCAAGAAGTATAATGATATTAGCTATATACATCACATACGGTGGTGTTCAAGGATTTGTAGTAGGGACAGTAATGGGATTCCTGATCGGAGCCATATATAACTCCGGTCTCTTCGCCATGTCGACTTGGATCCCAATATGTTGTGCGATAACCCAAATCCTATATGAAGTGGTTAAAAGTTATTCGACAGTCGGGTCCATAATGTAATTACAACTGTAAGTATGAAGGACTTTAGAGAGGTTGATCAAATTATCATGTGCTTTCCCTCTCATCACATATCGTATAAAGTGACATAAACTAGACTATTTAATATCACTGGATACGAAAACTGCGCCTGCCGGCAGGATCATCATCATTATCACCAACACCCGTTCCCACAGTACTGACATATATATACGAGAGAATGTAATTCTTGGATGAATACAAAGAGTAGCAAAGGCTTATTTAAACTCCATTTATAGAATTTCAATACTATTCAAGATACATACAAAATTTATACCTTGAAGAAGAAACAACTAGGTGAATATTTTGTTTCTTTCGCCAACAATTTATTTTTTCCTGCTTTCCAATAATCTTTAGATCATATAACTCCTATCCAAAAAAACAATAGATAAATATGTCAGCATCGTTGATTAATCGTTCATTGACTAACATTAGAACTGAACTAGATTTCTTAAGAGAATCAAATGTTATTTCCGATGAGGTATTTAATAAAATCAATGATTCCTTACCTGAGAAATACAATCCAAATGCATCCAGGGATTCCGTTAACTCCAATGAACAAGAATACGTAGAGGCCATATATGATTTCCCACCACAACAAGATGGTGATTTAGAATTGAAAACGGGCGATAAAGTCCTAATTATAGAAAAACCTTCTAAGGAATGGTATAAGGGTAAATGTAATGGTAAAGTTGGTATGTTCCCATCGAACTATGTCAAACCTGCATTCTCAAATACTGCACCAAGAGATTCAAGTTCCATTTCAGGTCCACCAAGATACACAAATGATAACAAGTTAGAGCAACAATTCACGAATCACTCATCTTCTCAAGCATCATACCAACAAGCTCCACAACAACAATCTCCTTTCCCACCGCCATCGACTAACTATTACCAACAACCACCCGCCCAACAGATTGTCTACCAACAGCAACCTCAAGCTCAACCCCAACAAGTCATTGTTGAACAACCACAACAACAGCACAGCAATGGTTCTAGCCAAATGAAAAAGTTTGGTAGCAAACTAGGTAATGCTGCTATCTTTGGTGCTGGTGCGACACTAGGTAGTGACTTGGTTAACAGTATATTCTAGATAACCAATCACCAACAATAATAAGAAAGAATAATTGAAAAATCCAATAAGATTTGGAGAATCAATGTGAACCATCTCCGGATTCATTCTCTCCTTTTATAAACACATCATTATGACACATTTAACTTTTTTTTTAAGGTATATATATATATATATATATATATATATATCACGCGGTTTTACTTTCAACGATTGTCCTTTTTAATAAATATTATATGACTTTCATCGCCTTCTATCAATTGATAGCAGTAATTTTATGTACGAATATATGTATTTAATTATTTAGATTATTTGAATATATGTATAGAGTTTGAAATTGCCATGATTAGACTACTATTTTTAATTCAAGAAATACCTCGAGTAGGTGTGATATATCCTGTTAACAACATTTAATTTAGCATCATTGGAAAATTTGATGTTAATTAGTTCACCAATATCTCTGTTCCAATCATATTTTCTCGCCTTTGGTACTATAACAGATCCATTAGAAGATAAATTTGAAATTTCCATAATTAATAATGCATGATTAACATACTTTAAATTTTCGTCTTCAATTTCGAAATCTTGATAATTTAACAATCTTTCAATGTTGTTCAGACTATGACTGACAGAGTCTTTGTAATGTTTCATATTGGAGAAAACATTTCCTAACTTAACTAATTTCACAAGATTATTTATTGCCAAGTAGATGACAAACATAGCAGGCGATAATGCCATAATACCAAATACCAATTGTTGTGATTTTAGCATCTTATCAATACCATTTAATGCCAATGATCCATCTACTTTTGTCTTTTGAACTTGAACAAGTAAAGATCTTATCAATTTACCAGTAAATATATTTTTAATAGGGCTGTTTAATTCATTTTCATATATTTTCATAAATTCGTCGAGATTACCATGCATGATCTGATTAACCAAAATATTTTCACCTATATTCTCAACATACGAAGGATTATTATCCTTCATTATTTGAATAACCATTCGACATAATGAATTAGTTTCTGAATCTAAAGTACCATTCGACATCATAGCTATTTCACTTCCCTCATCATGTCTGACAGTGGCCCATATATCTTTTATGGGCACCCAAATCCAATTATAGAATAATCCCTTAACAAATTGAACGACATTTTTTTGAAAGAAATCAATCATTTTAAAACGAGATTCCCATGCAAACTTAACAGAACTCGGCCCGTTTAGTATAATAAACATCCCAATGGGCCAATATCTGCTAATGAAACTAGGCTTTGTCGAAGAAATCATTTGAATATAATTTGATTCTTTAACAAAATATTGGGTGGAATCAATAACCTCAAAGGGTGATACTTCAACATCTCTAAATGATTTATCTTTAATGTTGAATTCTTTCAAAAAAGTTTCCAAGATATCAAAACATTTAATTAAATTATTGCTGTTAAATTCTTTTGGGAAAGATTGAACTAATATACCAAATTTAGCCATTGCATTTTGATTCATGTTGATAATTAACTGAGTCTTAGTTTGAAGCTCATTGTTTAGCAAATAACCAGGTAAACCAAATATGAATTTAACAGGGTTTGGTATATTTGTCCTTGAACTCGGAATGCCAACGAAATCAAAATTTTGAACCTTACTAATTTTATATAAAGTTGGTAATAATTCTTTCGAACAAAACTTATTAGTAAACTCTGGAATTTGTTTAAAGGACAAATGAGAGAAACCATTTTGATAAAGTTTTTTTGTTGTAGATATTTCAAAGAAATGATTTAACTTTTTTTGAATTAATTCAAATAATTTCACAGATTTACTGACAGAAGTTTGTAATAAATAAAATACTTTATTAATAAAAGAATTTTCAATAGATTTAAAATATGTTTCAGTTTCCATTGCCTTTGGTAATCTCACCAATGTTTCAGCTGTTACACTATAATAACATAATATCAACACGTATCGTGATATAGTGTATTTAATAAATTGATCAACTTCAGCAACACCTATTTGTGATGCTGTACCAGTAACAATATTTGGGTCGAAATTGTTGATATTTTCTTTAAAATTAGTAGTCAAAGAGAGTTGTTTAGTAATTTTTCTAATATTATCAAAATCAATTTTTTGAATTTGATTATTATTACTACCATTTGGTTCATTTGAAATATTTCTTTGGAAACCATCTACCAATGACTTAAGTTGTTGTAAGACATGTTGTAAATTTTCAATTTGACGGTATTGTTCGGTATTATTATCTCTATTAATATTGATATTATTTAATGATACCTCATTTGTCCCTAACGCAATTCTTTGAGTAAATAGTTCTAAATCTCTATTTACAACCTGAATCAATTGAAAAATAGAATGATCCAAAATCATTATAACATATAGTGACTAGGTTATTGATGACAATATGAAGTCGGAGTTTGTTCTAGTTCTCTAGTTACAATGAAGTTGTTTATGAAAACAAAATTCCCCTCTTTTATTAGAATTTCCTCTTTTAACGGTTATAATGGATGATAGAGAGACAGCGAGAGCGAAAATAAAATCAGTGGGAAAATCGAAGGGTCTACTTATTTGTAAACATCAAGGGCAAAAAAAGAATATACGCAGATCTACGTTATCACAAACAACATACAAAATATAAGATTAAGGGGAGGTATAGTAACGATGAGAGGAACTTAATATATTGTAGCAGGATATTACAATATACAGATGATTCAGTATATGGGGAAAAAACGCCTAGTTTTAGTTTAACACGACATCGTACAAAGAACGTTGATCGCTATTGCGAAGCTAACTATTATGAAATCAAGATAGATTTGAACTGAGAAGTATTCATAACTACTGCTTTAGCCTTGTATATATAGTTATATATATAAGGATGTTACTGTTATTATCATTCGAAAGTACTGTCAAAATGTTTTCTAGAAGATTCTAGAAAACTTCGGAATTGTCTCTCCGTGAAGTTCTCTCCCCTTCAAACCCCCTCCCCCAAAAAAAAAGAAAAATTTTGCTGGATCGAATGGCTCTATATATGCATCTGAAGACACGGAGGTTGGCTCATCACTAGAGAATAGATATATAATGATTGATATTTAAATAAGGGTGAATATATATAAATCATCAATTCAGTAACTACTTCAAGGATTATACTGATAGGTTTATTAGGGATAGATATAACTTTGTTTTTCAATTGGTAGTTACAGTAGACCGAAATATAAAGAAAATAAGGGAACGTCATGTATTGTATTAATAATAAAAAACGTAATAGATACGATTTACAACATCATACTAATGGATTAATCGATTTAGTAACACCAGATCAACATATTTCCATGAAGAATCAAATACATTTAGAAGGAAGAAAAATTTATATTTGTAAAGAAATTAATGAGACCATTCTTTTACAAGAGATGATTATACAAGTTATGAATTTGAAAAAACGATATATTGAAAGTAAAGAAGTAAATTATCAAGTTGTACTAGGTCCCAAAGGCAATCAAATATATATTGAAAACAATATTCAATTAGAGACCAACATAATAACTCAAATAATTCAAGAAATTCAAACCAATTTAAATATATTCAAGATGTCTCTTTTAAAAGATAATTTATTTAACGATTATCAATTCCAAATAAATGAAGGTAATTTGACTATATTCAGTGAAAGAGATAATTTCATAGAGACTGTTGATTTATTTAATGATAAAACAGGAATGAATATGAAAAACACTGTCACAAATTATAATATAGATTATAAATTCTCAAATGCAAATAAATTAATGGCACAATTAATAATTGAGATACCTCACTGTAATTATTATGGTGATAATAATAATAATAGCAACAACAGTAATAATAATAGTTCATACAATATATCCGCCTTTGACGAACCAGAATATCTATCATGCTATTCTAGGGATACTCAAGAAGATCCTACTTATCGAGCATTAGAACAAATACGATTGGAATATATGCATAGGCAAAATATCACTTCAAAACGTATGAGATGTCAATAATAATAAATGAAATTCTATAGTAGAAGAATGATTTTATGTCATTATTAACAAATTCTCACCAAAAAGCATCAAAGACTCAATATATACTGTATGTACGTACGTACGTACACATATATATATTTTTAAAAATAGCATAATTACTTATGAAAATAAACCTTGAAGGAGTTCAGTTTATGCCAAAATATAACAGTTCGTACCTGCTCCATATTACTATGTAAATACTGCCAAGAAACAATGCACACTTTTATAAAAAGATACCCTCAACTTGGTTGTATTTATTTATTACGGTTTTACCGTAATAAATAACGTCAACAACGGTAAAACTCGAACCTAACTATTTGTGGCATCTTCTTTTCCCTTAACATTGTATTCCAATATTTATTTACTGTGAGACCGTTATCCATTCAGTTTTTATTTTTTTAAATTTTTACTACCGGGAAAACCAGAAGAACGCGTAACCATTATTAAAATCATTTCACCGAAAAGAGAAAAAATAGAAGAACGCGTTGTCAAGCCTATTTCTCTATTTGATTCGAAGAAACACTACACTTACATTTCGCGTTTCATTTCTCCCTTTTGGAACAATTTCTTGAACATAGAGCGATACCATATAATAGAGGCTTGACCTGTAAGTTTCTACGGAGACACACCCGCACAAACTGCTGTTACGAGAGGGTAATAGCCATCCCATAAAAAGAAACGTGTGCTATCTTCTCATTCGCTCTATAAATAAATTTCTTTTTTCTTGTCCTTTTCGCGCCTCCTTTTCTTTTATTTCTGATTCAGCATGAGTGGTGTCTGCAAAGGTTTCTCAGCCTTCTTCTCCCATTTGCCCTGTCTCTCTCTCTAATAAAAAAGACCATTTTTCCCATTATACCATTATACCAACTGATCCCTACGAACCCATATTTCGAACAACTGGTAGTGGTAGTGAAACGGTTCTTAATTTATAATAATATAAACTCATTTGATCTGAAACTCAGTTACTTTGCCAATCCAGCTACAGATAGCCTGTTTTATTTTTCATTTTCCAGTTATGCAAATGAAGAATTTTTTTGCTTTGCTCGTTCTCTCGTTATGAAGTATTAAGACAATAAAGTTGACGTTGTTTCCCTCTGGATCAATGTTACCGTACTGGCATATATCGTTTCATCACTTTAAATTAGTCCGTCTACTTCACCCCCCTCTCTTGCTGAATGTACACTTTTACAAGATAAATAAATACATAAACACATAATTATCATCATCATTATCTATTTTTTTCCCTGCTACTTAACAATAACTCCAAATTTGTATAATCCCGTACTTCTTTAAGAACATAAAGTTTTTTTTCCCACAAAGACTATATTATAATACATATACACTCACACGTATTTTTAAATTTTGCGATATCATCATTATTATTATATCGTAATTATTTTTTTATTTTTATACCTTTTGAATATAAAGAAGAACTACTGAAAAAAAATAATAACAAAAACTATACATTATTTAGTTATTTATTTTTTTTCTCACAAAAAACAAAATAATTATAACCATCAGAATAACAAGATCGAAAGAAAACAAATAAGAACACAAGATAAAGAAATTTATAATCATTATAGTTCAGAATATATATATACAAATTATATTATAGCTTAAAAGTTCGTGTTTTATAATATTTTTTATTTTTATTTTGGATTCACTAAAGAAACAAGAGATATAAAAGTTATATCGTTCTTCTTCATTTAACTTCATCCCATTTAGAAATCAGACCATGTACGTTAGAAACTTGACTGAAAATAATAATAATAACAGTCGTAGTAATGAAAATTCTCTCGATTCATTTGATCATTTAAATAATGTTGGTAATAACAACGCACAACAATTATCAAATCCATTTATGGGTAGTGATGAAGAAAATTTGGATTCTGGTTCTTCTTCTTCATTAGATTTTAATAATACAACAAATAATACAAATAATTTGGATAATAGTCACATTTCAGATTATAAAGGTTATTATTCTAAAAATGCTAGTGCATTAAATCAAAATAATAATCAAAATAATAATCAAAATAATAATAGTTCAGCATATTTAATGCCACCAAGATCTGCAAATTCTCCTCTACCACAATCAAACTCACCAAATTCAATGGATCCAAACAATAATGAAATATTCTCTCCACCAGAATTCGATAGATATCCACTTCTTGGATCAAGAGTCTCTTCACAAGCAAATTTACAATCTCCTTCTAATGCTAACTCACCAAATCCAATGTCGTACGGCTCTCCATTAGCTAATAATTCAAATGCTTCTTTCTCCTCATCAAATCCTTTCAATGGCGAACAAGATTTCTCACCATTTGGTGGTTATCCAACCTCATCTTTCCCATTATTGATCGAAGAGAAAGAAGATGATGATTATTTACATAACCCTGATCCAGAGGAAGAAGCAAGATTGGATAGAAGAAGATTCATCGATGATTTCAAACATATGGATAGAAAATCTGCAGGTGGTATCCTTGGTGTATTCACTTTAATTGGTGCAGGTATTGCCATCTTTGTCATCTTACCAGCTATAACGTTCACAGGCGTAATAGACTATAGTTCAAAGGGTGAAGTTATAGATTTTTTAACACCTTATCAATACCCACGTCTGTCAGCTATTAGAACAAACCTGGTAGATAGTGATACACCATCTAGTGCAAAGACAAGAAAGGCAAAGGATGGTTCCAATTGGAAATTAGTATTTTCTGATGAATTTAATGCCGAAGGAAGAACTTTTTATGAGGGTGATGATCAATTTTGGACTGCCCCTGATATTCATTATGATGCCACAAAGGATTTAGAATGGTATGACCCAGATGCCTCTACTACAGTAAATGGTACTTTACAGTTACGTATGGACGCATTTAAAAATCATGATTTATATTACAGATCCGGTATGCTACAAAGTTGGAACAAGTTATGTTTTACTCAAGGTATGTTAGAAATATCTGCAAACTTACCAAATTATGGTCGTGTGACCGGTTTATGGCCTGGTTTATGGACAATGGGTAACTTAGGTAGACCAGGTTATTTAGGTACCACTGAAGGTGTATGGCCTTACTCATACGAATCTTGTGATGCTGGTATAACACCAAATCAAAGTTCTCCAGATGGTATCTCATATTTACCAGGTCAAAAGTTGAATGCTTGTACTTGTGACGGTGAGGATCATCCAAACCCAGGTGTTGGTAGAGGTGCCCCAGAGATTGATATTATTGAAGGTGAAGTCGATACTACTTTAAACGTCGGTATTGCTTCCCAGTCCATGCAAATTGCACCATTCGATATTTGGTATATGCCCGATTATGACTTCATTGAAGTATACAATTTTAGTACAACTAACATGAATTCATATGCTGGTGGTCCATTTCAACAAGCTGTCTCTGCTGTCTCTACGTTAAATACTACTTGGTACGAATTTGGTCAAGATGCTGGTTATTTCCAAAAATTTGGTATAGAATACTTAAATGATGACACTGATGGTTATTGTCGTTGGTTTGTAGGTGACACTCCAACTTTCACTATTTATGCTAATGCTCTTCATCCGAGTGGTAACATCGGTTGGAGGAGAATAACTAAAGAACCAATGTCTATTGTTATGAACTTAGGTATCTCTAATAATTGGGCTTATATCGATTGGAGAATGATTTTCTTCCCGGTCAAAATGTCCGTTGATTATGTGAGATTATACCAGCCACAAGATTCTGTTTCTGTGACTTGTGATCCCGAGGGATACCCAACATACGACTACATTCAAGATCATTTAAATGTTTATTCTAACCCTAACCTGACCTCATGGAAGGCTGCAGGTTACACGTACCCAAAGAATCAATTGACAGGTAATTGTAAAAGTTCAAATTTCCAATCCAAGGAACTGTTATTATAAGCTCCATTTTAGAATGGAACACACTATAAATAAAAATAACGAAATGAAACCACACCGATTGTTTTATTTTCCTGAGACAATACATATTATATAGATCTTCTTATCTAGTTCATAAAACCTGCATTATATATATATAACTATTCAAATACAAAAAATCACTATCAATTAAGAAATAGGACAATATTGTTTATGCTGTTACACCTACTGACGAAAGAGTAGGTCCTAGCACTGCTTATACATAGGCCATACCAAACTTATCTCTATTTTCGTTCTTTTTTATTTACGGTAAATGAGGCCATAACATTTTTACCTCTACGCCAAAATTCTGGACAAAAAAAAAAGAAGCCTAACTCGAACTGAATGAAATATTTAGGAAACTGATGACAACTGGCCATGGATTATAGTAAAACATTAAGAAAAGCACACTTCCAAAAACCAAACCGTTGCATATAATTTACTAGATACTAGTGGATAGAAGTAATTACCATGGCGGACGTAGACTCTTTAAAGACAATAGTAGAAGGTTCAACTGACCCTCGTCACGATATATCCAGTTGGGTGAGACTGCAATTTCAACGGGTTACTGGGGACCCCACTTCAAAAGGTACATCAGTGGAATATATTTTAAAAGTATATGATGAATTGATCACATTTTGCAAATATTTGACAGAAATTGATGACCTTTCAAATAGTGAATCTCACAAGATTTCACTCGCAATATCTCAATTACTGTGCTCCATTTTAACTCGATTACAAACAGATGATAACGGGAAAATATACGATGCTGCTGAAGTGATGGCTAACATATTTGCTGAAGAAAATGTTATCGACAATGACGAGAATGATAAATCAAGTAGCAAGAAGAACAATAGCAAAAAGTCGTCCATTTATACGTTCCCAAAGGAATTGGCCGTGACAACCCTATCTCAAATGTTTGAATTATTTTCAAAAGACATCCATTCTTTAGTCTCATTTATATTACCTTTTATTTTTAAGAATATTAAGAAAACTTTGGAAAAGAGTAAATATTTCCATGCCTTATACTCTGTCTCGTTAGCAAGGTTATTACGTTCCATATTAAGAAACACAAACGGTAATTTCTTCGACAATACATACTCTGCAAAGTTTACGAAACTATCAAAATCAATTTTTGAAGAAATGAATGATAACCAAATCGACTATCCTGTAGATTTCATATCAGCCCTAGTAGAATGTTGGACGTTTATCTATAAACAAGAAAGCTTCATACAAGAACATAAAGATGAGGTTGCTGATACATTATATTTCAAATTTTGGAAGTCAGAAATAGCTGTGTATGGTATTTCAAACGACTATACAAGAAATATTACTGCAAAAGCTCTCGCTGAAATTATATTTGATTATCAATTCACAAAAAAGATTTTAACCCTCGAGGATGCATTAAGTTTATATGTCAAAATATTCAGACATTGTCACTCGAGAGATGTTAGAGCTGGGTGTTTTGAATCACTTTCTCAATTTATTATCCTCAGTTCCCTCGCGGATACCTCATTTCTTCACGATTGTAAATACCTATATATTGTACAACAACTGAGCTCAATTGTTTCAGAAAAAAATATTACTAACAAGAAACCAGATACAATAGGAAGATGGTTAAATATGCTAAAATCACTGCATAAACTTATTCTACCGTACATCTCTGAATCATCAAAAAATCAAATACTTCTAACTTTATTAGGTTTACGTTCCGAAGATTCTTTTGCCAAAAATGAAGTTGATATGATGAACCTTTCAGAAACTCAAGAAAGCGAGATATCAAATCAATGGTTTACACTCCTTCAACAGGATCTTATCGAACTGTTGTTACTAAGCCTCTCATCATCTTCTATGAGTGATAATAAAATGTGCAGCGAAGTCAAACAGAGATTAATATCGTTAGCTACATCTGATATATACAACGTACGTCTATATTCTGCTCCAGTATTGAAAGTATTTTTAACCAACTTTCCCGATTTGCTGGATTCTGTCATCTTAAACTCTCTAAAAACACTTTTGAATGCTTTTGAAAACAAAGGAAAAACCAACTTACCATTTGCTCAGCTGCATGGCCACGCTTTGGTCATAGCAAATTTAATAGATATTGCTGATAAGGATTATGTATCGTATGAGTTGATTATGAGGGTAACTGTTTTTGCGACATCCTTCATTAAAAACCACACAACATCTACTAATGGGGATCTATACTTTAAAGGGTTGGTTTGCTGGATTCTTCTAACGGGTCTAATGAATTATGTTGATGATCAGTATTTATCTACGCAAACTGCCCAGCTATTACTGTTCTGGAAAGTGTTATTGACTCACTCATTTACATATAGAAATGAGGAAGAATTATTTCGTAATTTGAAAACGAGAACACATGCACTTACATGTCTACTCACATTTTTGAATAACGTGAAATTAAATAAAGAGTTATCAACACAGGTATCATATTTATTAACAAAATGTTCTAATTTCAATCATTCGGTAGAACTAAAATCAGGAAGAATAGATGATGCGTTACTAGAAAATGAAAATAGAATACTTCAAATATATCTGCGGATGGAGAAGTATATCAGATACGATTTCAACAGTTCCTTACTAATTCTGATTATGAAAAACTTTTCTGACCCAAATTTGTATATCGAACCCTCCAACTCTCTTATTCAGACAGTCAAGAAGATTAAAAGATCAACTAAGAATGATAATTCAAGAAAAGAAAAAGTTTTGGAGCATAGTGTAGACAGTATCTTGCGTTTGGAGGATAATTTTGCTTACGGTATATCAAGTAAAATAACGAATGATAATATTCTTTGTCTAAATTCTCCAACAAGTGATGAGACAGTAACAGAGATACCAGGACTGTGGAGCAATACAACAAAGTATTGGTATGATATATTTGATAAGGATGTGACCTGCCCAATATCGAGACTCTTGTCGAACGATTCTTTGGTACTTTTATTTGGAAATAAATCCTACGCTAAAAGCACTTTATTTATGCCTAAAGTTACTACATCTTTAATTGATTTTTCAATGGAGCTTTTCTCATCGGTGTTTCCATATTTGAATAGCAAGATACAATACTCATTAATTGAAAACCTGAATCTGTCATTATTTTCCAAGGCCACTACACCGATGAGGAGTGTAGCAATATCTGCGAATACTTGTACTGCCTTATATGCATCACTTCGGATTATTGAAGCAAACGATATTACTTTGGACAAAACTGTTGGAAATTTGATGGTAGAATCTATAAGGAAAATTGAATTTCTTAATGATAATTATTTAACATGTCTTAAGTCTAACTGTATCGGATTGATCACTGCCGCTGTTAGAAGAGGAATAGACGCAGAAGAATCCTCTGATTTTATTGATGAACAATGCAACATTTTAGTTAAGTCACTGAGCGATAACGAAGAACCATTTTCCAGACTTTTAAACATTCTTTCTTTGGCTTCTATTTACCAATCTAATTCCAAACTAACCAGATTTGATAACATATACGAAATACTATTCACTATGATTAAAGATCCGCATCCTGTCATTCATTCATGGTCATTAAGAGCGTTGAATATATTAATTAGGCGACATTCTTCAATGAGCCCCGAACACGTTTCCAATTTACTAGTAGGGCTACAAGAGTACTTACTCAATCCAACTTATGGATATTCTGGAAATTCTACATTACGATATAATTATAATATCCAATATAACTCCCATTATATGATTGCCAGCATTGTTGATACAGTGATTGAAAACATTGGCCCAAGTTTACGCACTGTAGACAGAACAGCATTGTGTCGTTTCCGAAACATTTGTTTCTATTTTATATGTATTGGTGACCTACCGCAACAACTAAAAGGTATCCAGATATTCTTGAATATATCAATTTTCAAAATGGAAGACATCCTCCACGAAAAGACGTTCATAACAGTTGCAGAAAATATTATTACGAGTTCAATTTTTCTAGGTATTGGATCATCATATTTTGATACAACGTTCACGGAACGGCGTGAACTTATTTCAAAGTCAAGTAGTATCAACGCGGCCTTCCAATGTTTTAATCTTTTTGAACAACTGTCCAAGCTTCAGAAAGGATATTTATTCTATGAGCACTTGGAAATCACAAGTTGGAGGTACCTGGCGCTATATCCTGAATGCAGTACCATTAGTGACTATTTTAGGGAATGGTTGAAACAGGTTCCTAATACCATCAAATGGTTAGAGAAATTACAACAAATATATGACATGTCCAATGATAAATTATTCAGAACCGTGTATAGTACCAATAAAAAGATCCTTCTGGAAAGAGGTGCAATAGATATCGAAGAAAAGGAGATTACAGACGAATTAGAGGAGAAGATCAACGATACAAATGTGCCAAATATACTATCTGACAAATCAGAACTTTCTGATGCGCTTAAATGGAAGACAAAAGAGATAATTCTTGGATTAATAGCAAAGCTATGCTCAGATACACAAAATAATCCCGATCAAAGTTTATCTCATCAAATTTCAGCATTAATAAAACTATCATTCAACGCCACATCAATGAGATTAGAATCAATAAACAAGCTAGGCCTGTCGATTCTTCACCTTATTTTGAAGATGTTTTGTAAAATGGCGGACAACGAATATCCTCAGAAATCTATCCTGGAACAATACGAAGCTCAAATTTCAAGTGCGTTAATCCCTGTTTTTCATAAAGGAAGTTCTCCTGATGTTATTGCAATGGCCATTAATGTAGGTGCAGAAATAGTCTACTCCGAGATTGTACCTTCTACCGAACAGAACAGAATATCTCAACTACTAATTAAACTACTGGACAATTTGAACTCAAAAACAAGCGATATTAGTATTGGTAACATGCACATTTCTACTAAAACTGCGAAGAGGAAAATTGAATTGGCGACGTTGAACGGCTGGGCAAAGTTAACCCAACAAGCTATTGAGACAAATAATAAAGAACTTATGAAATTTACGGAGGGATATTGGCCAATACTGACACCACTGTGGATCGTTTCACTTCGTGAGTATATGATATTAAATTACGAATGTACGTCTACGCTTTCTTCCACAGTTGAAGGAGGTGATAATGCACAGAAAGAATCGGATTCAACGAAATTGATGCAGTATGAACCTGTATGGCAAAATATGACTAAGGCTTTAAGTTCTTTATTGTACATAAATAAAGACATTCTATTACAAAATATGGATGAAGATGAGCTCGATAGTTTTATGTTCGCACTAGTCTCGAAGTGTTTAGACGAAATATTACGTAATATCGACAATGAAAAGTTAAAGATGGGACTTCTGCGAACTGTGCATGATATATTCAAATGTAATATCCTGTTGAAAAGCTTGTTGTCTGATGATATATTTTCAGAAGTGGTAGGAATATTTAATAGATTAATATCTACCGGCTCAAGCAAAGAGAAACTAATAGTCATTGACATTATTAATGATCTTATTAGAGGATACAGAATTGCAAACGCATCAGGAGACTCATTTCTAGCCGATATTGATAAACTATACGAACTATTGAAATTACTCATGTTTATTATATCAGACACACTACCTTTTATCAGAGTTTCTGATATGCAAAATACCATCGAAAAGGATGTAAAATTAACACAATCACAACAAGACACACTACGAAAGGTAACTATGATTCTGGAAGAAAATATAATTCACTTTGATGAAATCTTCAAAGTAGATTTGTATGCTTGTCAACTCTTTATTATCGGTAGAATATATCTGTCAAAATCTGTGAATGATATCTTACCAATTTTTCTGTCATTACTAAAAAGTATTACATCTGATTTAGTTAAGAATGCTGAGCATGAAAACCTTCTAGATATATTTTATGAATCAACATATGAAAATTACTCCAAACTGAATAGCACCAATAGGATTACCACATTTTTACTGTTAGTGACGAATGGATTTAATAACTTCAAAGATGACGATTTTACTTATAATACCGGACAATTATATAACCTATTAGACCAAGATGAAATATGCCAAGTTATAATACAAGGACTTAAGAGAATAGCCCAATTTAGTGATAAATATGATGGTTGCCGTTGTACAATAAAATTGTTTATTAAGAAGGTATTTGAAAAGAATAATTTACCCAAGAGTACAATACGCCCTATAATCGGTTTATTAATTACATTTACAAAGACTACAGGTGCTAAAGATATCTCAAAATTCGAACCGTGCTTTTTGTTATGTTTATTATTTATTTGCAAATATTACGAAGAGATGAGAGGTGAGGACACCTTCGTATCGAATATAATCGATGAGCTACTAATAATAAATCCTGAAATATTTAAAAAATCCCTGGAGATTGTTTTACAATCTGAACAAAAACAAATCATGGAAAAGATAATTGCCGAGGCGGAACTAACCAAATCTTCAAACGGGGCTGTTGATAGTATCCCATTAAAAACTTTTAAATAGAATTAAATAAATTTTTAAAAAGATTGCAGAATTATAAATCTTTTCTATTTCAAGAATATATATATATATATATATATATCGTTAAAGTTGTCCCGGGCACAAAATATAAAAAAAAAGTACACTTAAAAAAAAAATACACTTAAAAAAAAGCGAATGTATTTATTGCTGGTCCTCCGATTTGTTTAAATTAACAGATAGTGGATTTGATACAATAGTTTCCTTACTTTCGTTACGGGATTCCATTCTAATATCACGATCAGTTTTGAGCTCAGACAACAATACCCCTAAGCTGTTCAGAACCGAACAACACCACATATATATATCATTTCTCTTTAATCCTAGAGAGCGATCTGCTATTGTTCTTAATATAACCAATCGATTTCTCTTCGTTATTTTAATCCTTATATCCATCGGATTCTGCACAGACCATGGGTTGTACGAACATATTTTACCATCTATTTTCCTTGAAGATTTTAAGTATATATATTTGGCCAAATCAAGGTTATTACATTTTGTTCTATTTTTGGACAAGGAAGCTTCACCAACGAGGTATTTCATGTAAATAGCTGATATATATTCCCATAATGGAAGTTCATGTTTATAATCTACTCTATGAATTTTCATTAAAAATTCGTTAATGAGTGGGAATATATTTTCATTCAATTTTGAACCCTTGTTCTTATTCCATTCCAAAAGTTTATCTATGATCATAGGATATAATGGCAAACGTTTATGGACGGGTATACTATCTAACAATTTGATAGCTTGTAATATGGTTTCGTTACTTTTATTCTGCAAAAGCTGCTGTGTAATGGACATATATTCATGTGTTGAAAGGGAACCATACAACTCTTCAATACGCTTCATTGTTTGATTTGAGTTTTTGTAATCTTGAAATCGAAGTTGCATTCCAAATAACGATGACAGATAGTCTTTACTATTCCATAATAGTACTTGAACAGATTGTGAAGAAAAAGATCTCATATTATGGATTATGGTTTGAGCTAATTGAAGAGACGAAGTCCTCGATATATACCTCAAAACTTCTGGGAGTAATAAAGGGTTGTTGCAAATATATGTGGGAGGTAATTCCTCTAGAAGTTTTCTACATTCAGCATTATAAGCTGTATTTTTATTGAATATTTTGAAAATATGAAAGATTACTCTAGGATCATGCTGCGTGATTGGATTACACCTGTTTTTAATTTGCGACCATACGGCGAGTACCCCTGCTGGATTATTAAGCTTACCATCAGATTTGAGCAACGAATATGCAATATTTAGTTGATTTTGTTTGTCACCATTTAAGGAAGAAGATTCTAAGGTGGCATTCATCAACTGCCGCTTGACCTCCTTTTCCAGCAGTGGTGTATTTTTTAGAGACTGAGCCATTATATTTAAGGTATAGAATTGGAAATTTGTTAACGGTAATTTTTCTTCATGAGACTGAAACAATTTTTCCAATTGAATATAATTTTCTAATAAAACATTATTGATTTTGGGGTTATTGAAGGATATGGTAGACAAAAGTTTTGAAGCAAGTTTAGTATCTAGTTGTGATTCTGGGTATAATTTATAATATAATATGTAAAGATCGATTAACATAGTGAAATCCTGACTGTTTATGGCATCGTTTAAGCACCACATAAATATGTCAGCTTGTGATGAGTTTGGATCATAGGGGTATGGAGATAGTTGACGTATGATTTCTGAAATTAATTTAGTATCTCCCAAGTTATAAATTATTTCTCTTCTATAAAGACCTCGGGATACAGATGAATTTTGTTTATGTTTTTGGATGAACTGAATAAAATTATGAAAGGGTATATTATGAACTAGAGATAATTCTGAGAGATTCTCTTTATTTACAGGGACAATTGTGAAGGATGATAGGATTTCTAATCTATACTTCCAATATTCTTGGATCATATAGTTGTTATGACCATTTAAAATCTTGTCATTATTTATGATGTCGGTTATGTTATTTACAAGGGATTGTCCTTTTGTAGTGGTTTGGGAATATAATCTGTTGTACGAAAATGAATAAAACCTGCAATTCATATACTTTATGGTTGATGCATGTTGGAAAAATGGGCGGAGATACATCTATGATGACGACATATGTAGCTAGCTGCTGTGGTTCAATCTAAAGCTCTTTTATATATAGTTACCTGTGCTTATTTGTTTTTGTATGAAATCGACGTAGTTAATACCTTTTTGTTCGTTAATCTGAAACAAAACTTTTAAATTTCAAAAAAAAAAAGCCCATCATCAACTTTTACAGCGAAGAAAAAGATTCAGAGAGCGGTGGTAACAGTAGTGCCAATAACAGTACAAAGTCAAAAATAAAACGAATTATATATATACCTATTATGAAATATCTTTGAAGGCTATAAAGTACTATATAATGGAGATGCTTGAAGAAGCCCTTTCTTTTTGCAATTAGAACATTGTTTCCATTCGAGCACTTTACAACAACACCAGTAACAATAAGTTGCTTGACAACAATATAAAATATAAGGATTATTTGGGGGTTCATTACACAATGGACATTGTCGTATACCTGTTTTAGAGGCTATAGTGTTTGTTATGGAGTTCTTGTTAGATTTCTCTTGCCATGAGTGGAATATTGTCCTTGAGTTTGGTAACAATATAGCCATATTCAGCAATTCTAGAACTGCATTCCATAACAACTGTCGGTTCTGGACCTCCATAGTTGCTAGACGGCTCTGTTGTGAGAATTGTCCAGATGTAATCATGACATTGACATCGTCAGGGGTCATCCTCAGACGTAGTAATCTGTGTAATATCGATATATAATTACCAGTCACTATAAAATTTGCAAAATTGAAAAATTCCGCCAAACTTGTGAGTAAACGTAACCATTTAAGAAAGCGTTGTTGGTGTGCAGAAGGTAACAGTTTATCAGATTTCGCTAAAAGGTATTTAATTAAGACTGTCGTTAGAAAAAGGGTACCTCTCAAGGGTGATTTATAAGATAAACCATTTAATCTAGTTCCATAAGTTTCATCGACCTCTTCCCCTGATTGTTGCTCCTTGTCTTTTAGTAATATCTGCCCACTTTTTCTTTTCTTCACAACAAACATATACAGTAGAGCATCACATACTAACCTCCATTCATCTGTATTCTTCCACCGAGCAAGTCTCGTCTCATGGTTGTCATCATCTCCTGCAAAAATGGCATTACTCAGATCATGTAATAGTCCTGAATACAGTTCATCGTCCAAGATATGCGAATCTAACTGTGCTACTCTTGACATAATAGAGTAATAATGCTCTTCTTCTAACTCCACAGCGAAAACTACCTTAGTGAACTTTAACTCTGTTTCTATCTATCCTTAGACTGGCTGAAACTCCGTTAACGAGGTATTCGCAAATGCTCTCTACTTTATGATCATTAATCGACCTTGTTCCAACATCACATTACATTACATTCTTCGCAGTCCAGGTAGCATCCATCCCATCATCCATCCACTTCTAGTTATTTATTGTTGAAGGTTACTTATTATTCCGCTCCTCTCCTCGGAGGTAATAAACCTCCCGCAGCAGCAGCACTCACCGCCGCCGCCCGAAACGGATCGCTGATTCACTAATTATTTTTATAAGATTATGGATAAAATGGCTCACGAAACGTTTAGGAAATACATGAGAAACACATGAGAAACGCTCCGTGGAAATGACCACCAAAGCACTTCAACAGAGCATAAATCCCACGTCAACAAAGCACCAGAATGCTCCACGGATGCTTTATTTATGTCACGTCACTTTCCACCAACTATTATATAATGGCAATACACGTACAACAGCGAGCGTAAGGAATGAATAATTAGCGGTGAGGATGGTATTATTGTTATTGAAACTTCTGTCTGCAATGTTCGATGACCGTACACACTGAACTATTGTTGTATCTTTATCAGAGGAGTCCATTGATAAGGCTGTCTGTTGCAAGTCGTGGGGTTTACGAGAAAAACTAATATATATATATATATATATATATATATATATCTATATACTAGTACCGTTCTGTTTATTTGTTTTGAACCTGTATTTTTCTTTCTTTGTTCATATCTTGCAAATGGAAATATGAGTTATATCTGTAGTCGTTGTAATAAAACTAAAATTAATACAACGTGAATATATGAGATATTTCTTCTTCTCACCTCATGTCTAAAATACCAACTAACGCCAACAGTATTGGTAAGAAATTTCGTACGAGTCTACTGCTATGCCTGGCTACAATCCTTTTAGTACTATTTACTAAAGAAATAACTATTTGGACCCCATTTACTGAATCGATCAAAGAGGAATACTGTCCTGCACGGTTTCCACTCCATGCTTCAGATGACTTGTCCGTGCAAAATATTTTGCATGACCCAGAATATAAGCAATTAAGTATTAAAAGACTTGCTGGAGCTATTCAAATCCCAACAGTGATACACGATGATAACCCTCAACCAAAATATTCTCCAGAATATTATAAAGAATGGTACACCTTCCATGAATATCTAGCTGAACAATTTCCATTAGTGCATAAATATTTGAAAAAAGAAACTGTGAATAATGCATCTTTACTGTATACGTGGCAAGGCTCAAACCCTGATCTAAAACCAATAATATTCTCAGCTCACATAGATGTAGTTCCTGTAGAATCAAGCACTGTTCAGCAATGGGAACACCCTCCATTTTCAGGTCATTATGATGAAGAAAGTGATACGATATGGGGTCGTGGATCCTTTGATGCAAAGAATTTGCTGATCGCCCAGTTTGAAGCCATCGAACATTTACTTTCATCAGGTAAATTTACCACCAAACGTACCATATTGTTATCATATGGTCATGATGAAGAGACCGGTGGTGCACAAGGTGCAAATAGTATTTCTAAATTGTTATTGAACAGATATGGTCCAAAGGGTATTCTGGCTCTCTTCGACGAGGGTGCAGGTGTCATACCACTAAAGGATAATAAGACATTCGTTGCTGCAATCTTAAATAGTGAAAAGGGTTACGTTGATTTAGCAATCAAACTTAGTGGAACGGGTCCAGGTAGAACAGGACATTCATCACAACCCCCTGATCATACACATATTGGTGTAGCAGCGGATTTGATCAGTTTATTGGAGAAACATTCATTTAAATCCAATTTTAAAGTAACCAATCCAACATTTGAGTTTCTTACTTGTGCAGCAGAACATTCCTTAGGTTTACCGAGATATTTACAATGGCTGATTAGTTCTGCACGTCATAATCGTTTAGCTGAATACGCCTTGGGTCGTTTACTTGATGCACAAGAAAGTTTTAAATATTATTTCAAGACAAGTCAAGCCATAGATATTATACAAGGTGGAAACAAAGCTAATGCACTACCAGAATACGTTACTTTCACAATAAATCACAGAATAGAAATCGAATCATCAGTTAATGAAACTATATCTCACTTCATTTCATTAGCGAAAATTATTGCATCAAAATATCATTATAGTATTTTTCTCGACGGTAAAACTGTAATAAATGAACATCCTCAAAAAGAGCTTGCCCCTGCTTCAATCGATATTCAACCAATAGGGTTATTGGAACCATCTCCAATCACTCCCGCAGAAGGTGATTTATGGGATATTCTAACTGGTACAGTACAATACATATTTGAAGATTCCATGGGAAAAACAAGTGCGTCAAATCTTTTCATGGCACCAGCTCTTTCCCCTGGTAATACAGACTCAAAACATTTCTGGGATGTGACAGATCACATCTACAGATTTATTGGCTCTATTGTCCCTTCTGACATCTTGGATACAACACATTCAGTAAACGAACATTTTGTTATGAACCATCATTTACAGACAATCGCATTTGTACATCAATTTATCCTCAATATCAATACGTTTGGCCCTGATTTATAGTGAATTATAATAATTATGAATATATATATAATAAGTCACCTATTTCATTCCAATTTGAATTAATTCATAAGTTATTTATACTTTATAATCGTTTTTGTGAGTAGATGATTTAATGTGATCATGTAAGAATAATTGAATATAGAAATGTAAATAAAAGTATAGATATATAAAAGAACTTAAATAGAAAATTGGAGTTAAATATTTCCACGAAAAAAGAAAAATTGAAAAAGAATATTAGATTTCATAAATTCATAACTATATTAGCAGTAGGATCAATGTCAAAACTATGAAATATGAATACCATGTATTTATGGATTTTATGTTACCACCGTTTCCATAATCATCAATGGAATTATAATAGTTTTCATCTACTTCAGAGTTATCATTTGTTATCGATGCCAAATCTTCAAAGTCATCACCTTTTCCAGGACTCCCAGTATACGTAATACCATTATCTAGCACTGTTGTAGAAGCTGATATCGTTGTGTAAATTTGAGCAGAGGTTTTTGCACCATCATTATCTTCTAGATTTGTTTCTGAAAGATCAAAGGAAATATGTTTATCTGAATCTTCAGCCTTACTATCCACCTGCTTTGGTTCAAGATTATCTGAATTATCATCATTGCTGTTGTCATTCACTTGATCATCAGATATATTTCCACCAAAATTGTTACCGTTTTTGTCATTATCGGTCAGGTCTTTGTCACTGCCAGGAACAAATGTTGAACCTGTGTTCGTAGAAGTACCGAATTTGGACGTGGAAGATTTAGTGGAATATGTGGAATTAGAAGATGTTATAGAGTCCCTCCCAATGGCATCCAGACTAGACGACAACATATTGGATGAACTTTGAGTAAGTGTAACACTATCAGTAGCACCAGTTGTTATCGTAGCTTCCATATCTGTAGTGGTAAATATTTGGGAATTTGTATCTGTGATACTCCTGTCAATCGTAATCGACCCAGTTTCAGTGGATACGACAGTATCACTTGTGCCAATATACGTTTTAGAAAAGTCAGTTGAGATCTCAGATGTGGAAATTGCAGTACCATCGATATAAGTGGAACCTGTACCCTCCATATCAGTACCCGTAGTAATACCATCTGTACTTGTAGAAATAATATCAGTACCAGCTGTATCAGTAGTAGTTGTACCAGTACCAGTTGAAATATTACCAGTTGTACCAGTACCAGTTGAAATATTACCAGTTGTACCAGTACCAGTTGTACTAGTACCAGTTGAAGTATTACCAGTTGTACCAGTACCAGTTGAAATATTACCAGTTGAAACATTACCAGTTGTACCAGTACCAGTTGTACCAGTACCAGTTGTTTCAGTACCAGTTGTTTCAGTACCAGTTGTACCAGTACCAGTTGTACTAGTACCAGTTGTACCAGTACCAGTTGTATCAGTACCAGTTGAAACATTACCAGTTGTACCAGTACCAGTTGTACCAGTACCAGTACCAGTTGTACCAGTACCAGTTGTGTCAGTACCAGTTGTACCAGTACCAGTTGTACTAGTACCAGTTGAAGTATTACCAGTTGTGTCAGTACCAGTTGAAATATTACCAGTTGCATCAGTACCAGTTGTACTAGTACCAGTTGTACCAGTACCAGTTGTACCAGTACCAGTTGTACCAGTACCAGTTGTACCAGTACCAGTTGTACCAGTACCAGTTGTACCAGTACCAGTTGTACCAGTACCAGTTGTACCAGTACCAGTTGTACCAGTACCAGTTGTACCAGTACCAGTTGTACCAGTACCAGTTGTACCAGTACCAGTTGTACCAGTACCAGTTGTACCAGTACCAGTTGTACCAGTACCAGTTGTACCAGTACCAGTTGTACCAGTACCAGTTGTACCAGTACCAGTTGTACCAGTACCAGTTGTACCAGTACCAGTTGTACCAGTACCAGTTGTACCAGTACCAGTTGTACCAGTACCAGTTGTACCAGTACCAGTTGTACCAGTACCAGTTGTACCAGTACCAGTTGTACCAGTACCAGTTGTACCAGTACCAGTTGTACCAGTACCAGTTGTACCAGTACCAGTTGTACCAGTACCAGTTGTACCAGTACCAGTTGTACCAGTACCAGTTGTACCAGTACCAGTTGTACCAGTACCAGTTGTACCAGTACCAGTTGTACCAGTACCAGTTGTACCAGTACCAGTTGTACCAGTACCAGTTGTACCAGTACCAGTTGTACCAGTACCAGTTGTACCAGTACCAGTTGTACCAGTACCAGTTGTACCAGTACCAGTTGTACCAGTACCAGTTGTACCAGTACCAGTTGTACCAGTACCAGTTGTACCAGTACCAGTTGTACCAGTACCAGTTGTACCAGTACCAGTTGTACCAGTACCAGTTGTACCAGTACCAGTTGTACTAGTACCAGTTGTACCAGTACCAGTTGTACCAGTACCAGTTGTACCAGTACCAGTTGTACCAGTACCAGTTGTACCAGTACCAGTTGTGTCAGTACCAGTTGAAATATTACCAGTTGTGTCAGTACCAGTTGTACCAGTACCAGTTGAAATATTACCAGTTGTATCAGTACCAGTTGTACCAGATGCAGTATCAGTTGAAGAAGTTGCATCAGTAGTAGCTGAACCAGAAATAGTTTGAGTAGTTTCACCAGAAGCATCTGAATCTGACGTAGAAATACCAGTAGTCGTAGTGATTGTACCTATTATAGTTGAAGTAGTATCACTGGTAATAATAATTGTTGAATCTGTCGAAGTCGAACCAGAAGTAACATCCTCGGTATTGGTTAAAGTAACATCTGTATTTGTTGAACCAGGCTTAGTTGAATTGGGATCACCAGTAGTAGATGCACTGATTGTTGAGCTAGAAGTAGCATCATTTGTGCTTGTAATTGCAGTACCTGTGGTAGTTGGATCAAAGGTAATATCAGTAGTTGTTACACCTGTAGTAGTTAGATCCGAAGTTACATCATCTGTGTTTACAGAAATAGTACTGGTGGTAATTGTTCCAGTGTTAGTCAAGTCTGAAGCAGTACCTATAGTGGTTAGACCGCTATTAGTAAGATCTGAACTAAGATCATTTGTGTGTGTCAATGTACTCTCAGTCACAGTTGGGTTTGTATATGTTGTATCTGAGGTCTTACTGTCGGAATTTGAAGAGATGGTACTCGATGTTGTGGAATCAGTATTAGTTATGTCTGAAGTAATACCTGTGGTCACTATATCAGTGCTAATGAAGTCTGAACTAAGAATACTTGTATTTATGGAGTCTGAACTAAGGTTATTAATATTTGTCGACTCACTGCTAGTGATAGACGCTCCTGTAGAAGTTATCTCTGATATATTACCATTAGAATTTGTAGAAATGGATCCTGTTGTTGAACTAGTAGTAACTGTTTCAGAGGTGCGGTCATCTGTATTTGTAGAAGTAGTATCATCAATATCCGTTGAAATGAAACTTGTAGTAGTATCTTCTGTATCTGTGGAGGTAGAATTGGCAGTAACGATACCAGAAGTAATATCATCTGTAATTGTAGATATAAAATCTGTAGTTGTACCTGAAAATGTTAAGTCTGAAGTGATATCACCAGTATTTGTAGAAGCAGTACCAGACGTAATCATTTCTGTGGAAGTGGAGTCAAAAGTAACATCATCTGTGTTAGTGGAAGTAATACCAGTGTTTGTAGAGCTCGAGCCTTGAGTAACAACATCCGTACTTGTTGACATAATGTCTGTATTAGTTGTTGTAGTTACAGTGATAGCAACGTCTGTTTCAGTAGAAGTAGCATCTGTATTGCTAGAAGCCATTCCAGAGGGGTATATTTCAGTGCCAGTAGTTGCAGTTTCAGAAAAAGTATTATCTGTGTTAGTGAAGGAAGTTCCAGAGATAGTACCATCTGTTGCTGTAGTAGCAATATCCGTAGTGAAACCGTCAGTACTAAAAGTTATATCATTTGTTGTAGTAGTGTATGTTGAGTAATCCCCAGAATCGGATTGCGAACCCGATACATCAGTTGTGGCGGTCAATAAAGTACTATCAGAAGTTGAAATTAGGGATGATGTTAAATCGGTACTTGATTGGGAAGATCCATATATAGTTTCCGTAACTGTTTCTGTCACAGTAACAGTGTCTGTTGAGGTCTGAACATCTGTGATTGTTGCCATGTTGGAAACTGTGTTTGTTATGACTACAGTGGTAGTGTCGCTTATAACAGTACTACTAACATCGGTTATGGTTGCAAATACAGTAGTTGTTGTAATCTCTGTAGTGGACGTGATAATTGAAGTCGGGACCAACTCAGTTATAGTAGATACCAATGTGTCTGTAAATGTAACACTAGTAACATCTGTAACTGTTTCAGTTTTAGTATCTGTGCTAACATCGGTTACAGTGTAATGATTATCTGTAGTAACAGTGAAAGTGTATGTAGTAACAGAAGTCTCAGTTGATAATAATAAAACCGAAGAAGTTGTAACTGTTGTTTCATGAGATGTCTGTGTTACAACTTGCGTTTCAACTGTTGTATCAGTTGTTACAATGGTGTAAGTTTGATGTAAAGTTTCGGTTACATTATATGTTTCAGTGTGTGTTGCAGTCTCCGAGAACGTTTGATTAATATAACTGGTTTCGTACGCGGTTTCTGTAGTTACGGCCGAACTAACTAAGGTAATTGTTTGATTGACCGTTTCCGTAGAAAATAAAGTAAATGTATCTGTTTCGGTTTTGGTCAATGTTTGATTTTGATTTTGAGTTTCTGTAGAGTATAAAGTTTCCGTCACTGTATCAGTTGTAGCCTCTGTCATCGTTTCACTCACGGTATCTGTGGATACCAAGGTAACAGTTAATGTATCCGTGACTGTTGAAGTTTCTGTGAAGTTTTGAGTTTGAGTATCAGTAGTAACATGGGTATATGTGACAGTATCAGTGTCAGTAGTAACTTGAGTATGAGTAACAGTATCAGTGTCTGTTGTAACTTGAGTATGAGTAATAGTATCAGTGTCTGTCGTAACTTGAGTTTGAGTAACAGTATCTGTATTTGTTGTCACCTCTGTATGAGTCTGGGTTTCAGTATTAGTAGCAGTTTGAGCATGTAGGTCACCAACATTGGCAAGTAATTGTTCTGTATCAGCAACAGCACCTGGTAACGAATATTGACAAATATAAACAGTGTTTGTACCACATGTCTTTTTGGCGCAACCAATTTGAGTACTTTCCTTCCAAACGACTTGAACAAAATTACGATTATCGTCTGTAAGTTCCGGATCAGCATAATCATAGTATTGAACCCCATCATACCAACCAGAAACAGCTTCATCAATATCACTTGAACCAATAGAAACTGTAAAACCATAAGCGCCATTCGAATATACATTTTCTTGATCACACTTATAACTACCAGCCAAATCAATTGCAGATGTAGCAGCTTTCTTTAACCAACTAACAGAAGACGTGTCAACATGATAATTTCTTTTGTTTGTAATAGCAGCTACCATTTGATCTTGTTCTTTACTGGAAAGGGCATATTTGGAAGTGAATATACCACCAGCAACTAATTGGGCTCTTAGAAAGAGCGTAATTGTTGTAAGTAAAATTACATTCATCATATCAATTTGAACAAAGTATTATTGATAAGTGTTGAAATAATTTTTAAAATTGTTAAATTTATTGTTGTGTTCCTTTTACGTTGCTATACATTATAAAATGATAGATAAAATAATTATTATAAGCTTAGATTAGTATTGATTGTATCTGTTGAACTTATATATATATATATATATAAATTTTAACCATATTTATCCTTGTAAGAGTTCATTCAAACAAATCATTTTTACATAATACGGTTAACTAGGAATGTCTGAGAAAAGAGGGGTACATTTTGGCAAATAAACATATAATAATAATAATCAACCCTCATTATGGAACTTAAAAAAAGGTTTTAGATTGTCATTCCTTAACAACTAATATCGAGGGGATTTTGTTCAATACTATATTCGGTACGGCAGAGATACAATAAAACTATACTTTAATAATATTCTCTATTATTCTCTTTTATATAATTTAAACCCTATATATAGATCCCTGCGTAACTATTATTTATCATAGGATACTCTAATACACTTTTGTTATTACCAAAGTCATACAAGACAAGTAACTCACGTTATTCGTTACCGTCTTTGTGCTTCCATTATATCAGCTACTGAAAACATATAATAAGATTTCAGATATTCGTAAGATCTGCAAGTCTTACATACATTTAAGAATATTTTCGTACTTTAATGGACTATCTTCTGCGGAATAAAAAAAAATAGTTCTTGGGTGTTCAACGTTTAGATACAGAGTGGGGAAGCATAACTTCCCCTCAAATCGTCCATCCTCAACATTTAGAGACCTTTTTAGACATAATTTGTTCGAAATACATGGACTTCAACAAAAAACACATAATTCATTGCGACAGAAAGGCTATGTAGATTTGAATATTAAAAGTCATAGATATTATTGTTAAAACAATGTGAAATGCACATCGACATATAACAAAAAAGGAACTGAACTTGAGGTACTTCATGAATCAATCCATGGAAAGGGGGTTCCGTGGAAATTCCCTCTTATTCGGACACTTTAGTAAGGTATTACCAAAGCTGTATCGAAAACGTAAACTCGTATACTTAGAGTTCTCTGCTTTCCATATCTGCTAGACGACTTCCCATTGCTGTCCAGGTGTTTCTATGGTGGAGCCCCCAAGATACCTCGAATGGGCGACGATCATCATTTTTAAGTCCCCACCAAATGATAAAGCGGAAGCATACTTCGTGCGAGACTTTAAGAGTCCAGAAAAAAAGATCTGCATCGTATATCACAAATTCTAATTAAATGAAAAAAAAAATGCTACAAAAGAAACAAAGAAAAGGCAATTTTTGGTTCAAAAGATTAAGTGACTAGGGCTGAAGTTGTAAATCGAATTACCTGATCAGCCTCTCTATTCGTTGAGATCCCTTAAAATATTTTCTTGTAGAGATATAGTTGAAAATATTGGAGTATACTCCAATAAACAAGATAATCTTAATACTTGAGTTCTAGTAAAACACGTGGATGTATCTTTTGGTTAATATGTAATTTGTAATTTCAACACATAGAGTAAGTCCAGTCTCACTTGCATTTCCTAATCATTCAAATATTAATTTATTTGAGAGAGGGGTGCAATTCAGAGTATTAACTCAAAAGTCGACTTATTTGTATTGTTCTCTTCACGACGGGCGGCCCCCTCTTTTAAAGGAAAGTTCTTCTTCTTAGAGAAATGAGTTTTTGCCATTTTAGGTACTATTGTGTAATACTGGTTAATACGTACAATCACTTCATTTTAAACTTTTTCTCGGAATTCATATCATTCGAAGATCAATAATTTTTAAATAAAGAATTTTTATTATTATATTGAGATTGGTCCCCATTTTTTTTTCCTCCACACAATAAACTTTTATAAATTTAATATGCAGAATTGTTTTCATATCAATTTTCAGTCTACAAAAAATATATATCTATTACTAAAGATTATTCAATACATATGTCTATAAGTCCCATTCAATGGCTTCATTTTTCAGTCTAGAACTAAATTTTTACGAAGGGTTTATTTTATTTACCTCCAAACCTAATTGAAAAAAAACTAGTATTAACTCATTCATCTATAGTGGACATTATTTTACTTATATACATCGAGAATTGTTCCATATCTATACTGAGATAGTTCATACAGTTCAGCCAAACTCTACATTATAAAAGCTACACTAAAACAGTATTCTCTATTGTAAACTATATGTTAATATTTAAACTCTATGTATATATTCCTGTGAAGCTCTCGTTTATTTAAGGATATTATAATACATTTTCATTTTGATCAATGTCATTCATTTAACTCACTTTATTCGTTACCGTCTTTGTGCTTTCAATTATACCAGATACCGAAAAATTTCATTATTTTGTCGATTTACGTAGAGTTTTGAGCAGACATACTTGGGTGTACATAGTAATTAACTAATAAATAAAAATCCTTGAAACGGTTAAGGGCCAATAACTACTTCTCTACAAGAAAATCCTATGCTCTAATAATGATGAAGATTTGTTATAAGATTAAACAATCGAGCTTTTTTTAATTTCAATAATACTCTATGTGTTTAATACCCAAAATATCAGTCTTAAAAGAATATTCATAGAAAGTTTAACATAAAAAGATATAGGTTAAAACGGTATCTCTTATGTTTCCACGCTAAGTAGCCATAGTAAAATTATTAACCCTCCCTAAATAGCTAATACGAGAAGTAAGAGGAAAGTTACGGATATATCTATATATTTTTAATTATTCCTATGGAAAAAGTTTACTATCCTATTCATCAACCCAACTAGAGCTTTTTATTAATCTAACTTAATAATGAAGTAACGGAGTAATACCAACTAAATATTTTCTCCTCAGAATATAATCAAGTTGATGGAACAATTTTACACACATATACACATACGAATACAGAATATGAGCACGATAGGAACTCTTTTATGTTATATATGATTTATCCAATCATAAAACAAGCATAAAATAAGTCAACAGATCAACGGGAATGTTTTTATTACTTTATTTTACATTATTAACTACACTTTTTAAACTAATCCTGGCCGATCGCCTTACAACATCTGATAGCTCAATAGTCAATTTTCGGTAATTACAATTATGTGGAGAGTTTTCTGATAACGATTAATACCCATTATTAGGTATAATTGAAATCCCTTCAGATGATCATTACTTTAAGTATATCCAATATTAAGGGAATCTCAGTACTACAATCAACACTGGTGTAGTTGAATATACTACTGTAAATGATAAATGTTTTACAACGACTATCTTCACTATTCTTGTGGTACCAGAGTCATGGTACTATGGCTTCAACATTATGATAAAAATTTGTTCCACTGCCGGTTATTAATTCTTGATAATCCATATTATTATACTGGCAATACCGATGGCAACCAAGACAATACATTACAAATTATGCGAAACGTGGACGTTTCCTCAGAAGATGGACACTCTGATGCTCAATAGTTTTACAAGTATTTCCTTTATACATTCACTATGGTGTCTTATCACTGATATGGTGATGTTAATTTTGATGTAATTGTCACAGACCCAATATGTGTTAAACATACTTCGCTCCCATCCTACATTTAAACATTATATCTGTATTGTACCATGGCTTTGCAAGGAAACCAATTACTTTTACCCACTAAACTGGTACATTCAAATAAACACACACTACCATTGTGGCTACACATACTGATATATATGAGGGATTGACAGTCGAAACTATATATTTGTTTCGAACTTTGGCTCCAATAACACCAATTATAAGTTCTTCTATCTCTTCTTTATCAGAATCAGTGTTGACCTTAATTGATTTATCATCTATATGCATGTCTCCTTCCTAGGAACAATTGTCGCCCAGCGAGACACTAACCTTCTCTGATAATATAATTGGAGAGGTTCAACTAAGAATACTGAATCATCTTCGTCAGAGGTATATATGCCCCCACCATTTAATCTGATATAATCGACTAATATTCGACATTATTCAGTGAAATATTATAATAATCTAGCACTCCCACGATATCATCAAGTAAACGATTAACCTCACCCAGTGATCATTCATTTTCTTTGATAGAGGAAGTTAAATATTATACTGATACACTATCATTACTGAGTATCTACTATTGCCTTGTGAGGATACGAACAGTAGTACCTCTACTATTACATTTTCAAGTGATAATTCATTATTTTGAAGTAAAGTAACATCAATATCAGATCCATATGATACTCTATTATCAAAGTTAGATTATGCTTCACCAATTTCTCATATATTATCCACAACGGAGACCAGTATAACGACCAATACTATTACATAAGTATCAACATATGATGCATATATAGATCGTCCATTTTCTTCACTATAACATATGTTTCTACTGCCATATCCTCCCTCAATACTGACAATTTATTACTTCCATCGATATGACTTCCATTAATACCTCTAATTTACTATATTTAAACGATTAATATGGTGCATATAGTGAGGGACTATAGTATAAATCAACCAGTTCAAGTGATACATATGCTTCTTCAATATCTAATCCATTGAAACGTCAAGATAGTTCTTAATTACTAAGTGAATCAGAAGAAATTTCGAATAAATCTTCTGAATATTGTTGTACTACAGACTCAAGTGGAACTGTATGGACTTCAAGGACAATTTTGCAAACAACAATTTCCAAATCTGGCAAAGCTCCTAGTTTTACCTCACATTATCTGCCATCTGATGGTAACATATCTTCTGTTAATTAGACAGAAACAAGTTTTAGTTTAGACGATACCTCAACATTCCTATTATTCAGCGATAATATTATCTTGTCATCTACGATAGAATCATCTGAATTAATTACTAATGAAAAACAAAACAAACAGTAACATGAAAAACTAATATTCATTCTTCAGATAACTCATGTTCCTCCTACACTTTTAAAAATAATATTATTAAATAATCAATATATATATATTCATGGGAAACCATCCTTATTAATGGAATAGTCATTAAAAAGGTGAGCACTGGTGTAAGACACCATTGAAAATGTATTGTTGGAAGAAAAAGTTTTACTTCTAGTAAATAATACCTTTTAAATTAGTATATCATGCCACCAGAAGTTTTAAAATACGTACTAGTAATGTTCATAATCTGTAATATAACCCACATTCCTTAAAGCTACAACAATATCATCTTTGGCTTCTCTGCTTATCAATTGTTGAGTCTCACAACAAAAATAAGATTGTCTTTCAATTCAGTAAAGTTTGAATTGAATGGCTGCATAAAGTGAGATATATCTATAAAAATAGATTAATAAAGAAGTAACAGTTCACTAGGTTTTATATCTACTAATAAATATATAGAAGACTAGAATTAGTTCACGAAAAACATTCCCAAAAACCAAATCAAACGACGCAACTTTGTATATTAATATTCTAAATACAATATTATGAATCTACTATCGAAGTTATACCAATTAATATATAAAAAGTAATATAAAGAATGCCTACATAATAGCTAGTTTTACCTTTCCAAATTCCGATAAAATGAAAGTACCAATGAAGGACTACTTGGGAAAATGTAAGAGACAAGGAAAGTTTAAATTTAATTCTTGAAAAGGCAAATGGTGGGTAATATCAAAAACATTAAGTAACTCACCAATATAAGTGCCAACGAATATTTAATATATCTTTTACTAAAAGATTGTACTCAGAAGAACTCCTATACTAAATATTTATTGTGGGGCTATATTGTATATTAGGTTTAACATCTCTATCATGAATATATCGACCATAAAAAATAATTAATGGCAATAAATGAGGGGTAGTAATATCACAAAACAAGTAATCGCTGACTGATTATATAAGGTATAATTCAAACAGAACAATGCAAATTATGATACCCATAAATATATAGGTTTATATTGTATTAGGTACTTTAGTGTAGGTAAAGTATACGTTTTTGTGTTTAGCTCCTCTCATCTCTAACATTTTTATGCAAAGAACAATATACTCCTCCTCACCTACAAATTTTGTATTGTGTCTTAAATTTGTTTAACTTTTTCAGCGCATATATCAAGACATATTGCTCTGAAAATGTAAAATTCTATATAAACATATCAACTGTCATTGTTCCACTAAACCTGCGTAGCATTTTTAAAAAAATTATCAGGTGTGTAAGCGCCGCACCATAGTAAGCGTTGGTTACGTAAAACTATATACATATAAGATAATGCTTTTTAATATTTTGAACTCGAATAATAGAAGAACAATGATTAAAAATTATCTTAATGAAACAATACCAATTAAATTACAAAGAGAATATCCAACCCACTTATACTATTCTACAAGCTATATATGAAATCTATCTATAGGTTCCATTATTTATTCCTTCTTTTCAGATATGATGGTTAGCTATTTCCTTCCCTAACATTAAGAAATACTAATCAATGATGATCTTATTTTTAAAAAAATTATTAAGAAAGATGGTCAATGTATATCTACAGTTTTGTGCAAATAATTGAACTTAAAAGGTTGTTAAGTATTACCTTCTGCAAAAAATTAATAATATAAAAGACCAACAACTTTCTAAAAAAGATATTCAATAAAAATTATTTCCCAATATTTTATTTTCAACCTTTTCAATTTAGATATCAAAATACCATCAATATTAAAAAGCATATACCTTCCAATACATAACGAAATAAATATGAAATTTTCTACTGTTGCTGCTGTTGCTGCTGCTATCAATATTATCTCAATCAATGGAGTGGAGGCAGCTGAAAAATATGGTATCGCAGGCCCCGAGGCTATTTTGTTAACCCAAGCGATGAATGCCAAGAGAGCTCGTCATAATCATACATTACCAGTGTCGTATACCAGTACCATATCGGACAAATGTGAGAGCATTATGAAAGAATTGGATTGTGCCAATCCCAATGTGATTGCTCATAAAGCTTTTGGTAGTACTGTTAGTATCGGTTTTGAAATCGAAGCCGCGATTGATGAATGGTATTCGGAATTTTTCCATTACAATTATGATAATCCAGCTGTTACTCAAGACAACTCAAATTTCTTACAAATGATTTGGAAACCGGTTACAAAAATCGGATGTTGTAAAAAAACATGTCCTGGGACGGGTAAAGTTATTCTTTGTCAATATGATCAAAGAGTAAATCCTCTCAGTCTACCTAGTGGTATCGGTGAACTTCTATTAGATACTGTAACCATCACCGAAACAGTAAATGGTTACACAACTATTACCGATGCTACTACTCTTACTGATATCCTAACTCTTGATACTCAAACAATTACTTTATCAGATGTCACGTCCATTATTACTACTACATTAACCATCGATGAACCAGGTGAACCAACCACTACCACTGAGACTATTACTTTAGATGCTAATACCGAGACTGAAACAGTTACTGACTCAGTCACTGAAACTGAAACTGTTCCAGGTAATGAGAATATCATCACTACATTTGTAACCGATTTCCAAACAACTACTGAGACTATTACTGAAAATGCCCAAACTTCGACCGAAACAGAAACAATCACCGTAAATGAAGAACCAATTACCGTAACTGAAACAGTCACGGGTGAGGCCGAAACAGTTACTGAGACTGAAACCCTGTCTGCTAGTGCTGCCGAGGATTTAACTGAAACAGTAACATTAACCAAGACTCAAACTGACTTCACAACTGAAACAACTACTATAACTGACACAACCACCTTAACTAAAACCCAAGTTAAGACTGAAAATTTTGTTGCGAAATATTCTGCTTCACTTAGTTTAACCGATTTCGTTTAAGTTACAGTTAATATATTCCTAAACTCCTCTATCAATAGAACACAAACATTAAATATCTATTATTATTTTTTCTAGATAGTGCACATTTGGTAATATTGGTGATGGGTACTATTCAAGTTCGTCCAGTATAATTTTATCTTCTATAAAACTACACGAGTTCATAGTTGAATTGATTCCTCTAACTTCAGGGACTTCACAATGTTCTGTAAAAGTGTATTGTTAATAGTATATCTTTTAGTATATATTAATTTCTTATTTAATGTAGGACCTTAATACATAACACTATGCAAGAACTTTCTTTCTTTCAGAAAAATTATAATTTATAATGAATAAACTCTGAATATGTCTCTAGGATTCAGGTTCTAATAAATTATGAATTCAAAATTTCATGACCAACTCTAAGTCAAAATTTGACAGATTTAGTACAAACTTTATGGATGGTTTGGTTGAAACTTATAAATAAAGGTAGTTTCTTCTACTAGAAAAACATTATATCTCACTGTCATCATTCTCAATTATCATTAGGTGAGGAGAACAAGCTCGTATAAAATATTTCATCCTGTAGCCTATATATCTAACTCGATCTTTCTAATACGTAATGCTCTGTCTTTCTTGTAGCTTTTTTTATTAAACACCCCATTATAAATGTCATTATAATCTTTTTACTCCATGTAACGATATTCTTCGTCTTATTTTAAACTCATCTAGAATGTTTCTATGTGGATAGTCTAGAATATCACTAATATTACCCTAAAAAAAAAACATCGTTTCAAAATGGAAACATGTTTTCTCTTTTTTCCGTTTTGGATAATGCAACAAAACCGGGTGCAAAACCATCTTTTAACCACCCCTACCCAAGAAAGACCGAGAGGTGGGGGGGTGGATGATGGCTATCTAAATATATAAAGGTTGTAGAATAATACATTCATCCTCATCAAGACCAACACAATACGAATTATAGATATAGTATATGGCAAACTAAACCAAATATAACTATCATGTCCAATATCAGAGTACATTATTTGAATAAATCAAGATCGTTTAGAGTTATATGGTTACTGGAACATCTGAATGTGGAATACGAAGTCATTCCATATGTTAGGGAAAATAACCGTGCTCCTGAAATGTTGAAGAAAATACATCCTTTAGGACGTTCGCCAATCCTCGAAGTTAAAGATGGAAAAAGTGGTAAAACAAAAATTATTACTGAATCTGGTTATATATTCCAATACATTTTGGAGAAATATGATAATGAGAGGATCTTAAGTTTGAAGGCTCCTGATCAAGCAGAACAAGTTCAATACTACTTACACTACGTAGAAGGATCATTACAACCACCTTTACTGATGGAATACATATACTCTCTAGCAGGTCAATCCCCAGGTCCATTTCCCCTTTCGTACTTAGTGCGTGGTGTACTCGATAAAATTAGTGGTGCCTACTCTAAAGGTGAAGTAAAGAATCAGATCGATTACCTAGAAAATGAAATTTCTAATAATAAAGGTTATTTAATAGGAGGCCAATTCAGTGCCGCAGATATCCTTATGTCGTTTCCTTTAAAGATGGCCTTTCAACGTGGGTTTGCAGAAGAAAAAAACTATCCTCAAATTAAAAAATGGCTTAAGACCATAATTAACGAGAATTCGTATAGTGTTACCAAAGAAAAGACTGCACAATATGAACCTAAAGACTAGAAAAGTAGAAGTTCTGACAATATTGTTTTCCTATTATTTTGTTTATAAAGACGACAATAACCGAAATATATGTGCCAGTATCCTTTATAAGTGTTATACACACATGCATATATATTATTTATTATTCTAGTGACTTTTGAAAAGTGTTTGTGTTGTTTACACGTTTTTAAATATAAATATTTATTCAACGTTTGTTGATCTTGCTGTAGCTTCAAAAAATCATAAGATGGGATAGAGCCTAGTAATGATTCACCATTAATTAAAATCTTGTTCTAAATTGATACTTGTTTTAATTTAATATAGTCCCAATCACCTACAAGTTCATTGTTGAGGATTATTTTCCTATTAGCGTTCGATAAATAGTATACAATGTAACTGGAGTAAATTTTACTACCAGAGTATTGGTCATAGGATTTACCTTGACTCCATAATTTAGCAACCTTTTTAACTTCCTTTGGATTATTTTGAGAGTTCAGAATACTACCAATGTATTTATTGGGTCGCCTTTCATATACTCGATGTAAATTTAACTAGGCATACTTTAGTTTGAAATTTCCTTGAAGATAATTGGAAAAACATTCTGTAAGAATACTGAACTTTGAACCATACTACTAACCCATATATAATCTATTACATCACCATTTACTTGATGATACGGATTTTTTATTAGTAGAAAAAAGATCACATATCAGAGAATTCAAGACACTAATAGCTAGTGTTTTATGACTAGTTTCTTATCCGAAGAGTCGTAATCAAAAAAATGTCCATTGGACCTTGATCAGCGTTGCTACAACTTGCAGCAACAGCTCTAAGTCTTAGATTGGATATGTGAGCTACCGTAACCGCAGAAGACCTATTCTGTGGAGATGAACTTGAAACGTTGTAATCTGCTTGAGTAATAGAATAATTATTAACTGAAGTATAAACCGAACTACCATTCGCACTAGAAAAAATTGGACTAGAACTATTGTAGTAATTATCCATGCCACTACTAGGAAAAGAAATATCGCTGGGTGTAATGGAACTTATTTGATTCCCAGAGGTACCAATTGAGTTATATATATTAGTGTTACCGGTAGAGAAGTATTCAGAAAGGTCAGAAGAGGCAGACCAAAATACCGAACTTGTTTGAATATTTGAACTAGAAAAAAACCTCTTAGTTGGTAAACTGAATGAAGTAAAGTCATTTAAGTAAAGCTATTCCCTGCTTTACAGCATCATAAGAATAAATCACTCAGAAAGCGAGTGAATTGCTATATTACTATTATAATAAGATTATAATCTCCATCAACTATTAAAAGAAGATCTGTTTAGAATTTCTCCAAAGTACTAAATATGCCCATATATAATTAATATCACAAGATATGTTTCAACAAAGAAAAAAAAGTATCTACTTTAAGGATACCATTATTGCCGTTCCACAAAACTGATCACTTAGAATGATGAAGATGAGCAATAAAAAAGTTGAAGACAGAAAATAACTAATATGCAAATCAAATTAATATTGTCTGTAAATATTTTTTAAAGGTGCTACTCTATGAATTCTTGGGACAATATTCTAGCCAGACCATGTAATCCAGAAAATGTAGATACAGCACTAACCCATCACACTAGTCTCGCCACCACTCATGTAAATAATCAAATATTAGGTAACAACAAAACATTCAGATTATTTATTGTACTATCTCTAATGATTCCAACTTATACAACAGAGATTGCAAGAAGACACTCATTTTTATATTGTTTATTACATCAATGTTTATTTCTTTAAGGCTTTATCACCAGTAAACATGTAGTAAAAGCTACACTACCGATAAAATCCGAACGACGATCCTCAGGTGTAATGCAATGCATCTCTGTTCTTCCTCTCTTCGTCTGTGTGTTTTTAAAAGACCAGCTCTTTTGATGTTTGTTGTCCTAAAATGGCAATAAGGATTATCCAAAAGAATGATGAGCGATCATTGTGAGCTCTGCGCTGATTTCCCGCTGGGTATAGATATCATTATCCCTCACACCACTACCCCTCACAA